AACAACAAAAACAACAAAAACAACAAAAACAACAAAAACAACAAAAACAAAAACAAAAACAAAAACAAAAACAATAATAATAATAATAATAATAATAATAATAATAATAATAATAATAAGAAGAAGAAGAAGAAGAAGAAGAAGAAGAAGAAGAAGAAGAAGAAGAAGAAGAAGAAGTTACTTGATAAATTACTTGCTAAACTGCTGTAGATTAAGGAAAATATTAAGGCCTAAGCACTTGTACCTGTAGCACTTAGTATCCATAGTAGATGAAAAAATATAGTTGTCAATGGATTGCATATAATACTATCAGTACTTAAAGCTGGAAAATTCTTCAATACTGGAATAATAAGGCCTTCTTAACCATCCAATTCAGTACAGCTTTAAATGCAAATATTATACCCAAATCCTCCTACAACTTTTATTGGCCACCCAATACAATTACAGGATATCAATGAAAAATGAACTTACAATCATTTAGTTAATGAAGGGAAAACTCAATGGGATGGCATGTATTTCAGCTCTCTTTTATGAAGATCTAAGACAGGGGTGTCAGACTCAATTTTATTGAGAGCCACATCAGGGTTGTGTTTGACCTTGGGATCTGGGATGGGCGTGGCCAGGCTGGATGTGGCCAGATTGACATCACTTGTGTCAGGATGTCTGTGGTGGCCCTAACGCTCTGCCAGCAAAAATGGTCCCCCAATCTTCATTTTTGGCTATGACGATCTCCTGCAACCATCTGCCAGTGAAAACAGGGCTCAGGAGGGCCATGCGCAGCTCTCCTGAACTCTGTTTTGGCTGGCAGAGGGACCGTGGGCAGGTCCTTTGCTGTTTCCAGGGCAGCTCTGCGGGCGAGATCTAATCACTCTGCAGGCTGAATCCAGCCTGAAGGTCTTGAATTTGACACTCCTGATCTAAGAATATAACACAGTACATAAAATCAACTACTGATGCACGAGTATTTTAGTTGTCAACTTTTGTCCTGTTTTAAAAGTAGTGACTAATAATTTAGGCAGTAAGTTCTCTACCTAAAAGATTACAAAATTGCACCAAATGTGGATGGGACTTACAGGTTTTTTTACATCTCAACCATTTTTGAGTATCCTCACCCTGCTATCTAATAGGCATTCATTTGTTACAATTCTTTCTCAAAGCATTAATCTGAACTGAAGAACAATATTTTCTATTTCTATTATGAGAGGCTACAGAGTTGCCCTGGTTTCTCCTCAATTAATGTTCACATCTCCTGACATAGTTATCTGAATCCTGGAGTTAAATAGATGTTCAAAAGAGCTGCAGCCTCATGTTACTTTTAATGATTGTTTGACTGAGCACATTCAGCTTATTATACAATCTCATTTTGCATTTTTTGTCTGCACTGAGTTATTGACTATGCCAAGTTAATCAGCTTCTAAGAAATCATTTCATGTGTCTTTAATATTATAAGACACATTTGAAGAGAGGTAGAAACACCATATTGTTCTTCAATAGTTCAATACTTCATTTTCTTATCTTAGGTGAGAGTGTCTTTAAAATTAGCTATGCTGGCCCCTCATGACCCATTCAGCATTAATAGCAGGCTAACATTTTCATCACAGAACAAAGGAATATTAAATCAAATAAAAATCTTTCTTAGAGCCATTGACCTCTGTAAAATTATGTAAAATTATCTAACAAAAATTATAGAACAGGTAGCTAGATTATAATGGTCTAATTGATCAGAACTATGCATTTTTTAGGAATAATTTTAAATCCTTGGAAATTTATGCATATGATTGGTAAGAGGAAAAAATGGGTGCCTGAATTGCATTTCCCCTTTCAAATCTGCCACATAACCCTTTACCCTGGATGTGAGGTTTCCACACTCTCACATTGCAAGGAAAACAAGGAAGCCATTCGTAGCACATTTTCTACATATGTCAGTATCATTTTTTCTAGAAGAAAATGAAAAATCATACAAATTTTAGTGCTTTATGCTTTAGTCATAATAATCACAGAATTTTCATTACTAATAATGAAACTATAAAATAATTGATCAACTATAAAATAATTGTTTTCCATTGTCTACAATAAATAGAGAAAATAAAAAAAAATATTTACCAAGAACTGAAGCTAGGCATGTTCCTCCATTCTGACAATAATTGTTACAATGGTTAATTTCACATCTGTCCCCTGAATAACTTGGCCAACAATAACATCTTTGATCACCTTTTTCATTTATAACACATCTACCTCCATTTTCACAAGCCAGTTTACAAGTCTCATCTGTACTTAAGATATAAACACAAAGATCATGAGAGGAGATGATTATCACTTTCACTGTTCATCCAGGAAATGAAATTAAAGAACCAGAATAAAGAAATTGTTAGCACAGAAGTGTATTAATGGACACAATATCAGTTACAACCATCCAGTGCTGTTTGCTGCTCAGAACTCAGGTGAATGTTTCTTCTCAAGGCATTGCTACTAATAGAGTTCTGCAAAGCACTCAACTGAGTAAGTCATGCAGCACATTGGTATAAGTAAAACATCATTGTTGAAGCACTGAAGTAGCACTAACTTTCCATAGCCATGACTTCCTTTGAAGTTTCTCTTAAGTATTCTGAATTAACGTTTTGCATACACAGATAACATTTCCATTAGAGGTAAAAAGAATGGTTATGGGGAACTGGCATGCTGAACTGTGAAAGTTACCAAGCCTTCAAGAGGACCCTGGAAGCTATGAATGTAAGTGTTTTCTTTGTGCTAGCTTCCTTTGTAAATTCTTTGCACAAATCTAAACTTAGTGTAATTGGTACAGCTGATCTGTGCACTCATGTTGAATTAAAATGTTGTAGCATCATCAAACAAAAGTAGATTTTTCCAAAATTGATAATGTCCCGATATATTTGATATTCAAATCCCAAATGTCACATTTGTAAACTGCAATATTTATTTCTTTGCCAACTTTGTGTCTTTATATTTATATGTGGAAACTGATGTGATTATTGTTATCATTGTTGTGATTCATTTGATTGGTTTTAACCTCGTTATGGATGTTTTGTTTATGTATCCAGTAAGCTGCTTTGAGACTTTTGATTGTAGAAGAGCAGAAGTATAATATATAAATAACTAACAGCATTGAGGGGTGCTGATGTCCTTTAAAATATGTAAATTTAGTGGGAGGGAAATTCAGATAATAGAATACAACTTTTAGGTAGATTTGACTTTAAAAGCCAAGATTTTAGAAGTCAAATACTCAGGTTATTAATCAAAATTAATAACCTGCATGTTTACAATATTCAAATGCATTCATTTATTTAGATTTCAGACATTGAAAGAAATATAAAAATAGAGAATTTAGCATTATTCACTCATCCACAATTACTTTATATAAGATTAAGTGCTTAAATAAATGTCAGTACCCACCTAACATGTTCAAATCACTGCATTTTCCATTAAACATTGCCTTTCCTTCTGGACATATGCAAGCTGCACCTGAAGGATTGAGTAAACACAGGAACTCACAGGTTAACTGCAGACAAGGATTGAGTGCTATTCGGAAGGAGAAAAGAAAGAAGCGTAATATGGATTATTTTTCAAATAAATAATGAAATAAGAAGCAAGGCCCTTATAGTATAAACGTTAAGATTTAGCCCTGAGCCTGTCCCCCAATCCCATTAATAGAAGGGAACAACTAAAAACAAATCCTGATCCTCTGTTTTCATGAACAGATTCTCAGACAAGAAGTGGTAAGCAATTTGGTATCCTACAGTTTATGGAAGCCATAAACACAAATAACAAGAAACAGTTTCATATAGTGGTTAAGGCATCAGGTTAGAAACTGGGAGAATTATGAAGCCAGATGGGTGATCCTGAGCCAGTCACTCCCTAGGAAGGAGACAATTGCAAACCATTTCTGAAAGACTTTGCCAAGAAAACTATAGGCATAAAACAAAATAAAAAAAATGACTTGAAGGAATAAAAAACAAAAAGGACAAAAGACAAAGCAAACCAAGAACCAAAAACCTAACCAAACACAATCTCCCTCAAACACCTTTAAGATATCAGGATTTCATTTTATTTATTTGTTTTTTATACAAATTTATAGGGAGTCTACACCATAAATTGTAATGAAGAAGAAAATATACCACACTTCGTGTCATAATCTACTTCATGACCTCTTCCCCAACAACGTGTCTCCAACTAAAGAGCACCTTTAGCAGTAAAGGCTCATTGCAAGAGAAGATAATTTATGGGTGTCCCAAAGGTTAGCAGGGAAGAGATTGTTATAATAAAATATTTTTCTTCTCTTGTAACTACAAAACATTTTATTATTAAGCCCAGTAAGAGATCTTTCTATAGCTTTTATAGATAGAGCCATGGTAGCGCAGTGATGAGAGTGTAGTATTGCAGGCTACTTCTGCTGATCACTGGCTGCCGGCAGTTTGGCAGATTGAATCTCACCATCCTTCCATCCTTCCAAGGTCAATAAAATGAGGATCCAGATTTTGGGGGGCAATATGCTGACTGTAAACTGCTTAGAGAGGGCTGTAAAGCACTGTGAAGTGGTATATAAGTCTAAGTGCTATTGCTATTGCTATTCCTAATGCTATCCCAAAATAGCTCATTTACTCAGTCTCTGAAGTCTAATGTATCAATGCATGGGAAGGGGTGAATAAGTTATATATTTATTTTGTATGCTATTTTGAATATTGAAATATTTTAATTTTTTCCCCTGAAAGTAATAAAATATACTCACAATGTATTTGCTTGTAGCGATGTGAAATCAAGGCACTTTTTGTTTTATCAGTCTCCAAATTCAAATATTCTACGGCACCATGGCCAAATTTTTGCACTCTAAATGCACCATTTTTAGGTCCAGCTCCATATATATAGTTCTCAAAAATATCAATTCTATGAGGATGTAGTAAGCCTTAAATAAGTAAAAAGAAATACACATTTCAATTTGGATGACATTTCTATACTAACATATAAACTAATGATGGTATTTTTGTAGTGATATTTTGATTTTATGAACAGCATCTGAAGTTGATAAAGTTGACAAGAAAAATAAGGAATCCAATGTGACTTCTCCACTGGAAATATGCATCCTTCCTATCCAGCAAAAGATCCAGATGAAGTACTTCAACTGATAATTATACTTTAGAATTTATCATACAGTATTTTGGAGTTCAATACAACAAAAAAGGCAAATCTTTTATACCACTTTTCATATTTAATTTCTTTCTTCTGAACAGGGAGTTCTTATGAACAGAATGCATGGAGAATCTGAATTAGCTTTTAACATTACAGAAAATTTCCTCAGCTAAAATAATTCAAATAGGAAAGTTATTATTATCATTTTCTAATACTTATGCAGAAGCATCAAAAGATAACAAAGTACTTTGTCCTGTAAACAATGCAGTAAAGCATAATCTTTTGTCCTTCTGTTCATTGACTTCAATTTGGTTAGAATTTAAAAAAAAAAAACCTCTAGGAGAAAACAAAATCTTGGGGATATGCACAGTGTGCATTGCACATGCACACACATGCACACATATACATCCAGTGGATATATAAAAACTTTACACACCCTTAATAAAATGCCAGGCTTTTGAGATGTAAAAAAATCAGACCAAAATAAATCAAATTTTATTCCAGTTTTAATACAACATAAAAACTGTACAATTCAATTGAAAACAAACACACCTTACCAGTAGGGGTCCTTAGGCAAAGACTCCCTAATCTGGCTACTTCAGATATAAGAGCCACAAACGAAGAGAGTCATAATGACTCAGATGATGCCAAGAAGCATCACAAGGTCTGTATCAGATGTTGGGGAACCAGTAAAATCTGACAGTAAATAGGTTATTGGAATAAATCATTCATAAATGAAAGAATCTGGAATTGATGGAATGCTAAAACAGCAGATGTAATGAGACGTGATACATGAAGCATAGGAGGATACTATGGACGGATGAAAGACCTACATCTACACTGAGAAATAGCCAATCACCCAATGCTTCAGCATAGTGAAGAGAAAGATGCTTTCATAAACAGATAGGCTAATTATACATTACTTCCTGGACTCAAGAAAACCCAGAAAAACAAATTGTCCAATCTCTGCTTAAAAATCTCAAGCGATTTTAATTTATTTTATTTATTTGTAAATTTTAAATTTGTAAAGCTTTGCAAACTTGTAATTTTGTAAAGCTAAACAGTCAACCCTTATAACCAATGCTTAATGGGCTTGGACAACCTCAAACTACGCCGCCTATGGTTGGATGTAAGCATAGTACACAAAATTATCTGCTACAATGTCCTATCAGTCAATGACTACTTCAGCTTCAACCACAATACAAGAGCACACAACAGATACAAACTCAATGTAAACCGCTCCAAACTTGATTGCAGAAAGTATGACTTCAGCAACAGAGTGGTCAATGCCTGAAATGCACTACCTGACTCTGTTGTTACATCATCTAACCCCCACTCCTTTAACCTCAAACTATCCACTATTGACTTCACCCCATTCCTAAGAGGTCTGTAAGGGGTGTGCATAAGTGCATAATTGTGCCTAGAATTTATTCGTACCTATTTATTTGTACCTATTTTCATGTTTATACTTATACATATTATCTTGTAAGCGACTGACAAATCAAATCAAATCAAATCAATTAATTAATTAAATGCTCAGTGGAGAATTATATTCAGACATATACTGGAAGATGACAATAATGCCCTCACAAAATTCTTTACAAATGCAAACCAATAAACTGAATACATTACAGCCTCTGTAATAATCCTGGAGGTGGTTGATTACACAATTAAGATGAGAAGCAATGCATACACTCCCCCCTACCCCCAGAAAATGAGATTAAAGGATAAGATCAAGGAAATTTGGAGATAAATTAGTAAACTGCTGGAACTACTTGGCTAGTGAAAAAAAACCCAGCTCCTGTTTCCATGTGAAGCCCTATTGACTGTTAAACAAGGTCTCAGAGCACTGGCTACTAGGCTAAGGAGCTATATTAGAGAAGCAGAGGTCAAGAAGGTAAATGTCCTGTTCTCTAAAGAACCAACTAAAGTATAATCCCAACTGCAACGCAATAATACAGTAACAGCAGAACCAGAAGGAAAAAGGGAAGATACATAACATTACTGCAAAGTGTCTGCAGGAATTGAGAGCAGACCACAGAAAGATTCCAGTAAAAGAACTAATTATTATCACACTATTAGACATCCAGTATTGAATCAAGAACGTGAACTGCTGGACAGCATCTGGCCTGGAACTTATTCATATCTTCTGTCAAAAATGCATGATTGCTTAGCAGCACACAAGAATCACCAGCTAGGAGCAGATTCCCAACAGACTCCCACTCAGATTGCTGAACACAAGGAAATATGCTGGTTATGAAACAGCTTCACATCCTACTAGCAGACAATAATAACAACATGGAAAGTCCTATCAGGTACCAAAGCCACCAAGCTATAGGACCCATATGGCTAAGTATATAAGCATATCTCAGAAGGGCATTGAGAACAATACCAGAGGCTCAAAATACCAGTTGCTCATAGATATAACAGCTGTTCAAGATGTAAAGCCTAGACAATCTAAGAATAGTTGGAATTAATTACAGGAAATCCTATGACTCAGTGACATAAACATGGATCTGTGGATACTGGCATTATACTGAGTCAACAAGATATTGGTTGCCCTGTGACTGTGAGATACCAAGGTACTCATAACTGGTTTGTAAAACTACCAGCAGGTCACATACCTGCTTGATACCCCACAGTCACATAGCAACCAGAAAGACAAGGCAAGGAAGATAGCAACTTCTAAATATCATCAAAAGATGGGGACATGAAGAGCCAGTTTAATGAAAAGAGCAAGATCCACACCGTCAACCATCAACACATATACACTGCCATGTATTAAATACCTTGCTGGTATACTGAATTGGCCATGAAGGACATGGAGACTGCCAATGTGAAGACCTGGAAGCTCCTCATAATGTATGAAACCTTCCACCTGAAGTCCAACACCCAGAAACTGTACACCTGCCCATCCATGGGCAGGTGGAGTCTAGGAATGTCAAAGCCACTGTCCTGAATAAAACCCGGAGTGTTCAATCAAAAGATGTACCCATTGATATTCTGCTGAGAGAATGCCTGAGGTAGCAGCAGATGTAGAAGGAAATTTAGACAAAGAAAGTACTATGGCAAGACAAGATCCTGCATGGGATAATGGAAGATAATGATCAGCACTTAAGCACTGATCATAGCAGTACTAGAACAGGCACTAAGCACCTTTAGAGAGGCCTCTGAGACAATTCTAAGAGACACATGCCGACAGGATGTAAGATCCAGGAAGGAACAGCATATATTGAACAACCCAAGCAAGTAACTGGCATTGTGTATAGGAACACCTGCATAATGTATGGGCTAGACCTTCCCAAGTCCAAATGGGAGATTCCACAGGTCTTTGAGAATAATAGAGCTAAGAACCTGTGGGACTTCCAGATCCAGACGGACAGGTAGGTACTGGCCAATCAATACTATGACAGATATTGTGATAGTAGACCAGACAGAAGATAGTGATGGTCAGTGGTGCCAAGGGACAGCAAAATCAGGAAGGAGTTTGAGAAACTGGAGTACCAAGGCCTTAAGTAGGAATTAGAAAAGATGTGAAAAGTAAAGGCCAAACTGGCTCAGTGGTAGTACGAGCACTCGGAGCTGTGACTGCTATGCTGAAACAATGATTCCAAAAGATCCTGGGAACATTAGAGCTCTCTATCCAGAAGAGTGCAATGCTGGGAACAGCTAAGATACTGAGCAGAACCCTCAAACATTTATACAAATATACACTTACCTTGTTTGCTGCTAACACATATAACTGAATCAGAGCCATCAAAACGAATACTGCCAATTACTGATAATTCAAAATCAGCCCAGAACAAGCGTTGACTGAAGTTATCAACCACTAGACCTGCAAACATATTAGTTAAGAATTTGAATATAAAACACTGCATAAAAAAATAATCTTGCAATCCTAGATTTTTTTACAGAACTATACAAAACAATAGGTGAGACCAAATTTTAGAAGTGTGCTTCTAGATTTGAATTTCTCCATAGAACAATGTAGTTAGTCCCAACATGCAGACAGTTATATAACTCTTGATATACTTAAATCCATCCTTTCAAGAAAGATGCATAGGAACAGTGCCTGTAGTGTTTGAGAATGCAGATGTTATACATAACAACTGTTGGATGAAGAAGTCTCCAAAAGAGAACCCTGGTATAAACTGCCTATATAGTAGTTTGTATTTGGATGCTACATTAATGGATTAAAAGAGGACCTAAATTAGGGATGAGGATAAATGTGAAGGAAACTCCGTCATCCTTCATACTTACAAAAGTAAGGTTTCTAGACTTGATGTAACTCCCAGTTGCAAAAAAAATTTGCACATATGAAAGAAAGATATGAAGAAATACATATTATCTTAGAAAGCCTGCTTTACATCAGACTAAGTACGAAAAGAAGGTAGGAAAATTTAGATATTAGTATAAAATGGATACAAAAATTTAAAAGATGGTGGGTAGAAAATGTATGCTAAAAATTAAGCAAATTAAAATATATGCTAAAAAGATTAACAATAATATAAATATTTTAAAGCAGATTATTATTTTTTAAATCACAAATAGAAAAGGCAAAGATTAAATTAATTTAAGGAAGAGAAATGTTAATGAGAAAAATCAAACATGCCATATTCACCTATTTAAGTAAACTGACTACAAATTCATAAAATAAATCTATTATGAGGTTTCATAAAATCACTATAACGTCTAAGCAAGTAAATGAAGGTATATCCAGGACCAATAAATTAATTGATCATGATAAATAAGTTGAATATTATTGAATTCCTATATATTGTTTGTTTGCAACAGAGTACTTCACTTTGCAATATTGATTTCACATTCAGCATTAATTATGGTGGAATCAATGTGCATTATCCAAAGTAAAAATTGGCTTATAATGAGTATTACTGAATTCTAATCCAGTCTAAAATTGGCTATGCTTGACATCTGATTTTCACTTCGGAAAAATCATGAACATTGCAGTTATCTACTGTAATTTAAATCAGCTCCAACTTTTCCAAGGTGCAGACATTTAATTTAGATTTTGTTCAATCTTTGACAAGACATTAAAAATATCTCAGTAATACAGAGTTTTGTTCAGAGTTTCGCAATCTGCCACTGTTTTGATAATATTTTTATTTGTTAATATTTTAACACTTGATTCATACACTCTAAATGATAGGTAAAACTTTTATGTCAATACTGAGAGCACATATATGCAAATAAGAATAATAATTTCTCCTAACAACTCTAGTATATAAGAGCAAAAACAGAAATACGCTAATATAACATTGTATTAATCTTTCTTGTTTCTTAGAAAGATTGAAAACACAGTCTTCTTTAATTGCTTGCCGTGCTAAGTCTCCAATAATTTCCTGATTCCCAAGATTTCATTCTTTACCAAGGAAACTTATGTCTATATTCTATAGTAAAAAAAAATCACAGATATATGTAGGATGCAAAGATACCTAATGTCTATAATGTACATTATTCCTGTAATGTATACTTACAAAAAGCTGTTCATTTTTCATACCACTTTCTTAAACTTTACGTTATATTTCTTGCATAACTTTTATATATTACATATAAATTTCTAAGATCAATATACAGATTGTTATGTCAACTCAGATATATTGAGATATATTGTTAAAATAATATTTCCTTGTAAAATTCCAGTTTAAAGAATGCTTTGATAGTGGCATGCTTTATAATTGTTAGGATTATATCCACACTGAAGGACTTTCTTTACTGTACAAATAAGAATGATGTCAAAGCATTCTTTCTCACATTGTCCTTCATTATTCTTCTTAGTCATATGTGGAGATAATTGCTAACCTGCACATATTATCAATGATTGAATAAAATATTAATATTAATTTATCTGTACAATGAACTTTAACAATGTGGATATTATTGATTTATTTGTATGCTACTCATTCTAATAGTCAGAAAGCAGCAATTGTGCAATCTGTCTTACCAACCTGTAAGGTTAGTAAGAAAATATCACATGCATTGATTTGCTTATTTATTTTAAAAGCTATAGATAATAAATTATAGAAATTTTAAAAAGATGTAATGGTCAAATGCAGCTGTAACTATTTGTCACTGTATATGGAAACTTTTAAAATTGTTCTTTTGCAATCAAAACAATCAGGTACAACTCACAGTGATGGAAACAGGATGAACATTGCCCAACATTTTACACTGGATCCCAACAGTGAATTCAAGTGTATAAGTTATGTACTACGTGTCACAACATTGTGGTGCATATTTCATTTCATATTGATTTAAAAGATTGGTATAGCTACTTATCTTAAAATGCAACTCTGGATGGTTCATTATGTCATTTACCCCACTTAATCCTTGCAGATACTATGACTGAATTAATAAGCATCAAAAAACAAGTACTATAGTTCTATATGGTATATATTGTTTTATATATTGCAAAGATATGTTATCCTAAAAGTACAATCTGGATATGATATTTCAATAAAAGAAAAAAATGGTTCTGTGGAAAGTACATCCTTGCAACAAAAATTAGAAAAAAGTAATTCTTGCAGCATATAGAAAACTATTACATAAAATACCAAACAATACACAAAATACCAAATCAGGATTATTACTAGGTTGCAATATAACACAGAATAACACTTCAGAATAGCTGAAATAAAGTCCATTAATATATAATGTATTATTAAAACTTAGCTGTACCTGTTGGTCTTTGTAAATTTTTTTGTACTATTATCCTCCTCAAAGTACCATCCATCGCTGCTTCTTCTATATGAGAACGATCTCCAATTACAGTCCAATACATCATGCTGTAAATCCCAAACATAAATCACATAGTACTATTCCATTATACTTAACACAAAGAGTCTACTGCTATATGTCAATTTATTTATGTTCTTCTGAGAATTCACAAAACTACCTATCTTTTATTTTGAAACTGAAGAAACTCTATTCCATGAACCCAAGTGAGAATAATGCCCAGATATAAGCTCTAGACCATGTACATGGTAACTTGTCATGGGATATTTTAATATCTCTGGTTAATTATGGATGTGCTATAATGTTCTTACAAGCATTCATTCTATGGTAAGATCTAAAGATTATGACTTCCTGTCGGCCCTGGTCAGACATATTCACGCAGGACTGAGATGTGAAGTCAGGAATAATAAGCCTGGCTAGTTAGCATTGCTAGGGATGCAGGATAATAAGCCAGTGGCCATTCTTTATCCATGTCACTTTATAATATCCTCTGAGTAAAGGCCAAGGATTCCTTCTTTTAAAATTGCCAGTTAGTGGTGTCTTCATAACACAGATTTATTTTTGTCTTGTTCCCTGAATGTAAACATGCATCTGAGAACTCTCACATATTTTCCCAAGGCATACGACAATATTTTATTGAGCTATGGTTTATTTTGTTTCTAAATAGCATCTCCTAGCCATTGTTTGAATTGTAATAAGAAGTGGAAGTTCAAGGCAGTATAGATGTAATCAGGCTCAAGTGAAATGAGTACTGAAAACAGATATATATTTTTCAGTGTTCTTCTGTATGTTATTTTCTGCATTGTATGTTTGTTTCAGTCCTCTGCATATTCATATTTCTATTCTTTACCAGGATCCATTGGATTATTCAACTGGCTATTATTTAAATTAAAATATTAAAGTCATTCTAGCTGATCTCATAGGGAATTTGCATTTTGAATAATTTTAAATGAGAATTTTCCGACAAGTAAAGAAGCAGGCAAGAAAGGACTAATTTCCTTCTCTGTGAAGAGTAGGGCCAAGCAAACACAGAAACTATGTCATTCCAGAGGCACTTTCATTATATAATAGTTCACATAATGCCTATCATAAAAGTTCTTGTTAACAACATACCCTTTCAGCGGATTTACGGCAATTGCATATGGTTCTCCTGCCATATTTGTAAGGAGTCTTGTGCAGTTTGGTCCATTTATTTGTCCCACATTGATGGAGTATCTTAAACTTGTCCAATGAGTTGTATAATAACTAAACCAATGCATTCTGGAATGATCAGTCCAGTAAATGTTTCCAGCTATCCAGTCAACTGCAATGTCTCTAGGGCGTTTGAATTCAGGACACTAGAAAGAAAGCAAAAATAAAATAAAAAAAATAGATGTTTTAAATCGCTCTGCTATTTAATTATTTGACCTGATTGGTTTATAAAGAAGCCTACCATTTTAACATTGAGCTTGAAAGAACATTTAAAGTATAAAAATCTATATATTTTAATAGCCTATATTGCTTTCAAATTTATATTTTTCCGAAAATATTTAGATATCATTCTACTTTATGCTTCATAGATTGCCACAATTGCTTTGTATATTGTATTTTTGCCTTTTAAGCCATTAAGATTTTGCAATTGCCGTTTCATAATTTCTTCATGAGTATATATAACAAAGAATAGCTCTAAGGGGACCATATAGTAGCAATGATACAAATGGTATTTGGAGTATCAATTGATAGGGTTTAGCAAACAGGTGAAAAAACCTCAGCTAGTCAACTGAAGGAGCGCAATACAACTATGCAGCGTTGAACTCGACTCACCTTCTTCTGCTTCCTGCAGCACACTTATTTACTTATTTGATTTCTAATTTCTGATTAACTTCAAGCAGGCTGAACAGGGACAGCCAAAAGACCAGATGTGGCATGGGAGCTGTAAAATGCTCAGGTTTGTTGTAGAGAAAGCTGTTGCACAGCAGCTTCATAGGGTTCTGGATGAAGTGGATTATTATCTGGACCCCTTGCACTCAGGATTCAGGCTGGGATATGGGATTGAGATAGCATCGATGTCACTCTTGGATGACCTCTAGCAGAAGCAGGGGGTAATGTATCCATTTTTGCTCTTCTTGACCTCTAAGCAGGTTTCTATACCATTGATCATGGTAGCCTTCTGGACCAGCTTGGAAGTTGGGGTTTGGCAGCACAGTGTTGTGCTGGTTCTCCCTCTTCCTCTGCAGTTAATTCCAGTTGGTTTTGATAGGAGGGTCCAGCCCAGGCCAGCTCACTTGAAATTACAACAGTGTTAGACAAAGGGACTTATAACCAGTGCCTAACCTTCAGATGTTGTTGCGCTCCATGGTCATGCAATTGCAATTTGGACACTTGACAACCTGGTTGTGCCAAGCACCCCAAAATCATGTGATTGCCATCTGAAATATTTCCTACTGACTACTCCCACAAAATCAAGAGGGAATTCAGTAGGAAAGATAGCAGGCTTCAGTCGCCTGGGGAGTTTGAGTTTGGATTTCTGATTGAGTTTCAGGATGGATCTTTTTCAGCCATTTTTGATAGCAAAAATACTGCTCGGATGATTTTGTCCCATACTGAGTGGAATCTCCTTTTTTCAGCCAATAAGACTGATTGAAAATGGACTCCAGTGAATCTGTTCATTTTTTGCTGTCAAAGAGGCTGGATGAAAATTGATTTTTTCATTCTGAGAACAAAAGTGTTGCGCAACAGATTTATGTTGCCTTCCACTGGGCAGAGTGTCTCCAGCAGACAGAGGGGAATGCAGGTCTGCCCTAGAGAAAAGAAGCTTGGATCATGAAGCTTCTGTGCATAGAGAGGAGCTACCTGTCCTCCTTCAGCAAGCTGTTTTATTTTTCCAGTTTTTTTTTTCTCACTTTAATGACTGTGCCTGGCAAAGGCAAATCAGAATACATGGTGATATTCTTTATAATTGCCATGAGTTACAACCATGGTTTGGGCTCAATTATGGTCCTATGCAGGGGGTGAGATTCAAATTTCTTAACAACCAGTTCTGTGGGCATTGCCTAACTTGTGGGTGTGGCTTGGTGGTCTGGGCATGGCTTGTATGTAAATATTGTAAATATTTATGTAAATATTGAATTTTTTATTTAAAAAGAGCAACTTTTACCCAAAATCAGGCAAAGCAGGCAGGCAAATTGAGTTGCTCACAGAATCACATATTTACTCTGAGATCTACCTTTCTGCAATCTTCTGCCTGAGTCTACACTGAAAAATAGAAACTTCAGTCCCAAGGAAGGTTCAGCTCTGCTCTCACTTCTTCCCTCCCCAACCCCCTGAATACCACCCCTGACTGGGCCTCTCAGGGAAGCCTCCTGGGCAAAGGTGAAGCAATACAACAGTGATTTAGATTAGCTAGAAAGCAAGAAATCCAACGATTTCCTGATTTCTAGCTAATCTAAATCGCCCGGCACAGTTGATCTTCAGAAAACAGCTGATGGTTGGGGCAGGGAAGGAAAAATACCAACTTGCCAAAAATTAGGTGAAGGCACAACACAAGCAAGTTGGATGGCGTGCATGCCAGGTAAAAAGTGACTGGGCAAGGCAGGACGGGGCCAGCCAATGGCGCGATTTGCCAGTTCTCCGAACTGTGCAGAATCAAAACAACCAGTTTTATAGAACCAGTGCGACCAGGTAGAATCCCACCCCTGGTCCTATGTCAAGGACAACTATAGCGATATTCCAACTCCTGCAAAGACTCTTCACAGTCTATAGAAATGCCAATGTGGGACAGAAGGAAGTCACCTGGGGCTTATCTGAATTAAATACCTTTAAAAAGCAGTTTTAAAATACAAATATATACCATTCTTAATTTTTTTAAAAAAATTTAAATTATTAGAAATATATGCATTGATAGACAAATAATGTATAGGAAACAATAGCTTTTGATTCAATATCCACAATTCCTTTTTTGACTTTTGAAATTACAATTTAATTTATAAATATGCACCATAAATGCAATATAGGATAAATATTTCAAGACTGATGTTTTACTAACTTCAGTTACATTCACTTCATATATATTTGGACAAACCTTATTAACCTTATTGAGCAATTATTTCTTTATGAATATTTATCTGTATACATCTGTTTACACGTGTATTATGTTTTTTTATTAATAACCATCAATAAATTAAAATAAAGTACAAAACATTTAAGCAATAAAATGTTAAATAATGATGCCATTCCAAAACATTAGCTTATTGTTAATATTATCACAATCAATTTGAAATGAAAATAAAACAGAAAGGAAAGTGAAAAATAGCAAATTTCACAAAAATCCACATAGGATAAAGAGAAAACAGGTTGATGCTTACCTTCTTAAGTATACAAATATCTGAGATGTCTAAAGTTCTGTGTGTGCGTGCGCGTGCGCGCACACACAAACACACACACACACACACACACACTGCATCCACAGGACTTTCTCAGACAAGAACTCAGAATGCTCAAAAGATATTATAGAAATTACTGCAGGGAATGATCTGTGTGCTTCAAAATACCTGCAATGTTGTGAGTATCAATAGAATTCTTCTAATATTTGAAAAAAAATGGTGCAATGTAGACTACCTGCCACAGTTGCACCACTGACCCTTCCCTTAACGGGAATGCATTCCAACAAGTTCTTTGTGATATATTCAGGACATGGATAATTGGCCAAATCAAGATATTGATAATCAGAAATAACATGACAATAAACCAATCAAAGCTGAGAAGTACTGAAATCTACTGTATTGCTTGTTGCAGCCTACGTAGGAGATATTTGGATATACAAAGAAATAAGACATTGGTATTAAATCAGCTTTTGGCACTCTCTGAGCTTGGTTGTTTGCCCTTGATTAAGTAATGGCCTCAGCGCCACCACTGAAAATCTTCAGCTAGCACTGAATGTTACTTAGTTGGTAATGTAGCCTAGTTTTCAAGAAAACAACCAAGTCCAGAGAACATCAAGGACTCCATAGTTCAATCCTGAGCTACGTATATTCTCTTTTGATAGTATCTTTGTATTATAGCAACAAAGAAGTCTTCTTTGGGTGGCACATTTTACAGATGCTAAATATATTTTTTATTTGGTCACAACCTATCAAACTCTAATGTGTACATATTTTTATTCTTAAGGTGATGATAATTATGAACTAGTTCACCTTGAAGAAGACCTTTTTTTAAAATCATAGTAAATCAGTTCCAGGAAAAATACAACACAAATTTAATCTACACTGAGTTACCATGGTTAACAAGGATAAAGAATTGGAACTCTAAGTTTTCTGGAACTTTTTGTATTTGGAAACTGTCACATTTAAATGAAAAAAGAATTCCAAGATAAAAACATGCAAAATATCTCAGAATTGTTGACTTACTATCACACCGCTATTGCTTTGTCTTCTTTCTCCCCCATTGACCTTTTTATAGAAAATGCCTCCTGGATTAAATTGAGTACTCCAAATAATAATTTCCCCTTGATAATATAGATCTATTCCAGTTATTCTTGAGTTATGTTCAATGTGTGTAATCTGTTGATGAACATCACTGTAGTTGAATGGATATACAAAACCCAGGATATCAGTGTCATTAGCAATGTAGAGAACTTGATCTTCAGAGCCTGGAAATTGTTGTAATGAAATACAAAAATAAAGTAAATTTCAACTATTAAAAAGGAGAGAAATTCATTTATTTAATGTTTCATACTTATATGGTTTGTTTTTATATTGCAATCCATATCCTACTTATCTTCAAATATTTTTAAATTTAACTGAATTCAATAGGAATGTTTCCAGTGTTAAGTAATGTGTTGAAGAAAGTCTTATGACAATTTCTTATTTACCTGAATTTACTTAACTAACACATACATTGTTATTCTCATTTCAATAATAATATATACTGAAACACATTCTTTCCCCCTCTTTTAAATTATTCCTTCCTCTACCTGTTTTAAAAGTACAGGACAAAGTTTTATTACATTGTATGTAGATTTTTTTCCTATTTTCAAAATTTCTTGAAATATTAAGACCTGTTATTAGAATAGAAAGTCTTTGGTCTTGGTTCTTACAAAAAGTTTTGTTATAGAGAGTTGTCTTGGCATGAGTTCTATAGGATTGCTTCTTGTCCCATGCTTTTTGCTTCAATACAAAGCTATTATATGATATTACAGGGAATTCTGAATGAGTTTTATCAACAGGAATTTTATTTCACCCTATAATAATAACTTTGTTATTAAATTTCTTAATTTGGATAATAGTCAATAAATTGAAGCTCAGCTAGTAAATTTATGAATTTAAATGTTGTTGCTTCTTTGGGAGAAAGACAGTATACTGTTATCCATGTCCTGATAACTTCTCATCTGTAATCATGTAATTAAAGTTTTCTTTGGAAATTTTCAGGAAACATCAATTAATAAAATTACAGCTATCAGGGCAGCATATTTGCATCAGTTCTTGCAAATTTAAAAGGAATTTTTAGAATTGCTTTATATATTTTTGAATAAATTATAGGTATTAGAGTTAATTTTCAAATAGACTTAGGACTATGTCTAAGGAGGAGTACTTGTAGACCACAGTATTGATCTTTCATTCTTTACTTCTTTTCAGAGAAGCATCTAGAAAAAACAGGTTAATTTCAGATGACCTGTGAGGTTTTCCTAAGACATTCATTTCATGCCAACATTTTTTCCCCAGATACTAGGCGTGATATGTTATTTTTAGGCAATTTTTAAAAGTTCAGTAGGTTCTGTAGGCTGCTTGTTTTGTATCTTAAAGTTCCACTATTCCATTTGTGTAAATTGCTATGGAATATTTACTAATGAAGGGCACTGCAAAATATTTTAAGAATAAATAATGGAAAATACATGGAGGTTGTACAGTTTTATTATGGAAAATTGCAAGTATTATGTGTAAACATTAGTAATCTAATGAAGTTTCCATTACAGTCCAAATTTATGTTAAAGCAGAAATAAAAGGAAACTTGTTGATTCCTCAGAAGGGGACATATCTGAGTAATTTTAAAGAATTTCAGTAATATTAGCAATATTTCAAACATACTTTATATGTTTCTGGTATTAGTGTATTTAAGGGAAGGATTGGGATTCTGATTTACTGTTCTGAAAAATGGTTATTTCTATTCACAGAAAATAGTCTAATATAATTGATGGAGACTCCCACTGACAGAGAAGGTAAGACTATTTTCCAAGCAGATCATATGGTATGATCAAGAACTACAAACAAATTACTTTTTAATTTATTGCTTTCAATAATTAAATGAGTGTAATAAATGCAAGATTAAATGTACATTAACAAAAATCAGATGCATAAGCAATTATTCCTTTTAAAACAGAAACAGCATAATTACATTATGTGTTTTTAAGGCTTTTAGTCTCAAATAGAAACCTAAAGAAAAACTTTCTCTGTGTGCTTCTTTTTTGGGCAGAAGATGCACAGTGCATACTGATAAAGTTTAATAATGCTTTGATTTTCTCCTCAGTTCCATACAAAAATATTATGCAGTGAAACAATGCATTTGCATGGTCCAAAAAAAAAGGTAGATTTGTTCACATTTTCCATCATATGCAGGAATGTGAAAAATTTCAAATCAGATTATAAATAAAATGGTTTGTCATCAAAATTACTATATTGCTTTGTTTCCAATTAAGGGGTAAGAACAGAAGAAAAATACTTTTTCATTGTGTCCCGTTGTATTCTTATTTACAGTACCATTGTGCACAAAAGGGTCATAATTGCCGCGTGCACCAGCATCATTTTATTTATTTGTTTGTTTGTTTGTTTTGTCAATTGCTTACAAGATAATAGGTATAAGTAAAAACATAGTTATGAATACATGGGTACATATAAGAAAAATAAAAAAATAAAAGAAACAATAGGACAGGGACAGTAGGCACGTTGGTGCGCTTATGTACACCCCCTAGAGACCTCTTGGGAAAGGGGTGAGGTCAATAGTAGACAGTCTATGGTTAAAGTTTTTGGGGTTTGGGGAAGAAACCACAGAGTCAGATAGAGCATTCCAGACATAGACCACTCTGTTGCTGAAGTCATATTTCCTACAATCCAATTTGGTGCGATTAACCTTGAGTTTGTATCTATTGTTTGCTCTTGTGTTGTTATGGTTGAAGCTGAAGTATTCATTGACAGGTAGGACATTGCAATGTATGATTTTATATACTATGCTTAGATCGGACCGAAAGCGGCGTAGTTCTAGATTTTCTAGGTCTAGAATTTCAAGTCTGGTGGCATAAGGTATTCTGCAATGAGTAGAGGAGTGGAGAACTCTTCTTGTGAAATATTTCTGGACTTTCTCAACTGTGTTAATATCAGATACGTAATGTTGGTTCCAGACTGATGAGCTGTATTCAAGTATTGGTCTAGCAAATGTTTTGTATGCTCTAGTTAGTAGTGTAATATTACCAGAGAAAAAGCTACGTAGGATTAGGTTAACAACTCTTAACATCTTTTTGGCTATGTAGTTACAGTGGGCTCTAGCACTTAGATCATTAGGGATGAGTACTCCAAGGTCCTTGACAGAGTTTGGATCATCAACAAGGTCTTGACTATTCAGCCTGTATTTTATTTTCTGATTTGTTTTGCCAATATGTAGGACAGAGCATTTATTTGTTGAGATTTGAAGGTGCCATTTGTTTGACCATTCTGATACATAGTCAAGGTCTTTTTGAAGGGTAGCAGTATTGTCTGTGGTGTTGAATAGCTTTACATCATGAGCGAAGAGAACCCAGTTGCTCTTGATATAATCACAGAGGTCATTTATGTAGAATATGAAAAGAGTTGGTCCTAGAACACTGCCTTGGGGGACACCACTGTTGACAGGTACAGAATTTGATAGGATGCTCCCAATTTTGACCATTTGTTGTCATGAATTATTTTGTCAGCTTACCTTTTGCAATGCAGCTACTGTTTTTCTCTTTATAGTTCTTTTCACAAGTACATTTATATGACCCTTTTACATTGATACAGAGCTGGGAGCAGATGCCAAATATTAGACATTCATTGATATCTAGAAAAGAAAATTATTTATGATTTGTTTCAAATCACATGCAAGCTGTTGCAGAAAGATGGGACAGATGGCCTTAAAATTTGGAAACAAATTTAGCATTGTTCAAAACAATTCAAAAACAATATTTCAATAGTATAAAGCAGTAATAGAAAAAGTTCAGCCAAAGAACCATTTCTGTAAAGCAGCTTTAAAGTTAAAACTCTGAAGTCCTGTCCTAAACTGGGACAAGACTTTGGCCCTGGAGCTGTTCAATTCTAGAATGCAGCCCTTTTCATGTAGTACAAAGCTTGGGATGCCCTCTATCTAATATAAACTGTGCAAGCCTGGGTTAAAGTATCATAGTTACAGGTATCCATAGGAACCAGTGCATTTTTCAAATGCTGAAAGCTGTATTGCATGTCATGATGCAAGCTCCATAGGTTTTCTACATTTTTTCTTTGTGACAGCACACCACACTGGTACTTCTTTTCCCCCTTTTAATACTCCACTACTGATCATAGGTATAAATCTACAGGCTTTTATTTTTGATCCATGAAACCATTGCAATCAGCAAAACATTTCAGTATTTTCAAATTTCCTGAATTCTAGCTGACTGAATATTGAAGATTTTAACACTCACCACAAGCATGAACACAAATTATAAATATTCCATAAGACACCAAGGACACCAATAGGCTGGTAAATTAATGTGAAATGAATCCAAAGAACTCTCAGATTTGAAATGTTCATACTTCAAAGGACAATACATTTCAAAAAGAGCAGTGTATATTTGGAAAAACAGTTCTTTTTCCAGACTATGCTTTAAGGAGATATTGCATTATAATTACTATAATTCTTAAGGCAGCCATACTTTTATTCAGAGTCCTATTTCTACTGATTAAAGATGCTTTCAGAGGAACGTTATCCCAAAATGTGAAATATACATAATTATAATGAAGTGATATTAAATAATATTTCAATTGAATATATATTAAAATATGTCTCCATGTTTTTCATTAAATGAAGAAACAATAAAACCAAGTAAATTCTTAATTTTGCTGCTATTTAAAAAAATGTTCATCATATTTTGACTGGTTAACTTTCAGGAGAATTTTTAAAAAAATCTGTAATTCCAGTTGCCACAAATGAAATGACTTCCTTTATACTTTAACTGTTATTAAAATCAAACTTCTAACATTGCCTAGTAATATTATGAAACATTTTTATAATTGTCCAAAGCAATGCTTCAGAAATACCTTCACATTGCCAGTTTCTCCTATTCCTCTGAAATCCAGGCTTACATTGGCAGAAAATCGATGTTTTGGTTTTATTGCAATATGCATCATCACCACAAGGATTCACATTATTATCACAGTTGTATTCAGTCAAACCTAAGAACAAACATAAATTTAAATATTTGCCAAACAAAATATTTAACATTTTATACTAACTATGTACAATCATGATTCTTTCTACAAGCAAAATTTAGTACAAAAAGATATATTTCAAACTTGATTTTCACAGAAGTTATTTTTATATGATCTTAAGAAAAAACAGAGTATCACAGAAGTTATTTTTGATTGAAACAAGCTTGGAAATATTTCAGCTTTGACTCCATTTGTATGTTTCAACAGTTTGGAGGATCAACACGTATCATGAATCCCCTCCCAATTATTCCAAATTCATCTTAGAAATTTCTGAATGACTCATTTAATGCAACATGTTAAGCCAGTAAGCATAGGTAATGGAGCAGTATTTTAACCACAATTTGTAACAATAGCTTCTTATAGATTAACCTACTTTAACCATGATCCATCATCCCATTCAAATGTGGACTAATACCTAATTTATGATTAAGCAATTATCACTTTTTCAGGTAAACAAGAAGGTGCTCCTGCAGTGTCCCTACTATTCCTATTTTGTTTTTCAACTCTCTGGGGGGAATTGGTTGATAAAACAAAGAAACTGGGAAAGGATTAATCTTCTCTCAGTTTCTATGCACTGGCTTCAGCCCTGGTTCCAGGTTTTAGAGTTTCTAAACAGAAACAGCAAAAGTTGTTTGGTGGTTCTGGACAAAAGGAAAAAAAACCTTTCAAAATAGGAGTTGTTTTGATTTTATTGCCTCTGGGAAGGACTTTACTGGATGAATTTCTTAACTATGTTTGACACTAAAGCTGTTAAACTGGGATAGAGAGTAAAGAAAATGACCTCAATGGAGATATTACTTAAAAGACTGCTGTTAATCTAGGATCCTTTTTTATATTCCTTTCAAAAATTTTGAAAATGTTTCAAGAGTTAGTGTTTTGTTTTTTAAAGTTTTTTTAAATGTATATCTGTATGTGTATCTGTGTGCATGTACTTAGATATGATTAGAGATAATTAAAATAAATTAAGAAAGGAGTACATGGAATATCTACAAGGAATCTATGTTTAAATATGATTCAGACCAAATTTGCATGTGAAGACCATCCAAATAGGTCTGAACCAAAATAAATTGGATGTCGGAAATTAACTCTAAAAATTCAAATGTACACATTTTTATTGGATGTTTGAACTTTCTCAGATCAGGTGGAATAACTTAAATTTAATATAATAATTTCTGTCTCACTATATACGAAAGTGTCTAAAAACAGGTAAAGGAGATCGCCAGCAGAATTTCTAATATAATGTCTTTGCATGTTTTATTGGAACCTTAAACAGAGATCAACTTTGAATTTAAATGAGTTTAATTGAAATGCCTAGAGTAACTTGAACAATTTTTCCTGGAGAATATCAGCAGCTTCTTTTTACTGTTTCGCCATTCTTGGGATCCTATATTTCTTCTTTCCCCATTAATTGTTTTCAGGGCAAGGAAAGCAAAATATCAAGGAAATAAGTTGGTGGTGGTGGTTGGTGGTTATGTACTATCTTTCCTCATTCCCTATCATATCTTAATTTTTTTAAAATATGATGAAAATTTTAAAATATATTGTGGTGAAAATTTGCAAACATTACCATAGGCATTTGGGAAAGTTAATGATCTCTAAAAGTTCTATCAACCCTTTTTAAATTCATTTTTGTTGGAGAGTACCCAAAGAAGCTGCAATTATGGTACTCTCTATTATAGCCTAGGAAAACTATTTTCTCAAATCATAAAAAAATGAAATTGAATAGTATTTCTCACTAATCTCATATTTTAATTAAATAATGCCCTGTTTAATTGCTGATCACAATGCTTTGCTCTATATCACAGTCTTCATTTTTTTTCTTCCTTTAAGGATTAACATTCTCGTGTGTCCTTTTTCCTTACCATTTTTCTCCACATGACTACATGATTAGTGTATTTTTCATTTTTTTAGTGTTCAGGACTGAAGTAATAAAAAGTTGAAATAAAAGAGGGTGTTTTATATACATTGAAAACTATATTCCTCCTCTTGGTTCAAGAAATAGGGGACATTTGAGGCAAATGTTTGTAATCTACTGCATCCAGGCATTATAAACTATATAAATATTAATAGACAACTGTGACTCTTTAGCACAATATCATTTTTCTCAACTTCAAAGGAAGCTGTGAAAAATCCATTATACAACTAACACTGCAAGTTGGAGACCAAGCCATATGCAACAAAATAACTGTTTACATTCTGGAAAGAGGATGAACACTGAAGTATCTGACAGTCATAACATAACGGTTGAAGCATTGAGATTCTATAAACGAATCCATCCCATGAACAGATATGTAAAATATCAGTAATTATAATTTGAGTTACACTGTTCAGGTCTATCATAAAAGAACATTAAAATCAATTAGATTATGCATATTCTGTTCTATATTTTTTTCTGTCCTTGAGCATCAAAATGTGGCCATCTTTTAATCAAACTTACTTGTTTTACAGCCTTGTTCATCTGAACCATCTCCACAGTCATCAAACTGATCACATTCTAGTGGCATAGGTATGCACTTCTTATTATTACAAGCAAACTCATCCTTTTTACAAGGTCTGGCTTTATACGTAGTTTTGTCTGCAAAAAGATACATAGGGGCAGTCAATTGTTTTGAACTTTTACTTTATTCGTAAAATAAATTCAAAAGGCTTTACAGAATGCTGTTTCCTGACATGTTGGTGCCGGCTGTGTAGAAAGCATAAAATAATAAAGGTTTTCTATTGTTCCTGGGGTAGAGAATATGAGACCCCAAATCTCAATATTACAATTGCTTAAAGGAGAAATACATCACTCACAGAGTGATGTCTACTCTATTCATAAATTCAAGTCAATTACAAGTCAACACAGGCTGAATACATAATGAGGGGTAGGGGAGCAGGATCACATTTATAGTTACTTTTCACATACTGTAAAGTGGAGTTTTGCCATCATGTCAATTTAAAGCAACTGAATGTCAAATGAAAGAAGGAGGAATGTGTTTTCCTTATCATGGAAAAATTACTTTTGTGGCCACTAGGAGCTGAAAACAACTTAATGACACATAATCTATCAAATATAGTTATTTCCTAATCTCTTGACATGGAGAAAAAGAATAAGTTCTAAATTTTGGGATGACTAGACACATGAATGTCCATGGGGGATGAATTAGAAAATGTGCATGTTGACATCATCAGGCAAATGTCACAATTTACATATGTACTGTTGACATCAGTATGTTTTTACACAATGGCAGCATTTATCTGATGACATCATCATGCATGTTTAGTCATTTTGGAGCTATTGAGACTTGTTGGTCAAACTGATTCTATACAATGTTTCACTGGCCTCAGCAGGAACAATGAATAGTTAGGAGTTCAACCTATTGACAAAAGCTTTCAATCCAACATGAACATTAATGCTAATCAATAAAGAAAAAAACCTGCAACAAAATTAAGCAAGATCAGAAGCACAATATTGAACTGCTAACTAGGTTTCTGAACGACCATTTGAATACCACTTACTGCTGAGAATAACAATATGATTCCTATTCTAGAAATACAAACGAGTGCTATTACTCTACACTTACAGTGTTTGAGAGCTATCAAAGATGAATTTATTACTGTTATTGTACCGCCATTAGACTGGAATAAATACTGATCCACAAGTCATCTTGAGACATCTGTGAGTTATATTCCCTGTTATTAAGACAAGCAAGGACCCCCCCCCCAAAGAGTGTTTCTTTCTTGTTTGTAAAACTAAGATTATTTACCACAGTGATCTTCATCTGAATCATCACCACAGTCATCAATCCCATTACATATTTGCTCATGTCTCAAACAAACATGATTATTTCTGCATCGGTATGGCCTGGTTGGAGGGCATGGAAAATTTACTGTGAAAAAAGTCCAAAATGTGTATTATTTGGTTCTGCAGAGGATATGTCTTTTACATACTTATTTGCTTTCATCAAACAGGAAAAATGTAATTAAATTGTTAGATATACTTCTCCTTAATATTACTTTTAATTTAATGTAAATAATTTCTAGTTGATAAGAGAAAATAAGTTGGAAAGCTTTCAATTATGTTCCTCATGAGTCATGAAGAGAAACTTTCTCAACATACTAAGGATCTTCACAAAATGTTGCCTACTTCAAATATAATGAATACAACATGTAATCTTAAGACATAAATTTTCTCCTCATACAAATCAAAGACAAAGGAAAACAAGAGCAGGACTGAAGAAAAAAACAACTAAAGAGAATTTGTCATTAATTGAATATTTTCATTGGGCTGTAGGCCACAAACTTACAACATATTTCTGGAAATTCATCTGAGTTATCTCCACAATCATCTTCTCCATCACAAACCCAAAAATAGAGTTTACAGAGTGAGTTGTTGCAAAGGAATTCATCAGCTCTACATATGTTCCTCCCTAAAAATACAAAATAGCAAAACTAAAATATGTACATCTTATAAATATTTATTTTTAAATGTATATATGTTGGGATACCACAAGACATGGTAGATTTCCATGATTGGAAATCATGGAATGGTAGATTTCCATGATTTTGGCTCAAATAGCTACTAGGGATAAAATTTAAGACTGATAATGAAGAATAGTAGTAGATCCTTCTCCAGTGGAACACAGTTTATGGGAAAATAAGAAGCTAACAATCAGGACATGTATGCACGTGTACTCTTTCAACCAAATTCCCCAGCAACTGGTACCAAACACTCTTTTATCCCTGCAGCCTGAATACTTCCTATTTTTTTCTAATAAGAGAGAAAATCACTTTGAGAACTTTCATTGGGAAAATAATACTAGGACAAACAAGTCAATCCCTCCTCCATCATGACATAGAGGTCCTTCCTATTCTCAGAAAATAGCTATTTACTAAATTTGATGAATCTATAAATTTGATTGTGAATTCCAAAACTGTTAGCTGTCTATGTTTTCCTAATACAAGACATCTTATCTATTTCCTTTTTACCTTTTCATTGCCATCATACTGCTATAAGCAATATAAATTTTATATGACTTGACAGGAAAGGAAATTTGATCAAAGGAAAATGCAATTTTTAGCTGATTTTCTCCCTAAACCTCCTGATACAAGTAACTTCTTGTAGATATGTAAATTTACCAAGAAAATATTGCTAAAGGGAAAAATATAATCAAATACTGAAATTAGTCATTGATTCATGGTTGCTGTCAGCCTGCTGGTAGTGGTTGTAGTTGATTGTAGTTGAATTGTAAAGCCTGGTACATTTTTTTAAAGTCTCACAAATAAAGCTACTGACCTTATTGCATTTTAAAAACACATTTTGAATTAAAAGAAACCAGAATAACATTTATTTGTTCACTGCTCCCAAACTTTGCTTAATTTCTGTCAGTGGATTCTGACAGATTCTTAATTTCTGTCAGTAATTACCATCAGTAATTACCATTAAAAGTAATAAAATTAGGAAGTGGCAAGCATTCCTATACTAGCAGGTAAGCTACTGGGCAGATAATACATATTAAGGTCAATCCTTTGCCTGCTTCTACTTGGAACAATAGCTTTTTTTTAGTAGTTGCATCTACCAAGGATTCTCTAAATCAGCACCAAGGACCAGTTCTGTGGAGAAAAGTTTTTCCATGGACTGGAAGGAGTGTGGTTTAGCATACTGCCTGCATCCTGAGGACTGGGCTTCACTTGTTTGTACAGACTGGTTGCTGACATGCTGCAGACGGGTGCCAGTCCACGGACTGGGGGTTGGAGACCCCTGCTCTAAATATATGAGGGATAATAAATAGAAGGCATCTAAAGAAGATTATATGATCTGAACTTATGAATTATTGTTAAGGCGATGGATTATAGCCAAGCTAACATTATTAACAAACTGCAACTGCAAACTCAATCCGTTTCTTCTTACCTTCCCTTTCTATTATACTCTATATCCCACATATATACATACCAGAGGTAGTATTCAGCAGGTTCTGACCAGTTCTGGAGAACCGGTAGCCGAAATTTTGAGTAGTTCGGAGGACCAGCAAATACCACCTCTGACTGGAGATTTTACAGTATCCTTCCCCTGCCACGCCCACCAAGCCACGCCGACAGAACTGATAGTAAAAAAAATTGAATCCCACCACTGATACATACATACATACATGCATACATACATATCAGAAGTTTCAATTTTTTTTTCTTTATGCAATTTAAGTATAAATGAAGGTTCAGCAAGGTGGGGAGACATCTCTTCCTTTTAAGATATTGATGGCATAGAACTAAATAACAGGGGTTATTTAATTTATCTCATCTTTATTAGTTTTATAAATAACTCAATATATCCAACATGTCTTCCACCTCCTATAATAACAACCTTGTGAGGTGGGTTGGGCTGAGAAAGTGACTGGCCCAAAGTCTCCCAGTCAGCTTTCATGCCTAATGCGGGACTAGAACTTATCATTTCCTTGTTTTTAATCTGGTGCCTTAACCACTTGACCAAATTGGCTCTCCATACATTAAAAAGTAGTGGCCAAATTTTCATGAAATTACCAAATCTTTATTATTTACAGTTCCATGCCAATACATCTTAATGTTCCACTGCAAAATTCTACGACATTTGGAACAAAACTATTGACATTTTGTATGATAAGAGGCAAATATAAAGGAGTAGAAGATAAAGCAAAAGGAAATGCAACCATATGTAGAAAGCCATAAACATAATATAGCATAGAAGCTTTATTATGCTAAATGAAGCATTTCTTCTTTATATAAAACCCGATTCTATAAATTTATAGAATTAATTTGTTCTTGGAATCTTGGGAAAGGGCCAGTAAACTTTCCTTCATATAAATTTTATTCTGAACCTGAACATTTTAAATTTGCAGTAAATGTATTTTATTGTATTTCTAAAATTTTGTCTTAAGAATGTGTTCAGCACAGATGTTGGTGTGCTACATTAATATAAAGCCTTTTATTTTCATTACCCCTAATATCAGACATATTAATGTACTGCTTTAATATTGCTATTTATAATATCAGGCTACAGAAATGCTAAATATGGAAAATGTATGCCCTTCATATAATTTGTCATCTGAAATTAAAATAATTAACAATACATTCCATCTAGACACCTATAGAAATATATTTTTGAAAAAAACTGTTATTTCATTTTTAGATCTAAGATATTAAATCTTGTTAGCTATTATAGTAAAAATCCTAAACCAGTTTCCTTTATTAAATGAAGTATGCATAAATAATGCAAATGCATCATTTATATTTGTATTGAAGCAATCAGATTACTGAATAACCTACACTGAATACAAATTCAAGTGTAATCACTCTTACTTGCCCAACATTTTCTGTACATACTTTATATTTGCTTACTTTTCAGAGAAAATTCAAATAATCTGTTAATAATGTCTTTCACAGTAGAAACAGATGACAAACAGTTCACTTGCAATGAAACTAACATGTGCTAGATAAAATAGGATGTGTTATTTCATCTGCACTTTAAGAACCAAATGCAGGTGAAATATATATAACTAAGAAACTAGGTCTTTGATTAACACTATGATGAAAACCTTCTTGCATACTAATTTGAAAATCTGAAGTGGATTTAAAAGGGGTGGGTGTAACATGAGGGATTCAGAAGCAAGCATTTTCTATTGGAGCTCCCCTCCCATCAAATCAACTGGCCCAGAAGATGACCAACTATTATTAATATTTAGGAAGTTGTTGAAAATTTGGTTCTTTAGGCTGGTATTTAGATTATGTCTGTCTGTCTGTCTGTCTGTCTGTCTGTCTGTCTGTCCAGGGGTAGGATTCAAAAATCCCAGCAACCAGTTCGCTGCCCAGTTGCTGGGTTGGTGTGGCCATGGTGGGCATGGCCTACTGGAACTTCCTGTTTCTGGCTTCCGGTGAGCCCCAGAGCCTGGGGGAGGCCGTTTTCACCCTCCCAAGAGTCCAGAGGTTTTCCCCAGGCCTCTGGGAGGGCGAAAACGGCCTCCCCTGGGCTCTGGAGGCCCACCTGAAAGTGGAAACAGGCCCATTTTGTGATGCTTTGTCCCATCCCTGTATCTATCCACCAATCTCAACAAGCAACTGTGTACAATGAACAGAATTAAGGTAGATTACCAATTGTTTTTATTAACAACTGCAAGCATTCCAAAAATTAAAATAAAGAGCAGCAAGTATTACTAATGTTGGTAGTAATCCCTGATAATTGTATTATTATTACTATTTTGAAGTTGAATTGTGAATATTTATTTGCAGCTTGTTATGGATATTTTTATTTATTGTTTTTGTCAGTAGCTCAGATTCACTTTAAATTTATATAGAAGAAGAAAGCATCCCACAATGGAAAGGGAAGATAATGATATTCCTTTCTTCCTGAAGTTTCCTGTATCCTTTAAAATCTGGGTCAAAATATTTTGCTGCTGGGGTAAAAAAGAAAAGGACAATCCCAATGTGGTACCAGAAATATATTACACAATGTTGGATGTCACTTAAAATGTTGCTTTTCTTGTTCCTGCTGATTATTGCAAGGCTTGCATAAGTAGAATTCTCTGTATATACAGAATTCTCAGTATTTATAAGGTGGTACCTGACAAACTCTGCAAAACTTCCCAGTGCTAGAAAAGTAGCCACTATCTGATAAATCACTGAGAATAGCTCTGGAGATGGTGCAATAAATTCTAGGAATAGCAGCAAAGTGTTATCTTAACTACTTTAAACATCAAGAGGGGAAAATAAGTATTTACTACTAGTGTCTGTTAGTAACTCTTTCCATAAAGGAAAGTAAGAATAATTCTTATATCTCCACCATTAAACATTTTCACTAAAATCACTCCAATACTAAAATTCAAAATTCAAAATGACATTTCATCTATTTCTGGATCTGTATGATTTCTCTAATGCTTCTTGAATACAGGTGGTTCTCAACTTATGACCACAACTGAGCCCAAAATTTATGTTGCAAAGCGAGACAGTTGTTGTGTGAATTTGCCCCATTTTGCAACCTTTTTAGCATCAGTTGTTAAGTGAGTCACTGCAGTTGTTAAGTTAGTAACTTGGTCAATCTGACTTCCTCGTTGACTTTGCTTGTCAGAAGTTTGCAAAAGGTGATCACATGATCCCAGGACATTGCCACTGTCATAAATATGAACCAATTGCCAAGTGTTCAAATTTTGTTCATGTGACAGGGAGGATGCTACAACAGCCGTAAATGTGAAAAATGGTCATGTCACTTTTTTCACTGTCACTGTAACTTTGAACAGTCACTAAACAAATGGCTATAAGTCAAGGACTATCTGTAATGTGCTTGTTTTTAATCAGTGATTAAAATATTAATACTGAAGAAAAAAGAATGTTGAATATAAACTAATACAAATTTATTGACATAAGTCTACATTTACATTATAGAAATTTGTTAATATAATTTATATTAATAAAAACACAAAAGAATTTAAGAAATCAAATGTCAGATCTTTATTTGATATAAACATCCTTTATGAATTATATTCTTTATATAAGGATTATTGCTATAATTAAAAAGAACACTGTATATTTTGTATGTACATATATTGGTAGGGTGCATTTATGATTGTGAATGTATGTACATATACACCACCAATTTTAATAGTGCATTTTAAACTTTATAATTACTATTATCAGACATCTATATCTCGATTCTATATGAAAATGGTATCCGTGAAATAATATTACTGTTTATTTGTACTATATGTGTGTGTGTGTAATAATAAAAAGTAACTTTAACATCAATGAGTGTAAAAATTTCCCATAATGTATAGAAAGGGGAAAAAACATTAACCTGACTTTTTGAAATGGTTTCTTAAATTCCTTTCTGGTGCAGAAAGGATAATAATATATTTGCAGTATTTGTAGATAATTCCTAAGATTAAAATGCTTTCAAAACTTATCTGACTTGAGAAACACAACTCGGTAGAATGGCTAACCTGTATAGACTTGCAAAAGTACATACGCTGTATCCTGACAGAATAATGCAAGGTAGTGGTTAATTAGTTGCACTTGGACTAGAGAAAAACAAGTGTACCAACAGCTATAGAAAATGTTGTTGGGTGGCTTTATGCCATTTACTTTTTCACAGAGTTGTAGGAGAAAAAATGATGGGAAATCCCCATCTAACCTGGGTTAGACAAAAGATGGGATATACTTTCAGCAAATAGCTAACTATAAAAATAGCTAGGAAAAGAGGGGGTGGGGGGTGGGGTGGAATCTCACCTCTGTCACAATTTAGTTCATCACTGCTATCCACACAATCTTGAATTCCATCACAAAGCCAGCTGGTAGGTATACAGTACGCTTTATTTTTACATTGAAATTGGTCTTCTTTACATTCTGTTACACAGTGCATCTGTATAAATATATATTCATATATAGCAGTGATTATTACCAATCAAGGTAATGGAAGTATAACTGGAGCAACTAGAATTCAGCAAAACCAATTTAATAATTTAACCATTGGTATTTTATTGATATGATTATGGTCATCACAAATATAAAATGCTAAATTCACAATTTTAAACTGTAAATAATAATCAATATTCAAAAGCAATAAAAATACCTCATTCTTTTCCCTCCTGCCCAAGTCTCCTTATACTCTCAATAAATACATTTTGAAGATTAGGGTATTTTTAAGGAAAATCCAGGGGATTAATTAGAAAGGAGAGATCAAATAACCTATGAATTCCCTAGCTTATGTAGAGGTGCAATTCTCTTGCACCATTGAGATAATGCCCATTGATTCTTATACACAAAACAATCAGCCACACAATTTCCCTTTATTTATTAATGCATTATTTTGGGGAAACAAAATCATGTAACTGGGAAACAGCAATAGGCAAAATAAAATTATTTCAGTATAAAGATTTTAAAAAATAACAATAAAAATAAGGATTTATGTAGAGTTATAATAAAATAAATAAATGTGCAATCCTGCCAACTAATTTTTAATTGTAAAAAAAGGATTTAAAAGTCTTTAAAAACAATTAGCCAAGTGTATCTTTAATATACAGTATTTTAGAATTGGATACTATCATCAAAAGAACACAACTGTTCTTATATCAATGAAAACATTAATGTTCATTATTGAAATACAGAATTTTACTAATTACTGGGTCTATGTTTTCTGGATAAATTCCTGAGTCAAAAGCTATACCACAGGATTGTTATTTTAAATTCAAGTTTCTAAACTTGTAAAAGAAAGCATTAGATCAGATTAAGATATTTAATGTCTTACTTCATCAGAACCATCAGGACAATCATGTTCTCCATTGCATCTAAAAGATGCTGAGATACAACCTCCATTGGCACAAACATATTCACTTGAAGAGCAGATTGGAGATGCTGTTTAAGTCAAAACATTGAGAACAGGAAGATGAAATAACACAATTTCAGAGTAATAGTTGATAGATTACAGATACCGTATTTGGGTTTACTTTATCTTCAAAAATCTAGATGATGGACCTTACAGAATATGGTGAAAAATTTGGACCAGTGACAATATTTTTATTTGTGCCCTCATACCACCAATCAAGACTTTAAGAACAGAATGGTAAAAAATGTAGTCACAAATACTGTTTGTGAATGATTTCTGTCATATACATTTATAAGTGGTTTTAGGGAAATCAATATTTCAAAAGAGATCAAATTTCTATCATTTTTATACAGATTTATTTAACTTTTAAAATTGCATAGAGTGCAATTGAATATTGAAGAAAAATAAAATATACTGGGAAAAACTGGGGACTTTAAGAAAGTCCCCAGCTTTTAATATATTTAATTTTTCCAATGGTCTTGACCAGTGGTGGCATTCAAATTTTTTTACTACCGGTTCTGTGGGCGTGGTTTGGTGGGCATGATAGGGGAAGGATACTGTAAAATCTCCAGTCAGAGGTCATATTTGCTGGTTCTCCAAACTACTCAAAATTTTGGCTACCGGTTCTCCAGAACTGGTCAGAACCTGCTGAATACCACCTCTGATCTTGACTATTTCTTTGTTTTGGTCCATCGACATTTAGGAGAAAATTAAAAGAGAAGTGTGATCCCCATGCTAGAAAAAGTTGTGCATTTATACTGAAGAAAATTGTCCTTTTTGGTAAATTTGGATGTCCCAAAAATATTCCGCACATGATGAGAATATTTGGCTCTCTTCTTATTTGACAGGATGAACTGTGAGATATCAAATGGACATGGCAACCGCAAATCTCATGTTATTGTGTCACTATTGTATAAAGGTAATAATTAAAATCACTTTCAAAAAGCTGAATCACAGTTCAAGTGAGGCTTAATTCGTTTACCACTTTTTCACTTAGAGTCTTTAATATTTTATTTATTGTTTCATATCATGTTCTGATATTTTACAGACCATATTAAATTATGCTTTATATTATATTTATTATGAAATGCATTTCTTATTACTTCATTTTAATATTATATGTTTCAGTGGATTATATTGAAAGGCTCCCTTCATGCCTTTTGAGAAATTGTACAATGAGAAAAAAATCCTTGGGAAATAATCCATATTTTACACTGGTATATAAATTAAAACAAACCCAAATAAATGTCAAGAACAAAACAAAATCAAAGAAAAATGTTGTGATTGTGTACAAGTGTGCAAATTACTCATACTTTGAGTAATGTTGTAGAATGAACTATAATATTAAGATGAAAGTATAAAAAAGCATACATGGTGTTATAGAGAGGTGGTATACAGCAGTTTCTGACCAGTTCTGGAGAACCGGTAGCAGAAATTTTGAGTGGTTTGGAGAACCGGCAAATAGTACCTCTGACTGGAGATCTTACAGTATCCTTCCCCTGCCACGCCCACCAAGCTACACCCACAGAACCAGTAGTAAAAAAAATTGAATCCCACCACTGGTGTTATAGTAGTTAAGGTACCAAACTAGGATTGGATAAATTTAGATTCCCCCTCAGCCATGAAGGCTCACTCTATCTTAACCCAAACTATTTCCCTATCTTGTAACCATGGAGAAATATTGGAAGAGAGAGTGCTCTTCTGCTTTTGGAGCAAAGATGGGATATAAATCCAGCAAACAATTAAGTGACTGAATAAAAATGCAATCATAAGGATGATACATGCCACCAAAATTATACAGGGATGCCACAGCTAGAAGGGCAGCACTGTCCACTGTAGCACTACCAGCAGCAAAATTTCAAAGGACTTTGCTTGCAATGGCATACATATCAAAAGAGATGTGGCAGCAAATTTTAAGTTTTTGTATGTCAACAGTAAGGCTTTAATGTAGGCTTGGAAGAGAATATGTATAATATACATATATATATCATATATGTATTATATCATATATTCTATGATATACAGCATGATAGTAGAATTGTATACCGCTTATTAACCAAGCAGAGGCACTATTTAAAGTTTCCAGATATTCCTTTCTTAAATTTATGATCATTTAATTTTGGATATATATTCAGAAAGAAATCTAATATTATTTTTCACATAATATTATAGGTATTCCTATCATCAGTAATAGGTAAATATTTACCTGAATCACAATTCTTCTCATCCTCTCCCAGTATGCAATCATCATATCCATCACATTTCCATTTTGCTGCTATGCAATGACCATTGGAGCACTGAAACTGGTCTTTTAAGCAGTCAGAGTCGCAATATCTCTGATATAAAAACAATGCTACTAATTTAATTAATATAACACCAACCAAATGTATTTCAAATAAAAATTGGCCTTAAGCTATTTGAAAATTTTTTAATTTTACAACTAACAACTACAATAGGAAGTCTCATGTGTCAATAGGCTAACAGTTATAAAAATAATTATTAATCAAAATAAACTGACATAATTACACTTATTTTGCTCTCTGTTTTTTTTAAATACTCTGCCTTTCCTCAAAGCAGAGAGCAACAAAAGCAAAACAAGATATTTGTATCACATGTAACAGTTTGAATAGTGGAAATACATCTACCTTAAATTCTCATAGACTTAAATCTTTGTTGTTTTTTAGATGAAGGACATGTTAATTTCAACTGAATTGTATCTGTTAGCATTTTTCTTACATTTACTAATTGATCACAACAGGCCTCCTAATTTTCCAAAGCAGCCAGTGTGGGAGGTGGATCTATTTCTTGTTGTTCAAAATTACTGGAAAAACATGTGAATGTGATAGAAGCATGACACAAACAAGAAATAGATAGACATTGTTCTGAAAATTCTGAAACATATTGTTCATGGGGCAAGTTTTGGAACTGCTGACATCTTCCAGCAATTGGCCTTAGGAAGGAACTTTCCCGTTAAAGAGTTTCCACAGCTAAAGAACATTGGTCGTCCTCCCTCTCCCCCTCCTTCTTCTTTGGGCAACATCAAATTTATTTGGTCGCAAATAAACTTGTATTTTATTGTAAACTGCTCAGAGTCACTTAGGTGAGATGTAGAAATTTGATAAACAAAATAACAATAAATTGCCTACATTTTCTAAAACAATTTTAGGATAAAAAGTATTCTTTAAAGACTTGCTGTCATAGCCCCAAAATGATGACACAGTATTTGTAATCTGAAGTTATCTCTTCTCATTCTGATTCTATTTCTTGTCAATGATGTGTTCTAGAGACCATTATAGCCCATCACTTTTTCACTGGATCAATTACTTATAAATAAAATTTAAAAATAACGTGTTTATTTAATGATAATATTGCCTTTTCTTTTGAAAAGTAAGGAATGTTGTGCTGATATACAGAATCATAGTTTACTTTTGACTCAACCCACTATTGTTTTCTTGCTATTTATATCCATTTTCTTTACTTTTTTTGTCCTTTTTCCTCTATCACTTATTCATTCTCAATTATCTCTCAGTCCAGATTTTCTCCTCCCCAGTACCCTTATTAGGAAGTACCTTAGTGAAATACAGATAATCTCTCCTTTCATCATATTTCTTTTCTTCATTTATGTGGAAATAAAGCCACCTATCTTTGTGTTTGGACAGAGTATAAAGGAGACCTATAATTCCTATTTTTCTTTTCTCTCAATTATTCATTTTTGCCTTTTAAAATGCAGTCTTTTCCCTCTCCAAGCATCAAGAAATCAAAGTGCAGCTTCTTCACTTGCTGCCACAAGGCCATTCACACTACTCATATGTTATCCAGGTATCATCAGTGGTAGTATTCAACTGGTTCACACTGGATCAGGCAAACTGGTAGCAAGAATTTGGCATGGGTCGCCGAACCGGTAGTTAAGTTCTGGCTGGCCATGCCCCCGAACTGGTCGCCCTCCCGCCCGATGCTCGCTTACCCACCCACCTAACATTCGCCTAAGGTATTTTTTTTCTCTCCTGACAATCAGCTTTGCATAGATCAGCTGTGCCGGGATTCCCCTTGCTGAGGCACAGGAAGGCAAAAAATGGAGGGAGGAGTTCAGCCCTCCCCTCCAGTTTTTGCCTTCCAGAGTCCCAGAGGAGCCTTAGGGGAGCAAAAACGTCCCTCCAGGCTCTTCTGAGGTTACGAAGCTCCCAAAACAGAGCTTGGAGGGGTGCTGTGTGCCCCTCCCATGCTCTGTTTTTTTCCTTCCTGAGCCTCAGAAGAGCTTTAGGGGAGCAAAAACACCCTCCCCCCAGAAGCTGCTTTGAGGCTAGGAAGCTTCCAAAAATGGGTGGGGCCAGCAAAAAAGTAAAAAATAAAAGCCACACCCAGCCAGTCATATGGCCACGGCCCACAGAACCGATATTAAATTTTTTGAATCCCACCACTGGGGATCATGATGGGGCATGCAACCAAAGGAAACCTTTTCTCCGCATTTATTGTATGGAATGGATGTCAGTATGCATGACAGTTTCTAATTTACTATCTATTGGCCATTATTCTCTCTGCTCCAACAATAAGAAATAGATTCATTCAGGGATCACCCTTCTCAATTAATTGCCAATTCATAATAACTTGTTTTTAAAGTTCAAAAACTTGTTGTTGTGATTTTCCTAAATGATCTGCTCAAAATAATGCATATTGTAGTCTTTTATACTTTGCAGATGGTATTTTCCCGGTGACTTAAAGTCTTCCCTCTTGATTTCTTGCACTGTTATGACTACCTGATTCCTCATGATGTACCTTCAGTTAGTAACAATATAGATGATTTGGAAAACAACAACCAAATACTAATTTACCTCATCTGAACCATCTGCACAGTCATAATCACCATCGCACCAGAATCTTGCAGACATGCAGTCTCCATTTGAGCAGTGGAAATCCTTCAGAGTGCATGTTTGTGGTTCTGAAAAAAAGAAAACTTCTTTAAAGTCTAATCCTTTCAACTGCTTGTTTCTCTCTGTTCTTAAACAGGAAGATACTACGTGCTTATTACTGAAATATAAATGATGAAAGGAGAAATAGGAGGCTGAAGTGCTATACAGGCTGCCTTGAACTTCTGATTGAACAGTGGGATATAAATCCAAGATAGAAACTCTGCTTCCACTCTTGTTCCTCTAGAAATGATATTTGCTGCTTAGTGTTCCCAACTCAGAAATCACACTGAGTTTTCAAAACCGATAGCATTTGATTAATTTGTTTTCCCTTAATTAATTAATTAATTAATTTTATTTATTTGATTTGTCAATCGCATACAAGATAATAGGTATAAGTATAAACATAGTTATGAATACATGAAATGGATACATATAAGAAAAATAAAAAGAAACAATAGGACAGGGACGGTAGGCACATTGGTGCGCTTATGCATGCCCCCTACAGACCTCTTAGGAAAGGGGTGAGGTCAATAGTAGACAGTCTAAGGTTAAAGTTTTTGGGGTTTGGGGAAGAAACCACAGAGTCAGATAAGAGTATTCCAGACATTGACCACTGTGTTGCTGAAGTCGTATTTCCTGCAATCAAGTTTGGTGTGGTTAACTTTGAGTTTGTATCTATTGTGTGCTCTTGTATTGTTATGGTTGAAGCTAAAGTATTCATTGACAGGTAGGACATTGCAATGTATGATTTTATATACTATACTTGGATCGGACCGAAGGCGGCGTAGTTCTAGGTCTACAATTTAGAGTCTGGTGGCATAAGGTATTCTGCAACAAGTAGAGGAGTGGAGAACTCTTCTTGTGAAATATATCTGGACTTTCTCAACTGTGTTAATATCAGATATGTAATGTGGGTTCTAGACTGATGAGCTGTATTCGAGTATTGGTCTAGGAAATGTTTTGTATGCTCTAGTTAGTAGTGTAATATTACCAGAGAAAAAGCTACCTAGGATTAGGTTAACAACTCTTAATGCCTTTTTGGCTATGTAGTTACAGTGGGCTCTAGCACTTAGATCATTAGAGATGAGTACTCCAAGGTCCTTGACAGAGTTTGCATCATCAGCAAGGTCTTGACTATCCAGCTTGTATTTTATTTTCTGATTTTTTTTGCCAATATGTAAGACAGAACATTTATTTGTTTAGATTTTAAATTGCCATTTGTTTGACCATTCTGATACATCATCGAGGTCTTTTTGAAGGGTAGCAGTATTTTCTGTGGTGTTGAATAGCTTTATCCTATCACCTTTTAAAGCCAAGAAATTAATAGCCATCATCACATTTTATGATTGAATTCTACAGGTTATATATGAATTCTGTGCAAAGCAGGCTTTCTTTTGCCTGCTTTAAATCTTCCTCTAATCAGATTCACTTTATAGCTCCTAGTGTTTTAAAAGAGAAAGAAACAATTCTCCTGATCACTTTCTACAGGTCATAGATGACATACTTTAAAGTGAAGTGAATTAAATTTCTTACTTCTTAAAAGCAGAAAGAAAAGGGGCTGAACACAGTTCTTAGAGAATCATAGGTTTTCCATTAATTCATTCCGGCTTCTCCATGTGAGGTGAACTGGGCTGAAATATGTTTATTTCAAGTCATCCCCTGAAATTTAGAGTTGTGGGAACACCTGAATCACTGGTATCTAAATTGAATTAAATTAAATTAGCCATTATGTTCCTCTTCATATAATTATAATTAGGAAAAGGAAAACTGGAATTTATCCCCTGTATAGCTGACATACAAAAATGCCAAAACCTGGAAGAAAATGCCCTATAAACATTCTAATAATCTGCTGGAATCAAGATACCTCAGTTATTTTTTATTATTTCATTTCTTTCTGCAATAAAATCCTGTCTCAATCCATAGAAATTCCAAGTGATTTAAAATAAAATAAAATAAAACCACAATAATAAACACTATACAATTATTAAAGTAACAGTGGATTACTTTAACCATAGTTTGATATAAGGCATTGTAATGATGGATTTAAAAAAAAAAAAACTTCAGCCCAATTCCTAATGGTCTCTACTGTGGAATTTTCCTTGTTCCCAACTGCTACACAATGATGTGTCATAGGTTCTTTAAACCATATCAATTGATATTTGAATTAACCCATCTCATCCCCCAATGTACATATATTTACACTTCTTTAAACAACATTGCATTTGCATTTGGTTGACCATTCACCCAATTTGAAGAGTTACTTCTGGATTTTTTTCATGGCCATTTTTGTTGGAAGAATTGTTTGGTATCCTCTGTTTGTCAGATCGCTGTTTACTCCTAAATCAGGATAATTGATCAAAGTGAAAAACACTGGTCTCAGCACAGGTCCTTGAGAGTTTCTACTTACTCCACTGGAAAAAATGCTAATTTATTCTTATACTGCCTGCTGTCTCTCTAACTCAGGGCTGTCGAACTCCTGGCCCACAGGCCAGATGCATCATGTGCTGGCCATGCCTACAAATGATGTAGCAAAGGGGGCAAAAGTTCCGATACGTCACGTGACGCCACCATAGCAATGTGAGAATGACACATCTGCTCTAACTAATTAGCAATCCAAAAAAATGACATGAGTTCTTTAGTCATGAGTTCTTTAGGCGTGCATAAGTGCACCAACGTCCCTACCGTCCCTGTCCTATTGTTTCTTTTATTTTTTTATATGTATCCATGTATCCATAACTATGTTTTTACTTATACCTATTATCTTGTAAGCAATTGACAAACCAAATAAAATAAATAAATAACACAAAAGCTTTTTATAAGGAACTTTATCAAAGACTTTGGAAAACCCTCTGAGAGTTTATAAGCATTAAAAAAATTGCAAGAATTGTTGTATAGTACAGCAGATTTATGTATAGGAATGATGAAATGGCTTCTATATATTTTTCTATTTTAAAATTTTTATTCTTACATTTTTAAAATTTATATTAGTTTAATAAATTATTAAAATAGAAAAACTAATCAGCAAATTTGATCTTTAATATTATTAATCATTTATCTAAAGTATTAAGGTAAAACAAATGTTTTTAAAAATAGTAGAAAAAGAGACTAAACGTGTTTTTCCCTTTTTTGTAGAATGATTTACAAATGTAAAGTCCTATGACATTACTTACTGCAGTTTTCTTCATCAGAATTGTCACCACAATCATTTTGACTGTCACATCGCCAGTGATCTGGAATGCAGTTGCTATTCTTGCATTGATATTCATGAGGGCCACATGTCTTTTTATCTGTCACAAAAAATTAATACTATTTTTGTTAATATACTTCTAGATATGCATGATTAGAAATAAGAAAAATGCATTGAAAATTACCAGTTATCACATTTTAAACCACATTTCAATAGTAGAAGTAATAAAGAACTAAATAAAGAACCACATTACAATGCAAACTTTATAAGCAGAAGCGGAGAGAAAGAATAAATTTTGGATTGAATATTTTGATAAATAAATTTCTGGTTTACATCAGTATAATTTAGGTAAATTTTGGAATAAAAAAAATTGGTCCATTAAAACCCCTAGATAAAACAATATATTTTAGCTTTGAAATGCAATAAGAAATTATACAGAAAAATGTGTCATCCTCAATCTTTCACGGAGTTTATCTGACAGAATGTAAATAACAGAATGTTTAATGTATTAACATCATTATGGTATACCTTAAAAGTAAGGAAAAGAAGCAAATGATCAACAGCAAGGTGCATGAATTCAGTTCACTGGCAATGAGTGCACAGTTAGAAAATCTGAAGTTAGGGACAAATCATTAAAGGCAAAATCAGACTGGAAGCCCTCCACTCTGCTATTTTGTTATTCTGTTAAGAATCAATCTATGGGGTCATAATCAATCAACAAACAATCTTCTGATTGATGGGTGGCCATATAAATTAGATAAATAAATGTTATAAGGCATTATAAGTAAAATGATTCTTCAAGTTGATAGCCAATAATGTTACTTTTCTAAATATACCAATTTTGATTAAATAAGAGAAACATAAGGAAAATTAATTTGTTTGTAGTACTCACCACAATTTGCTTCATCAGACCCATCAGCACAGTCTGGATCCTCATCACACACCCACAGTTTAGAAATACAATGCTTTGTGGTTTTACACTGAAAATGATCAGGAGAACAGCTGTTTTCCGCTTTAACATAAAAGAAGGAAGACGTGTATTCGTAAAATGAATTAAAATGATCATTCAATATAAAAAAGAGTTTAAAATTCTATATAGCTTTCAATGCCTTTTTAGCACAGCTATATAAACTATTACTTCAAAATAATTTATCAAAGTACATTCAACAATATACAGTACTTTATTGCAAAATACAATACTTTAAAGAAATATATTATATTTGATTAATATAAGGAAACACCAATACTAGTGTTTTCTAGTGAATTTAAATTTATTAACTGATTTATTAACTGATGTAATTTATTAACTGATTTATTAACTGATTGTACCTTTGAGTCAGTTGTTGACGTAGGGTGACTGCCTGGACTAGTCCCTGCTATTTTGATAGCAAAGTTTTTGTTCTTTTGAAATTGCTATTCTCTCTTTCCTAGGGCTGAAACAAAGTGATTGGCCCAAGGTCATCTAGCTGGCTTTGTGTCTAAGGTAGGACTGGGACTTATAGCCTCTTGGTTTAACCACTAGTGCCTTAACCACTACCCTAAACTTACTCTGATGATCACTAAATCAATAAATAACCTGACTTGGGAGGTTTCATATAGGATAAAAAAAGAAGGCAAGTGTTAAGCCCTGTGGAATCCCACAATTAAAAGACTCTCACCTCCTCCATCAATATTGACTAGAACTGACTATAGAGAAAAAAGAATAGCATTCAGAAGTATATTGTAATCAATAGTACTGAAAGCTGATAAATCCAGAATTCATTGAGGCATGTTAGCTTCTTGAGGAAGGGACATAGTGCCTCTTTATAACAGTGGTGGTATGCTACTGGTTTGGCCCAGTTCTGCCAAGCCGGTAGCAGCGATCAGCAGCAAAGACCAAACTGGTTCTCTCCACCACTCTGCTAATTCCAATCCCAAACCTGGCTAAGTATATTTCCTTCCTCTTGACCTCTTCAGGTCTCAACTATACATATTACTTTGGCTGTTTTATCCATGTAGACATCTCCAAGTGAAGATTTATTGCAAGCCAACCTAATATTCATTCAGAAGCAACACCAGGAGTCCAGAGCCCCCAAGGATTTGATAACGCAGTACAGAATAGATACTGAGGCCTGGACATTGGACTACTCTTCAGTAGCATACCTAGGAAAGGTCACCCTCAAATTTCCACCATACCTATCCTTGCTTCTCACATCTGCAATATTTTTGTCTGCCTTTTTCTCCAGTTTCTTCCCATTCCTTGTTCTCCCCTCCTAAGACAAAACACTTTTAACTTTCATTCATTCACCCATTCGTTGTTCTCACCCCACCCTACAATCAACCTACACAAACAATTATAGCCACTCTAATCTTTCATAAAAATAGCAGATACCCCATCTGGTCATTCCTGCATTCAGGTACTCAGCAGTTTGAATGGTGCACATATTCTATGGCAGCTCTACTATCCATCCCATCATCCCCAAACAACCTTCCCATCCTAAGTGGAGAAAAATATTATAGTCATAGGTGACAACTTGGGCAACAAAACACTTTTAACTTTCATTCATTCACCCATTCATTGTTCTCACCCCACCCCACAATCAACCTTCAATTCAACCAATCAATTCAGAAATCTAGCATAGAGATTTCAATAGGCCAGTGCCCAGCATAAATGGGAGCTAGCCAAAGCCATTGGAAGTATCCAAATAATTTAAGTAGGACTCTAGAAAAACCATCCACCAGCGTTTTTTAATCACATCTCACTCCTGCCCTATTACATGACACTCCCTAAAATGTTCCTCTCCCCAACAAAAAAGTAGCCTATGCGTCTGGGCTACCATCTATATAAGTCTATGAAAAATATCTATGTTTGCTGGAATCATCTTTAGCTTTCTGTTTTATGACCAATATGTCTTCTTATATACCCATGACTGTTAAGTTTAGAAGATTTCTGATTTTTTACATATCTAAGAAAATGACTTACGGCAATCTCTTTCATCTTCTTCATCACCACAATTATCTTGTCCATTACACCTGAGATTTATTGGGATACATTTCTGATTCTTGGTGCACTTAAATTGACCTGGTAGGCAAACATATGTATCTGGAAGTTGGGTGTGGAGAAGGGAAGAAAAGAAGGTAATTACATTAAACACAGGCACACAAATATTCCTCATACATTACTTTTTAAATTAAGAATTAAGAATTAAGTTTTTTTTATTAATCATGTTATCATAATGTAATCATTAAAATTAAATTTTAATAAATTTAATAAAAAGGAAAATTTGGATAGAACATTTATAATACAGCATTGTGTCCAACCTGACACTACTTTAAAAAGTGCAAGATGGATTTGTTGCTATAACTGTTGTACAAGTATTAATCAATTAACTAGTACAGGATCTAAATAGTAATGAATTATGAAAGCATTTGCAAAATGGTTGAACAAGTAGAATAAATGGAATAACAGTATTGGAAGGTTCCTTGGATATTTTCTAGTTCAACCTCCTGTTTAAGCAGAGACCCTATACCATTCCGGACAAATGGATGTCTTATACCTTATTTTGCAATGAGTAGAGGAGTGGAGAACTCTTCTTGTGAAATATTTCTGGACTTTCTCAACTGTGTTAATATCAGATACATAATGTGGGTTCCAGACTGATGAACTGTATTCAAGCATTGGTCTAGCAAATGTTTTGTTTGCTCTAGTTAGTAGTGTGATATTACCAGAGAAAAAGCTACATAGGATTAGGTTAACAACTCTTAATGCTTTTTTGGCTATGTAGTTACAGTGAGCTCTAGTACTTAGATCATTAGGGATGAGTACTGCAAGGTCCTTGACAGAGTTTGGATCAGCAACAAGGTCTTGACTATTCAGCTTGTATTTTATTTTCTGATTTATTTTTTTTTGCCAATATGTAAGAGAGAGCATTTATTTGTTGAGATTTGAAGTTGCCATTTGTTTGACCATTCTGATACATAATTGAGGTCTTTTTGAAGGGTAGCAGTATTGTCTGTGGTGTTGAATAGCTTTACATCATCAGCTAAGAGAACACAGTTGCTCTTAGTATGATCACAGAGGTCATTTATGTAGAGTATGAAGACAGTTGGTCCTAGAATACTGCCTTGGGGGACACCACTGTTGACAGGTACAGAATTTGATAGGACGCTCCCAATTTTGACCATTTATTTATTTGATTTGCCAATTGTTTACAAGATAATAAGTATAAGTGTATACATAGTTGTGAATACATGAAATGGGTACATATAAGAAAAATAAAAGAAGAATAAGAGAAACAATAGGACAGGGACGATAGGCACGTTGGTGCGCTTATGCACGCCCCCTAATGCTTCTATCCAGTTATGCAGGTGTAAAGAGATACCATAAGATTTTAGTTTTAGGAGTAGCTTGTCGTGTTCCACTGAATCAAAGGCTTTACAGAAGTCTATGCAGATTGCGTCTATTGTGTTGCCCTGATTGAGTTGTGTAGTCCATATGTTTTTGTAGTGTAAGAGTTGCAGATTACAGGATAGTTTTTTTCTGAAACCAAATTGTTTATTGGAGAGTAGGTTGTTTGTTTCTAAGTGGAGGAAAATGGATTGCTTAATAATTTATTCCATGACTTTACAGGTGATGCAGCATAAAGAGATTGGTCTGTAATTTTCAACTAGGCTGGGGTCTCCCTTTTTGAAGATGGGTATGACTGTGGCTTGTGACCATAGGTTTGGCAAGGAGCTGGTCTTGAAAGATTTTTCAAAGATTATGCTTAGAGGTTCAGCTATGACAGTGCATAGCTTTTTTAAGAAGTATGCACATATTCCGTCTGGTCCAATAGATAGAGATGGTTTTAGATTGCGTAGTGCTTTTTCAACATTGTCTACTGTAAAATCGATATGTATTAGATCATTGTAGTTGTCTGTGGTTCGACTAGGAAATACTGGGCATGATCCATTGCTGTTTACAAATACTGAGCCAAAGAATGTGTTAAAGGGGTTGGCTTTAATGGTGTCATCGTTGCATTAGGTCCATTAGGTCCTTTCAGGGGTGGGATGAGTCTTTTAGTTTGCTGTTTACAAAATTGTAGAAAGTGCGGGTGGAATTGGTGCATAGAAGGTTTTCCTCTTGTTTAATGTGATAATTGGTGCATTTAGTTTGTAATCCACAGATCACCTTCAGGATATATAGTTTGTAATCCACAGAATGAAGGAGCAAAAAGAATAAAAGGCTCTCAGCTTGCAGTTATTGTAAAAGAGTATAGAAAATAGTAAATTCTTGCTCCCAGTAGTTATAAATCAGGGTCTTCTTTTTAGCAGTATTTCTAATTTTGCATAATTTTGTCTAATTTAATAGTACTTGGATACCTTCTTTTTTAATTTTAAAAATCTTAAAGATTTAGATTTTTTTTTAAAATTAAAATAATTAATTAAAAATAGTTTATGAAGGGATTTAATTTTTAATCAATGGGTTATTTTCTTTAATTTCTTTAAAAATTCAAAAATCTAAAAATTTTACAATATTTAAAAATTTCATTAAAATTATTTTTTTAAACTGGGTTTATGCAGGGTTTTTTAAAATCACTCTTGGGTTTATGCTGAAATAATACTTAAAAGTGAATCCTCTGCTCCCTCTTGTGGCTAGTGTTTTATTTCCTCTAATGGCTAGCATTGAAATAAAACAGTTTGTTAATGTAAAAATGTAAATTGTCCTTCTATTTCTCCTTTCTTTACTGCTGTGTAAAGTTTGATTTTTGCTATTTGTCATGTTGCATTGCTATTTCATATTCCATTGCACCAATGTGGTCACTGTCATTCTCAGACATCCTGCTGCATGTCCCAAATATGTTTTAATACCATTCCTTCTTTTAAATGATTTAAATTATTAAATTATGTAGATCATTTTTTAAAATACATATTGGAAAGGAGCATCCTGTCTTGATATTTACATAAATAATGTTTTGATTATTTGCCTTCTTGGGTGAGAATTTTCAAATATAATTCTTTTCCAACCTGTTAAATTTCTAAATACACACTAGTATTGGCAGTAACAAATAATTCAAGATTTTAGTTAATCAGAATCAAAATTCCAAATGAGCCTTATTTTTAAAAATCAGATCTTTTACTCTTCTGTTGAACCAACATTAGATAGCATCAAATCTGAGAGATACAATTCTTAAGATGTTATGTTGGTATATTGTAGGACTGTATACATCTCAAAACCTGTAAACATTTCTGATCAAAATTTCTTCCACACAAGCACAATTCTCCTGAAGGTTAAATTTCCCCTGCATATTACATAAAGGAGTATTTTCAGCACATATACAGGAGAACAGTGAACAATATTTTTTCATTTGTCCAATATTTTTTTCTTTTATATCAATCATATAATGACTCACCACAATTAAGTTCATCTGAGCTATCTCCACAATCATTTTCCCCATCACATATAAAAGCTGGTAAAACACAGAGACCAGTTCCACACTGAAAACGCCCTGGTTGACATTTAAATTCAGCTGAAAAAAGAAAGGGAGGCTTTGAATACTACATGCATTGGTAATAAAGTAAAATAGGGGCTTTTCTAAAATTCCCAGAAATTCTATGCAATGAAGAAAGGCAATTAAATCATATATGGTAATAATTGATTCAAAAATATTCCTTTCCTCAGGCTAATTAATCATAAGGTTCTCTTCTAAGACACAATCATTTTAATCATATAGAAATACAGTATTGAAAAACACATTGTAATATGTTTACAGTGTTATATTTCTAGAAATTTTAATCAATCATCTCCTTTCTATACTGAATGAATGGTTTTACTCATATTATTCCTGATTACATTTACTGTACTCCTTTTCAACCTGGCTGACCTTTGCTGATTTTGAAAAAAATTAAGCTTAAACAAATTACTTTCTTGGGAAACAACTATGAAATCCCAGAGGTATAAATTGGAGAGGAAGTATAAACACACACAAACACAAAGCATAAATAAATAAATAAATTCCTAGGAGAAAAAAAACATAGCAAATGATTAGATGTTTCCATACAATGATTAGCAGGTGAGCATGACTCAAGAAAGATCTAATCTTTAAACACAATAAATTGAATCCATTTGGTTATCAAAAGCTCTGTTCCTTATCAGTAGCACAAATGCTTTCTTTCATTTGATTTGCTATAAAGGCAATATGTAAAATGTATCAAAAATCAACAATCATAATTTGTACATGTAGCCTTGACTTACAGTCATTTGCTTAATGAAGGCCTTGGAAAGGGTGTTTTATAAAACATTTTTTTATCATTGCAAAAATATCACACATCCCACACCATCATGATCTGAGTGCTTGGCAACCTGTTCATAGTTACAGCCGGTTTCCAATCACCTCATAAACCTGTGACTGCCATTTGCAATCTTATCTTATCTCTCCCAATTGGTTGTGAGAGGGCTGTTCAATTTTAACATTGATAGCCTCTTTGACTCCTCTTTCAAACCAGTGGTCCTCTCTGTCCAGAATGTTTACATTTTGGTTTGAACCCGTCTCCTGTCTACAAACCACTCCATTCAGCAGTCCCAAGAAGGTTTCACACCTATTTGCACTCTGATTCAGGTGACCTTGAGGGTATAAATAAATTTCCAAAGGATCTCAATGACTTTCAGAGAGCTATTGACCAACCTTCAGAGTGCTAATGACCAGCATGATGGACACAAAAAATATAAATATTTCCACCACCACCCCCTCCATTCAATCAGAGTCAAAAAAGCTTCTTTGATGAGAAGCAAAACATTTTCAAAGAAAAAAATCAAGGAAGTCCAGTTGCTTTTTGAAAAGCACAGTTGGGACTGGATTTTTAGCACTAGAGCAGAGAGGTAGTATAATAAGGTATCTTAGTGGATGGAACTGGCTTTGGGAGGCCCAGGGCAAAAAGTACCCAAGTCTCTCTCTTTCAGGGGCTGAAAATCTTGCCCTAATTTCATCAGGGGTTATTTTCAACCCCTAAGGAGAGAGAGACACTTATATATGGTCTGCACTAGGCTTCCCAGAGTCTCCCTTCCAAACCCCCATGCTCCTTAGTTGGAACTATCTGTTTTAAAACCCATGAAGTTGCTTAATAACCACACCAGGGATGCCAGGACCACAGTCATTGAGCAAAGCAATCATGTGTTATCTCTCTCAATGATCACTTTGTTCACTTTCATGATTAGTTTGGGGTCCAAATTGTGATGGAGAGTTGAGGATTACCTGTATATTTGTTGATGTTCCTCCTCAGTAAAGTGTTTATTAGTCTCTTGTATATAATTACATTGCACTACAGTTTTTACCTCTATGTGTACAATGATCAATATTTCTAAGAACCACCTTTTGAGTTTAATATCCTTATTAGAGGATATAACCATATGCTTATTTATCATGAAATTTTATTACTATGAATAAAGTATATTTAAAACATATATTTTAATACAACATACAGTCTAGGAATTCTCATTTATACTGAATTATTTTGAACTGTTAACAATTTCAAAACTGCATAACATAAATAAACATATAATGTATATACTAAAATGATATGGAATTTTTGTTGCCTTTGTTATTGTTTTCCTACAGAATGGATCTGTAGATTGTTTTCTAAACCTTAAGTTTATTAGTCTCATAATAGTAATCTCATGACTTATAACTCTAATTAAGAAGTATTTATTTATCATGACTTGAAACATTTCAATATCTGTGAAGCATTAGTTGCAAAAGGTAATTAAGAGGACCTAGTTTCCCCCTAGGTAATCTAGATTTGAATGAAAGAGGCAACCTCTTACTTTGAATTTAAATTATAGTAAGGAAGATGAGTATCGAGATCCATTTTGCATCTGTTGCCTAAAAACACATTTTTCCCTCTCCCCAAGGATTGGTGCACTACACTTAGCTATATTCTAGACCCATGATGGCAAACCTATGGCACATGTGCCAGAAGTGGCATGCAGAGCCATCTTTCTGGGCATTCCAGCCATTGCCCGTTACTCTTCTGGGTTCCGGCATGCGCATGCATGCAGTCCAGCTGGTCTTTGTGCATGCGGGTGCACTAAAAACCAGAAAAGCAGCTCCTGGCGCGCATGTACACACCGGCAAGCTGCTCTTCTGGTTTCTGCCACACATCCCTGGCATGCATGCGTGCCAGAAACCAGAAGATCAGGTGGCCAGCACACGAGAGTGGGGGAACGCTGGAAACTGGAAGACCAGTTGGCTGGCGCACATGCATATGCTGGAAACTGGAAGCTCAGCTTCCCAGCACATGCATTCACACTGGGGAGCTGCTCTTTTGGTTTCTGGCACTCCCTCCCACGCATGCCCATGCTCCGGTTTTGGCACTCATTGCTGAAAAGGTTGACCAACACTGTCTTAGAGTATTGTTTATTTTAGCAGGGGAAATTCCCACTCTCGAGTATCCTACCCACTTTACTATTTACTATTTTCAGGGAATGGGGAATGGGAGATCAGCAGAGTTGCTTAGTACTTGCCTAATTTGAAAAGGGTGTAACCTGAGACTATTGACTTCTTGTTGAGGAATATAAGGCAGCTAGGTTTCAGGGAATTAGTTTATTGAATGTGTGAACAGGAAGAGTTAAGATGAACCTTCCAAGACAGTGAAACAACAACCACAAGCAGCTATGTGTTCTGAGAGGCTGCTTGCTCAACTGTGAGGGCTAGAAAGTCAATCTCCTGTATAATTTGTAATTGCAGCAGGTACAGCATATCTTGAAAGCTGCTGATTGTCCAATGTACTATGTGTGGGCTAGTTAAGTGACTGTTTTCTGTCAAGTAAGCATAAACTTTGCAAGGAATATAAGGGAGACCCATTTGAGGAACTGAACAAATGTATATGGAGAATGATTTTTTTTAATTTTATTTTGTCAAGCAATTATAAGATAACAGGTATAAGTATAAACATAGTTATGAATACATGAAATGGATACATATAAGAAAAATAAAAAGAAACAATAGGACAGGGACGGTAGGCATGTTGGTGCGCTTATGCATGCCCCCTACAGACCTCTTAGGAAAGGGGTGAGGTCAATAGTAGACAGTCTAAGGTTAAAGTTTTTGGGGTTTGGGGAAGAAACCACAGAGTCAGAACAAGAGGAATAAATAAATAAATAAATAATAAATAATTAATTAAATAAATAAATAAATAAATAAATAAATAAATAAATAAATAAATAAAAGCCTTTCCACTGTTCTAAAAGGTAAAAGAGAAGATGAATTAATAGGAGTCTGAGATGTGCCATGTTTACAGAATATTTGTCTTTCTTCCTGAAAAAAACTTGGTATAGTCCTGGAAAAAAGCCAGAGAATTAGCCTACACTTAATGGCCACACTTCAACTGATAACAAAGAAGAAGGATGTATCAGTTCAAAGAACGGAAGCATTACAATAGAACCTGATCGTGACAGAAATATTCCATAAGGAAGACTATCAAATGGAGGAGTAAGCTCAATGGATGAGAGTAACGATCAGACATAAGAGACACAAATCACTGGAGCTCAGAAATAGTTTTCGGGTCCTCTCAAAGAAAACAGGCTCTGAATGTTCAAAAAATAAAAAAAGAAGCACTGTAAGAGAGTAGATCCCTAGCACAACACAACTGTTACCGTATAAGAAGACAAAGAGAAAAGTCAATACAACTGACAGCTAACTAGTATCAGCAACTGAAACAAATGCATGCTAACATAAGTCTATTAGATTGTTGTCTTTCAGGGCCAAGGATCAGAACATAACAGAATGTCTTCTAAGAAAGCAAGTGCTTTCTTGCTAATACATGTGGGACATAGAATACTGAAGAGAAGTGATTCAAACGTATCACTATAGATTTTGAAAAAAAAATCTCGGGAAAAAATAAATAAAACTGTGTTGTCCTTAGCTAGGATTCTTACTCATTTTTCTAGTCCACAGAAAAAGAAAGATGAATATAGTAGATCAGTTTCTAACTTCCAAGTTGTACTGAAGAGATTTTGCTTTCTGAGACAAACATCTGAATTACCTACATGATAGATTGACTGGCACCTCACAAGAACTTATAAAAATGTATTTGACCAAAACACGACCAGCTTCATTAGAACAGCTTTATAAAGAGTGTTGGGGGGGGGGGGGTTGCAGAGGAGGGAGGGTGAGGAAGTGGAAATTAAAATCCTGAAGGAAGGATCTCAAGTAAAGATTTCTGCATAATAAAATCTGAAAGAATTGATCGATACAGTTCATGGCTTTTCTTGTAAATATTGTAATGGTCAGAGTAAAATGTTCAGAGAAATAAACCAGATGAGTCTAAACTATAAATTGAAAAAGCCAAATATAATTTAATAGGCACAATGGAAACCTGATAGGGTGACTCTCATGACTGAAATATAGATGAAGAAAACATATGATAAAAAGAAACAGAAGAAACCATGTTACTCATACATCCAAATGAATGAGTCTCACAATGCTATAGAGACTATCAGGATTAAAATAAAGAAATAAAAGTAATGCTGTTTTACGTGTCTATCACCCCATCTATGCCAAAGAGGATATAGATGTTGTCTTCCAAAAGCAAATTGCTATTCTTTTGAAGAGGCATAAAATGGCAGCAATCAGAAAGTTTAATTGTTCTAATACCTATTGAGACAAACTCTTAAAAAGCATAACTATTTTTCTTTGTTTCTTTGTATAAGTTATGTATTTTATCAACATTAGTATAGATGAAAAATTTTATTTTCCCTAAAATATTTATCCAATAAAATGTAAAACAAAAGTTACAGGCATATTTGTTTTGAGTTCCTATTTCTTTGAGAATATTCTTTATTTGTTTCAAAATAATCAATGAAATTCATCTATTTGGTGACAAAATGTAACCCGATATATTTTTTTGTATTTGGCTAACATTCTAGAAGATTCTGTTAAATAAGGGTGACTTATAGTCCTAGCAAATTACTAACACAGTTAGTCCAGCTTAATACTGCTTGAGTAGGATTGAAGATAGAATATCTGAATTAAATTGTGATGCAATCTTTATATGTGGTGCTGATTTTGGACCTGTTAAACTGAATAAGCTTTTTGGGTGAGAAGCAAAACATCTTCAAGGAAAAAATCCAGTTGCCTTTTGGAAAAAGCATATTTTCAGACAACCATGACCGAATGACTGAGAATTGCCACAGATAGACCTGTTAAGACCTTTCTTATGTTGTTGCTGAATGAAAAAGTGTGGATGACAAACTATCTATATCACTTTAGATGTGAATGAAACTTCATTGTACAAATAAATAAAAATTATGACAAACGTTGCTTGTTGTTTTCTGACATTTACTTCATACTTTCTGAATACTGAAATGAGAATATTGTGAAATTATCAAATGGTCAGCTGATTTAATCATATTTCTGCCACACTACAGAAGATGGATAGCAACCACCCATTCTATAAGTGATTAGCAAAAGCCTAATAAATCTGTTTTATATTATTAATTGCAGAATTAATACATATAAAGGGGTAGTAGAAAATCTAATTTCTGAAGTTCAGTTGAAACTCCTACACTTAGAAAAATTATGATCATTGTAAGAATTAAGGTACTGTATTTTTATGTAGTAATATTTTTCATTTTCAAATGTAATATACAGTATGAAAAAATGAATATTACTTTTACAATATGATTGATAAGTCTGAAGAATAGTATTCCTAAAATATTATATTCATTTATACTTACGACATTCTTCAGGTTCATCTGATCCATCTCCGCAATCATCAACAGTGTCACATTTCCACCAAAATGGAATACATTTGTCAGTCTTGCAGCGGAACTAAAGGAGAAAAGTGTGATAGAAAAAGTTTCAAAATAGATATACAAAGATGTGTGTGTCTGTCTATATATATTGTAAGTAGAATAAAAAGTCAGTGACTAGAATCTGATATACTTGAAATGTGATTTTAATTATTGTAAACAACTTTTAAAAGTCTCATTCTTTCATGCTTATAAATCTACTGTATTTGCTACAATAATATACTTCTGAGAATTAAATATATAGTATAGTGTTACAATTTTTTAGAAGTGACACATATCTCAAAATATGTAAATATACTTAAAAGGAGATACTGAAAGTATTTTTTAAAAATCTTCCATTCCAAACAATATACATACTTGACTGGCTGTGCAATTTGATAAGCAGGTCTTATTATCTGCTGCGAGGTAAAAATTGGTAGGACAGGCACAAGTGTGAGTTTTGTTTGGGGCAACAAGGCACAGATGACTACAGCCACCATTGTTTAATGTACATGTATGTTTAGCCACTAGAAATGCAAACAAATAACAGTTAAAACATACCATAAAACTCAAGACTAATTCTAAAACTGTAATATTTCTAGTTTAAAGATTCATCCAACATGTCTGATACCTCCATTTTAGAAATATTATTTTAAAAAATAAGTAAGAATAATAAATTATGAAAATTGAATTGTTACCACTTTTCTATAAAAATAGTTTGTATGACATAAATCATTTTATATTCTATAAAACTAATTCAGACAATTGACCAATAACAGCTGTGTTTAGATATCTCCTCACATAAACACAAAAAAAGGAGTTGAGTGCACACTACTTGAAGAAAGTAGAGTGTACACACAGCTCCTTTTTTGTGTTTATATCCCAATGAAACAACCATGGAAACATGGAGAATTTCTGCAGTGCAGACATTGTTATGTGTAAGCTTCCACCTTCCATGGAAGTTTATACACTGCATGAAAAGTTTCCCTGCTCCAGAAAATATGTGTTTGCTTTTGAAGATTGGCTTTGCAATATTATTATTGGTATAATAAAAAGGGAAAGATAACGCTCACTACTCATCGTGTTGAATTCTGCACAAAATATATTGTATGAATACAGCTAAAGAAAGTTCTAAATTTGAATTACGGTGAATTCTACACCTCAGTCCATTTCTAGTTGTCCAGGAAAGATTATTTGGAAGATGTTTCTGACCCAGGAGGAATCTGATCATTATACCAATATTAAAAATGCTGTATTCATTTCTATCCACAATCTGTTACAAGAACTAGGGAGAATGGAGGAAGCTCAGTAAGTTATTAAAAGCTGTATCTGTAATTCACCATATTCAATCATAATCATAATAGGTATTTTGAAGAGTAGCCAGTTCTCTAATGTCTATTTTACTTCTCTAACAATCTTAAACACTAAATAGTTCGTGGTTATTATTAAGCAGAATTGAGTAAAAAGTCTGGTAACAAGAAAGAGTCATTTGCTTGAATGAATATGTGACTTAAAAAATCAGTTCTTACCATTAGGCTGCCTAAATGAATGATACACTTGAATATCAGTTATGGCATGCCATGAGTTAATCAGGGCTACTTTATCTGCTCCAGAGATTTTGTGGGCACGGTTGACAGTCTTTGTTTTTCCATCTGTCCAGTATATATAGTCTTCAAATAATGTTAGAGCAATCACCCCTAGAACATGTTGATTAGGGACTGCAATAGAATATAATAACATTACTGTTGCATTTTGAGAAAGACTGATAGTTAAAATATTTTGATTGCAAAATCTACCCTAAAAGTGCCTTCTTTGGAGGCCTGGCTGTTATGCCTGAAGTTGCTTCAAAATCACTATGACTACATATTTATCTTGTTTGTTATATGTCTTTTAGTCTCTGCCTTCTTTGGAAAGACTTTTAACAGTTGTTTCACTTTTAGTTTTCTCTTCACTGAATACTTTGTGACATTTTCTCCATTTGCTGAATTATCATTCTAATCTAGTCTATCATCCTGCCTGCATTTTCTCTATATATATTTTCAATCCGTATTTCCTTCTGCAATTCCTAAGTTTCCTCTAAGTATCTTCTGAGGATAAAGAATTACCCAAAATCTGACAATCCATTAAAACAGACACTCAAATGATGTAAACTAAGAAGACCTCTTACTAAACTCTACTACAAAGGTACAGGGCAAATACAGAAAGTCAAATTCAGCAAACGATGTGGAGGATATCTTTTAAAACATTTTCTCTCAAGAAAGAAAGGGAAAAAATTGGCAGAAATCAAAGCAGACAATCCTGGGCAGCAAGGTGATAACAGTTACTCTATTGTGTTACTATATGGATGGAATAATTCCTGTTGAAAATACCCCAATTTTAGATATCCTCATAGTAGTGTAAAAACAATAATCACTCCAATTTCCTGTGCCAAGCAATTTAAAACTTTAAAAATCATTATCCAATTGAAACTCTGTCTACAATTAAAGGCACTTTTTCATAAGGAATTATGTTATGAATATGAATATACACATATTATTGAACAGGAGAGGTTTTTTTCCAGAAAAATAAAAACAGTTGTTAAACCAGACAGCTGTCAACAGCTCATCAACTTTGTAGTGCAAGTACTCAGGATAAAGTATTTGAAAACACAGAGGCGGAATTAATGTAAAAACTAAAGATTTATCTCATAAGATCATACCATGCGATTGGGACAACCAATGGTAATGTGATTTGTGGGATGACCAGTCAATCACTGAATCCAATATTCCCCTTTAGGTCATCCCACAGATCTGCATTACATAAACAATGTAAGCATCCCTCTCTCTCCCTTGTTCTTATTTTTATACAGTTGCCAGTGACAATTTAGTGACAAAGGAATGAACTGGTATTATTTAAATACAGAGTTTTGACATATAACATGAATAGCATAAGTTGAAATGAAGTTTTACTGATTAACTAATTCCATGTAAATATATCTAACTTTCAAATAATGTCATACTGTAAATGAAAGCATCAATTTATTAATTGGCAAAAACTATGAGAATGAATAATATTGTTACAAAGGCAAGTGTTTTTCATACTATGCATACTATGTTGTCCTTAGCTTCTTCATATACAGCGTGTATCAAAAGTCAAGCCTCATAGGCCTAACACAATATGATTTATTATTTATTTTTTCACACAAAATATTCATGTACAAGAATGTCCAAAGATCAAACAAGTAAGGAAGTGTTTAGAACAAAATGACAAGCAATGTGATCTTTTAATATAATTTATGGAGTAAAATGTCTATGGGATTTGACCTTAGGTATTTGTATTGTTTTAGAAAATGTAGGTTATAAAAGAATAGTTTTCCAAATACAACAAATTTGGCAAAAGAACAAGCTGTAATAGTTTGTTTCTTGGAATGTAACTAACCTTTACTTCTGCGGGTGCCATCCATATTAGCAAATTCAATATGATTTTCATCAGCCCAGTATAATCTTCTATTGACATAGTCTATTGTAAGAGCCATGGGTCTAGATATCTCTGTTTCTATCACAATTGTCTGATTAGAGCCATCCATGCCAACTCGTCCAATATGAGGATATTCACAGCAATCAATCCAATACAAATAACTAGGAAACAAAATTCATAAATGTGGTGTTACTGTGTAAATAATAATACAACCAGTATAATTGAAATTTTACAATCTACCAAAGTTGTATGTAGCATTTATTTTTAAGTATCACATTGTTCACTATCAATGAGCTAAGCTGATAAATTCTGCTAATTCAGAACTGACAGACTCTATTCTCTCTCAAAAGAGTTGATAATTTACTTAATGTTGCTCAAAACCTTAAGGTCTGAGTTATGTTTCTTTTACTGAATTGACTTTATATATTCACCCATAAAGCAAGAGATAATATGATCTTACAACGGCAAACGCAAAAGTGTACAATGGATTGAATTTTTTAAAATGTTTCTTGTATCTTTTTTTATGATAGTTTATTAAATCAAAATATTTCCCTGCGCAATTTAATTTACAATGTTCAGCACTGAATGGAAAAAATATTTGGAGCTAAAAAATGGCATAGGATTTGCAATCCATGAGCCAATATATCCCTCATCTATCATTTTTTATTCAGTGAGCAAAACATTATCAAATAATGCTACCCAAACTATTTTCTGTTGTGTCTCAATAATTAACCATGTATTAACTCCTCCCTAGCCAAGAAAATCTGTTTTTATGATTATTTTTATATTTGTATGTTTTGTTACGTTGTAAACCTCTCAGGGCCACTTCAAACTGAGAGATTGATGGCATATAAATTTAATAAAATAAAAAAATAAATGGTCACACAATTTCAGTGTGTTCTGTGATATTGAAAATATTCTGCATCCTTTGGGGGCTACCCTAAATTTAAAGGAAAGGAAGGTATAGGTGCAGTATAATTCTCCCACGTATTTCATTTCTGTTATCCCAGTCTTACCTAAATGAGATATCAGCAAAATAATTTGCTGTTCAACAATATGAATCAGCATAACACAAGTTATTTATCTTCCTGCAGTTTTAATACTATGTTTATCTTCCAATATTGCTTCATTTAATATATATATAACATATAGGTTGAATAAATAAGGAAAGAAGATACAGTTTCGTCTCACTCCTTTGGCAACCTGGAGTTAGTCTGTTTCACTATGTTCTGTCCATACTGTGGCTTCTTACTTGTATATAAGTTTCTCATGAGTACTATTAGATGTTCCTAGGTTGCCAATTTTCTATGCACTTTTCATAATAGAATATTATGTATAGTTTCTGATTGCTATTAAGATATTAATTAAGTAAATATTGGTCAGAAAAAAGGCAATCAACATGATTAAGAGATCACATGAAGAAAATTATATTGGTCACAGGGCTTCAGTATATAACTGAGGGACTAAAACAAAAGGATATTCATTAAAGTTTTGCTGGTTCTTCCTCACCAAACATCTGGGGAGGAACCAAATGAATGAGGAACATTGGTCAAGAAGGTATCTTGAATTTTGATTTCAATCATATGAAAGATGAATTCAACAAATGTTTATAAGCACAACTTCTTTGAGGTGACCATTCTTGCATTGTCAAATTTCCAGGTTTTCGCCTGATATACTTCTATGGAATAGCTAATAAAATAATGGGTATCTGAAAGGGGCAAAGGATATCACATGCATCTTGACATTATCAATATGAATTATATACACACAATTTTGCATTATAATTATATTGTATATAATTCATGCCATTTGTATAATGTTATGTACATAACATTATTTGACATTGTGATTTCCATTGGATACCTATATACATTCCACAGTCACATGGAACTTCGGTGGAGATGTATAGTAGTTAATGACTTTTAAATAATATTTTTAAAAAAATCACTCAGCTGAATTAATTCACCTGTCATTAGCTTTCAGACATTATTATTCAAATTTATGCTGGACAAATTTGTGATTATTATTTGGGGACAACCTGAAATTTTCAAATATTAAATATAACAATTATCTCCATTATCTTTCATTTTAGCTACATTAACTCCAAAAATGCTTCCCTTTAAACATTACTCTTGTTGAGAAGGATATACTTCCTTATAAACATTCTCCAAACCAGAAACAATCAATTGCACTATTAATTTGTATGATAACTCCATACCCAATTTGAGGATCTAAAGAGAGATCTCTAGGGAACTTCACCCTTTTGCTCACAAGAACAGTGGGATACAAGCCATTGATTTTGGATACTTCAATCATCCTTTTTTCCGTGTCAGACCAATAGAGATTCTTTCCAACCCAGTCAACTGCTAATGCATTAGGAACAGCTGTGTTATGAACTACCTAGAGAAATGAAAACTGTATAAGTATCAGAACATACACTTAAAAATGGTGGAAAGTCCATTTTCATTTCCTGGAGAGTAAATAATTATAGTACACTGGCAAATACAATTATGCAATTGGAAAGTTCTTAATTTTGAAAAATATTTGAGAGAAAATATATTAATTCTAAAAGCATACTACAATTAACCAACATCAACAGAAGGCATTATATGGTAATTTTATTCCTGTTTTACCACATTTTTTTTCTTTCATTAAAAGTCCCTGCAAGTTTTCTTGGCAAGATTTTTCATTACCTCCTGGTTCAAGGTCATCCAGCTGACTTTGTGCCTGAGGTAGGATAAGAACTTAGAGCTTCTGGTTTCAGAATTTATGCCTTAACCATTACATCAAATTGTTTCTCACCACTTAAATTACTGCACTTAATTACTGCACTTAAATATTCAGTTTAGGCATATCCCGATGAATTCTTTCTCTGATGTGCAGAATCCCATCTCATATTCTTAGAGGTTTCTTCACATCCAAATACATAATAACTTAGTTACCTGCTTTTCTTCAACACATAACAGCAGTCAGCAATATGATTTACTAAGTGACGCTATGAAAGATAACTATTGGAAACTTCCCAAGATTTACTTTTATAAACAGGAAAGAAATGGGTTGATGTAGAGGTAACAAAAACCATCAGCCAAAGCACTCCAAGTGGTACTGGTTGCACAGATTCTTCCATCTTCACCCCCTCCAGTTCCTAAAGATTAAGGTAGTCAGCCCCATTTCAGTCTATCAGTATGAAATTATTATGGACAATTTTATCAAACAAACCACCACACTGGCTGCTGCTATATCTACAAATTTAAATTTTCTTTGGGCATGGAAAAGTAGTAGAGTAATCTTTCAGATTATAGGAAATGTAAGGAAAAAATGAACTGGGGTTGAGTATTTATCTGTCCATTCATCTAAATTATGGTCAAGTATCTACTCTGAAATATTAAAAGTTCACTTTTTCCCCTAAACTAAACTTCCTTGGCAAAATTGTCTATTATCAATGTTATTTATACATAATCAGCTAAAAAAAATGTTTCCGTCATCTTTTGGAAAAGCCATGACAGACTACAGTTTAGTGAATAAAACTAAAACTATTGTGCAAAAATGAGAAAATGGCTTTGGGACAGTTCTAAAAGAAGAAAAGTATAGTTATGGATAGAAACATAATGTTGATCTCAATTCAGGCATTCATTGAGAAACCTTGACATGAATTAGGTTTGCTGAGAACTCTCATCAAGTCTAACTTTGAGTAGGATGGGAGATCTGTAAAAATACACAATTGGTTTTGAATGACAAGTTACATAAATATGAAGTACAAAAAGAAAATCCTGCACAAACAAATGAAAGATATATTCTTTCTGTATTATATAGGGAGAATTCCCCATTTATTTCTTGTTTTTTTCCCACTGTAATCACTATATTCTTCATTTAACTCAATCTGTCTGATACTTTAAATCAGAGAATACATAGGATTTGCATTTCATTTCAATTTCCACAATATGCTTTTTTATCTCATTATTGTACATAGAGGCACTAATTAAATCATAGTTCAAAAAGAATTTTGATTTGAAATATGAATACACCTGGATATCAGTTTCTATTGTAATTAAATCAATTTCTAAAAAAAACAAACTTCACCTGGAAAACAATCTAAAAACTAAGTTTAGAAATAAAAAGCAAAAGAATAGGGAATTATTACCAAGAATTCTTAAATAAGGTAGAAGTTCAATTGGATCAAATGCAACAGATATTATGAAATATGTCATATCCTGAATAAGCTATATGTTTTATAATCCTATGTATCAATTGTTTAATATTTTGATTAAGAACATTAAAGAAAATACATATTGGCTAAGCCTATATAACCAGGAGTGGTATTCTACCAGTTCAGCCCAGTTCGGTTGAACCGGTAGCTCCAAGGATCATCTGTGAGTGAACTGGTTCGCTCCAACAATCAGCTCCTGGGCCCGCCCCAGCTCTATTCTGACCTTTATTTCCTGGTTTTGAAGCTCAGCTGCTTCGTACGGCACAGCGGATTGCCACACGTCAACTGTTTAACACACAGAGAGAGTGCAGGATTGCAGGACAAGGTCAGTAGCAAAGCCTCTGTGCGTGCACAAAGCGCTCCCACCAAGCCATGCCCACATAATTGGTGGTAAAATTTTTGAATCCCACCACTGCTATATAACCTGCTCAGAATTGCCTCGAACTGCAAGATGCATAGCAGGTAAATTTAATAAATAAATAGTGTGACTAGCTGCAAATTCTTAAAGATTTACACTAGCACAAATACAACTAAAATATATATGCTTTTAAATTAGTATTTGAACCTTAACTATTTATCACCCAAGAAAAACAATTGCAGTTGTGCAACTTAAAATCGATTTGTAGAGTAGGGGGGAAATAGTTTCATCCAGACTTAGTTACACTCTATATAAATTGAGTTAAATTAATCATGATTAATCTGTTCCATAGTTTCAATATATGTATTCATAATAAAGCTGAGTCATGATCAAAATCTATTAGCTTCTGATCCAAATAATATTTATAAATCCATGATTATTTCTAAATCACCTTGACATTATTCCCATTCAGATTCATTCTGTTAATCCTACTTCCATTTGGTCTGCTGGAATCAATCCAATAGATGAACTCTTCTTTGTAATCAAAGTCTACTGCAATCACATTATTCAGGCCCTGAAAAGGAAAAAAATAACTTTAGCAGTTGCTGTAAACAAATTAACAAAGTTAAGATAACTATTCATATCAGATTAATTATCAAGTATTAATTAAGGGGGATACTTAAAAGGGGGGGATATATCTATTTTCCCCAAATTTTCAGATTTAATTTTTATCTTTTAACAGAACTTGGAGTAGGAACACAGATGAAACTTGGGGTTAACCAACAAAAAATGTTATCCCCTTCAAATATACTGTCAAGTTTCCAATACCAGTCAATGGGAGAAGATATAAGAAGATGTAACCACCACTATCTATTCTCCAACCATCTCAATTTTTGATATGTGGGAGACAGAGTGTCCATAGGAGACTATCAGTTAATGAGGGGTTAAAAATTGAAGGCCCTCTGACCTCCAAGATGATGAGCTTCCCATATACATTCCCATGTACATTGATCTTAGCTTCATATGTGCCCTGGTGGCATAATGGTTAGAATGCAGTATTACAGGCTAACTCTGCTCAGAGTCTGTTGTTCAATCCTTACAGGCTTGAGATTGACTCAGCCTTTCATCCTTCCAAGGTTGGAAGTCAAGAGTGTTTCTCTTCCATAAATTTTTGATTAAAGTTCAACTTTTATTGTCAAGGTCTAGCTTTCAGGACAACCAGTCCGTATGGATCAAGGCTGTCAAATCTAACCTTTTAAACCTAGACTACTTTCCCTTCAGTTCTCAAGATGAAATACGATTAGGTGAAACAAACCCTGAAGCAAAGGAAAAAGGATACAGAGCAGCAAACAGATCTAGGGAAGGCCCTAGCTTTCTTATCATCAGTATAAAAAGATACATGGTCACTGCAGCCAGCTGCCTTATACAGGTATAAATACCAATCCATTTGAAAGCTTTCTCTCTTGTTTGATGTCATGCTGTCCTTTCTGCATGATTGGATGGGAAATTTATAAAAGTATCATTAACTGAAAGGCTGAAAGGCTTTGCCCCTGTGATTCCAAAGAGGTGGAAACTACAGAACATGTTATTTGTTGTTCCTTTTATGGAGACAGCCAAACCAAAATCATCCTCTCTGATAATATCCTAGTTACTGAGATTAAGCCTATGGTCAAATGATGGTTTTTACAGTGCACGTAGCTAGGTTTTGTACATCAGCATGGAAGATCTGTTGGACATGATGAGCTAATTTTCCATTAGTCAAGTTCTATTAATTGTAATGCTAGATATTATCACATTTTTGTAATTTTGGATGTTGGTATACTTAATGTAATTTTACTGTCTATATTATAATATAGACTGCATCCTGAACATCATTTATAAATGTAAGCTTGTTTTTAAAATGTATTTTAATTTTGTCTTACACTTTATTGTATTTATTATCTATTTAGATTCACAGAGTATTCTGCTCATACTGGTTTATGATTTGGTCTAAACTGGTGTATGGTGAATTGAAAACACATGGGTGAGGGATATTCTTCTGAAAGGCACTATTTATTACCTTTAATTTAATTACTACATATGACAGACTAAATATGACTGACTTCTGAAAACATAAAACAGTAATTCTCAAGAGATAAAACCTTAGAAAAATGAATAAGGAGAGAGTAAGTGGCTATGAAAGCTAAACATGTTCAGAGATAAAAGAAGAATAAATCTAAAAATGCAGTGGGGTAAAGCTAAAATTAATACATATTTTAAAATAGATATCAAGCTTGCTTTAACTGTGACCTCATGAGTTCTGCTGAGTGTCTAATATGAAGAGGCTCCTGAAAATTATCTCTATTGTTTGGCTAGAAGTGCTGCAGAGAACTTTATATGACAATATAAGTTTCAGTTTAATATGAGATGACAGTGCTTTCTTGTTCCACAATCTTCCTGGCTCATTCATGAAGTATCAAGATTTGAGGCTTTCTGACATAGTCATTTTTGATCTTCTTCCAAAAGAATTTAGAATAGTATTCCTTGATTAATTGGCAGCACTAGGAAGGACCCCAAAATTTTAGGAAGGAAAAATTGTTCTATTAGTACTTTAGTTTTGTTTTGAAGGGTAAGTTAAAAGTTACATTATGACCTATAATGATGCCTGTGAGTTATTTAATCCTAAAGCAATGTTTGTTTAGCTGATCTTAATTGAAATGATTTTAGATCACAGATATTTTTGTCAGTGCAAATCTATATTTCCTTGCTATAGAAGATTGACCAGCCTTAAGAACAAAATATGCTATTTCTAAATGACAGATTCCAGTAATTTGCTCACTCCATCCTTCCTGCCAAATTACTATGTTATTCATTTTCATGGGTGGAAGGGATTAAAAACTGTTTTTGTAGATAACACTGAAAATTGCCTACTTATAAAAAAACCCCTTCTTGAGTATTACTGGATATAGATATCATGAGCTGTGTCCAGATACTGGTCTTCAAGTCAGGATGGAGCATCCACTCCAGGTGTTTACAATCTGATATGGAGTTGTTTAAAGGTCTGTTCATGCTGTTTTTAATTCTCTGCAAAGTAGGTTACCATGGAGTTGGTGGATTGTGGCAATTCTGCATGAAATATACTAAGGGAAGATTCATTTTTGATCTTTGAGGAGTATATTAATAACATACATTCATTATCCAACACATTTAATTTTGCAAGGATACAATATACTTTAATGCTTGAAGCTATAGCTGTATTATGTGGGCTATATAAAGTAACTCTATTTCCTTTAGAGTTCTTCAATTTTCTGGAAGTAACATTAGGTAAGCTGGAAAATTTGAAAACTGGCTTTCCAAGAGAAAATCACCAGTAATAGAGAGTACAGGCATTTTTTACAACTGCACCCATTTTTCTCACATTTTATATGATTTGAATAGAATTTCACCATCATTGTGCCAAACTGTCCAATCTTCTGCAATAGTTTGAATTCAATTTACAGAATACAAATTAAAGAACCCTTTTCCAACAGTGACCACAACATGATTGACTTTTGTCTCAACATACGTCCACACAAAAATCATCATAACGATGGGAGCCCCAATTATAACTTCAAAAAAGGCAACAATGATCTTATAGACAACGATCTCTCATCTCTTGATTGGCAACTTCTATTCATTGGATGTAATACTGTTGAAGACCATTACAAAATATTTTTACTTGAAGTCAAAAGAGTAATCTATATGAACCAATAACAACTCCCAAAACTAGAAAGAACAAATTACCCATAACAATAAGGAAGCTTCAATCCAAAAAGAAATCACCTTGGTGGAAAAACAAATCTGGTCACGTTACCAACTTCAAAAGCCAATACAAAAATTTATGCTACCAGATAAAGACTGAATGCACCAATTATCACATTAAACAAGAGGAAAACCTTCTATGCACCAATTCCACCCGCGCTTTCTACAATTTTGTAAACAACAAACTAAAAGACTCAAGGTCCATCCCACCCCTGAAAGGACCTAATGGTAAAGACTGCAACGATGACACTATTAAAGCAAAGCTCTTTAACACTTTCTTTGGCTAAGTATTTGTAAACAGCAATGGATCATGCCCAGTATTTCCTAGTCGAACCACAGACAACTACAATGATCTAATACATATTGATTTTACAGAAGACATTGTTGAAAAAGCACTATGCAATCTAAAACCATCTCTATCTATTGGACCAGACGGAATATGTGCCTACTTCTTTAAAAAAGCTATCTACTGGCATAGCCAAACCTCTAAGCATAATCTTTGAAAAATCTTTCAGGACCAGCTCCTTGCCAAACCTATGGTCACAAGCCACGGTCATCCCCATCTTCAAAAAGGGAGTCCCCAGCCTAGTTGAAAATTACAGACCAATCTCTTTATGCTGCGTCACCTGTAAAATCATGGAATCAATTATTAACCAATCCATTATCCTCTACTTAGAGACAAACAACCTACTCTCTAATAAACAATTTGGTTTCTGAAAAAAAAAAAACCTATCCTGTAATCTGCAACTCTTACACTGCAAAAACATATGGACTACACAACTCGATCAGGGCAAAGCAATAGATACAATCTACATAGAGTGTAAAGCCTTTGATTCAGGGGTACATGACAAACTACTCCTAAAACTAAAATCTTATGATATCTCTGGACTCTTGCATAACTGGATAGAAGCATTCCTGTCAAATAGACAATAAATGGTCAAAATTGGGAGCCCTATCAAATTCTGTACCTGTCAACAGTGGTATCCCCCAAGGCAGTGTTATGGGACCAACTCTCTTCATACTCTACATAAATGACCTCTGTGATCATTAAGAGCAACTGTGTTTGCTTCGCTGATGATGTAAAGCTATTCAACACTACAGACAATACTGCTACCCTTCAAAAAGACCTCGACTATGTATCAGAATGGTCAAACAAATGGCAACTTCAAATCTCAACAAATAAATGCTTTGTCTTGCATATTGGCAAAAAAAATCAGAAAATAAAATACAAGCTGAATAGTCAAGACCTTGTTGATGTTCCAAACTCTGTCGAGGACCTTGGAGTACTCATCTCTAGTGATCTAAGTGCTAGAGCCCACTGTAACTACATAGCCAAAAAGGCATTAAGAGTTGTTAACCTAATCCTATGTAGCTTTTTCTCTGGTAATATCACACTACTAACTGGAGCATACAAAACATTTGCTAGACCAATATTTGAATACACCTCATCAGTCTGGAACCCACATTACGTATCTGATATTAACACAGTTGAGAAAGTCCAGAAATATTTCACAAGAAGAGTTCTCCACTCCTCTACTTGTTGCAGAATACCTTATGCCACCAGACTCGAAATTCTAGACCTAGAAAACCTAGAACTACGCCGCCTTTGGTCCAATCTAAGTATATAAAATTATACATTGCAATGTCCTACCTGTCAATGAATACTTCAGCTTCAACCATAACAATACAAGAGCACACAATAGATACAAACTCAAAGTTAACTACACCAAACTTGATTGCAGGAAATACGACTTCAGCAACACAGTGGTTAATGTCTGGAATACTCTATCTGACTCAGTGGTTTCTTCCCCAAACCCTAAAAACTTTAACCTTAGACTGTCTACTATTGACCTCACCCCTTTCCTAAGAGGTCTGTAGGGGGTGTTTATAAGGCAGCACTGTGCCTACCATCCCTGTCCTATTGTTTCTTTTTATTCTTCTTATATGTATCCATTTCATGTATTCATAACTATGTTTATACTTATACCTGTCATCTTATAATCTCTTGGCAAATAAATAAAATAAATAAATCTGCCATGTAACCATTTTAAAGAAAATAATAATTTATGAGAGGCACCTGAATAAAGAGAAGTCATGAAAACTGTTTCTCTTGCTCCAAAGTATTATTACTGGTGTCACAAAGTATTATTACTGGTGTCACAGCATGACATTTTTTTGGGGGGAGAGGTCAAAAGGGTAAATAATGAAACATACTTTGTATTGTGATGCAAATTCTTCTTTTTTAGTCTTTCTATTATGTCAGTCCTTCAAGGAAGACGTTAGGAAACAAATACTTGATCTCTACTTTAGTAATACAGACTAAAATAAAGGTATTGAAAGCTTCAAAGAGTTTCTATTTCTTTCTCTTTTGTACCCAAGAAAATCAAAGTAAACCAACCTTCTTCATCCTTTCCCGTTGACCCAGGAAAATAGATGTTTTTGTTATATTTGCCATTATTTTTGTCAAAACCATCTCCATACTCTTCTCCACATAATAACATGATGGAAGAGACAGGGCATATGTTGAAACAACATGACAGATGTTTTGTAATTTTGAAAAAAAAAATCTGTTTTCTGTGGATGTTTCTGAATGCAAACTCCATAAGCATTTTTTATCAATTTGAAACAGTATTGGACTATAACCAAGCACATTATTTGCTGTATGCTATGGTAATTTCTTCAGAAGGCTTGTAATGAAATATTTGTTCTTTATTTAGGAAATACTTGGAGAAAAAGTCAGTTTCCCCACATAAAATGTTTGATATTTGATCATGCAAAATTAGTAATTAATTGCAATAGAAGTCAAAATTATAGTTAAGCAGAAGACTATTTAGGCCTTAAATTGTTAAATCTTTGTTATTTCTGTTCTTCTCAATCTCCAAAATAACAGTTGAGAATTAACAATAAGTTTCTGCAGTTAACCTTGATTAGACGATAGGATGCCCATCAAATCTAGTCAAGTTGCATATTTTACTTAAAATAGGTTAATAGAATTTTCTTCACAACAATGTGTCTGGAAACAATAATAGAGGAACCAGTGATTTGAAACCCGAAATACTAATAAACAACACTGAAGAGAACAACAGACAGATAAAGCAAAAATAAACAAACACAGATCTGTTCAGCAAAATGGAGTAAATCAGTATGTTCTTAGTCAATATCATTATTATCAATATCATTAGGAGCCTTGGTGGCGCAGTGGTTAGAGGGCAGTACTGCAAGCTACTCCTACTGCAATTTTGCAGATCGAATCCCAGCAGACTCAAGATTGACTCAGCCTTCCATCCTTCCAAGGTGGGTAAAATGAGGACCCAAATTGTAGGGGGCAATATTCTGACTCTGTAAACCACTTTGAAATGGCTGTAAAGCACTATAAAGCATTATATAATCTAAGTGCTATTGCTATTATGTTATTTACTCAAAAATCCTTTATCATCTCTAGTTCTGTATTAACCTGTAAATTTCATCTTAAAAATCCTGCAAAAATGATTTAAATATGTATGTATAACCATAAATCATTAATTGCTTTATTTCCCTACATTCATAAAAATTCTGTTTATTAAAATACAGCATAATCACTGAAAGAAACTCCTATCAAGTTATATAAGCAACTAATTTTGGTTATAATATACATGCAGAATTGATTTCAGTGGTATACTCCATGTATATTCATATGCCAAGTATATAACCTTTGGGGGAAAGAGTCAATCTTGTTGCCCATTTAAAATGTTTTATTCACTTCTGCATTGACATTTCCTTATGATGATGACGTACTGTATGGCCACTGTACCTTTTTAAAAAAGATTTATGATTTCTGTACACTGTCTAGGGATCCTTTGTGTGACACTTAGAGAATACCTGTTTCATTGAAGTATAGTTGGATCCATCAGTACTAATTTTTCGTATTTCGTGATGATCAGCCAGAATTAAGAATGGCTCTTCATCTATATGAAAAAATAATGGTAGTTTTTTTACTTAATTTATGAAACTTTGAAATAGAAACATAAATAGTGAAAAATTAAATGCTGTATGCTATGAACATTGGTATAGATAAACATTACAAGCATAATATTTCAAACAAAATCAAATATTAGTCATAAGCTGAACAAGAGATTTAATTAGCACCTTTTTAGAGTACTTTAATATCGCCTTTGAAACGCAAGAGAAGAATTAACATTCTCTATTAAGTTTTACTTCCAAAATGAATTTATAAACACAGCTTGGCTTTCAAGTAACAAATAGATAATAAGTAACAGCTGACATAAAAAAGGTAGAATCATTTGATTCAAAATGAATGCATAGTTTAATTTCCAACAATTAGTGAGTTCTACAGTGGTTCTGAAAAGAAAATATGGATTTTTAATGTTAATACACTTTGGAATGTATATGTAACCACTAGTTCTACCAGCTGTGTTCACCTTACTTTGTTCCTGTTGTTAGCTGCCCAAAGTGATGAATTAGAGATGGACAAACACATAAGAATAAATACATAAAGAAATAATGCAAATTTCCTTAATTTATTAAACTGCTTTATAATAAATAAAAAAAAACAAAAAAAAAAGAAACATCCCCCTTCTCCACCTCTATCAGTAAACATAAAAGTAAATAAAGTAATAATATTATTGGAATTTAGCCTTTATGTCTGATAATTATTTAGCAAAATAATGCTTTCATAAAGAACTCAAGGGAAACAATTGAATGAATCTGTATCTAAAATTAGTCTCACAACTTTTGCTAGATCAGGAATTTTTGAATGAATTGCTATACAATTTTGAGGGAGTAACTTATTTTTTTAATGGTTTTAGACAAGATAGAGAGCAGGTGTGTAAGTTAGCTAAGTGGTACCAATTCCTTAAAGAAGGACAGAGAATGTTATCTTGTTTACAGTTGCTTATATCCCATTGCCTGAAACAAGTTTTTACAGAGCTTTCAAATAAACCAACAGCTTATTTGAATGGAAGATTTGGAGGGTTACTTACACTTATGCATATGCAATAACGTACAGGTGGAATCTATGACCCATTACCTACTATATTGCAAACTCTATCAAGAGCCTAGACCTAATTTATTATATCCTTGTCAACCCAATTAAAAAAAATATGTTGTCCAATGAAGACAAATGTGTATTGAAACTATTGCATTGTTAGCAATGGTGACAAAGTACATACAAAAGCATACCTGACAAATAATACTGTTAATATAAGAGGGGATGTACTTATTTGATTGCTTCATTTTATATACATGTATTTTGTTAAAACCTATTGTTGGAAATAAATGTTTTAATACTTTAAAATTTAAGTCCTATTCTTTATGCTTAATTTGACTATGACTTTAATAGTTTTATAGCTGAAAAAGTTTACCCGAAAGGGATTTGCATCCTTGCTTAGGATTAGGTTGCATTTGATAACCATCCATACACAAGCATTTGTAAGACCCATATGTATTGATGCATTGCTGACTGCACGGAAAGCCAGATGAACATTCATCAATATCTACACATGTTTTGCCATCCTCCTTCATTTGGAAACCAGGCCAACATTTACACTATAAAGAAAAATAAAGCACATTATGTGTTAAGCATGTAAAGGCTAGGGCTATTTTCATTTCTTTATCTTTCTTGGTTAATGTAATATCAATTTTATTGAAATGCTATTAATACATGTTATCCAAATCTCAGGACTCAAAGAAAAACCCATGGCTCATTTTGAGCTTTTTTCAGACACACACATCGGCAATATATCACAGTTTCATAATTTATCTAATTGTTTGGATTTTTTGGAATATTTCATAGCAAAAAAAAATATCTATAAAGTGGGCCAGAAGAGTATGATTTATACCAGGGGTCGCCAACCTTTTGGACCTCAGGGACCACCAAACTCATACTTTCAAATCCTGAGGACCACTAATATGAATTTTTTTAAAAAAGCTAATATATTTAATATAAAAAATTATATTAAATATAAATTATACACACACACACTTATTTAATTTTAACAAAAACATAAATGCTTAATAACAAAATAAAACATTCTGGGCTTGAAGCCTCCCCCCACCTGCACCTTCCAAAGAGACAGAAGAGCAGAGCTGAGGGGTCTTGGGGCAACTGCCACTGGGAGAAGCAGAGGCAGAAAGGTGGCTTTGCTCTCCCTGGGGGGCAGTGCCCCTCGGCCGCCACTCCAGGGCTTCTCAGCAGGCATCTGCCTACAGAATACTGCTGCCCTTTAATAAAATTTGGGGGAGGGGAGAAAGTGGGAGCTCCTTTCAGATCCCGGGTGGAGGATTGAGAGAGCTCAGATCTGCAGTCGAAGAAAAGCTGGGAGAGGGCTCTTCCAGCCTCACCTGGAGACAGGCAAGGAAAGGAAAGGAAAGGAAAGGAAAGGAAAGGAAAGGAAAGGAAAGGAAAGGAAAGGAAAGGAAAGGAAAGGAAGGAGGGAGGGAGGGAGGGGGAGAGAGAGAGAGAGAGAATCTCTCACATTACCAGGGGAGGAAAGGAGGCAAAACAAAGTTCACTCTTTCACCGAGACCTACAAAATGCCAATCTAAAGTGTTCTAGGAGTTCTTTGAAATCATCAAATGATCCCACTCGCAGTTCTTGCACCTCCTGGCTCTTCGAGGCTTTGATGACCCGGCAGAGATAGCACCCGAGTTGCCTTAGCATGGTTGGTTAGTTCACAATTGCCTATCCAGAGAAGGAGGTGCTGGAGAAGGAGGAGACAGTAGTGGACAAACAAGCAACTCAGGGTGCTACCGCTGTGGTGGCTTTGCATAGATCTCCGAGGCTTCGATGTTGGGAGAGGCAGCGAGGGCTGGAGGAGCCGAGAGCTGCATACAGCTCCATCTCCCTTTCCTTACCTGCCTGCACGTGGGGACAGGGGAGTAGGGGGAAAGAAAGAGAGAGAGGTGGGAGCAATTCAAAACTAGAGAACTAATGGGGAGAGCTAACAGTAGGTGCTGGGGGAGGGGACTGTTGTTGCCACCACCTGCCTTGTTTGGGACCTGGTTGGTGCATGCATCTCAGGGAGCTGACTCCGGAGTCCCTTGAAGAGCCGGGAGGTGCGAGAAATGTGCAGCCCAGATTAATTGCTTTCAGGGGTCATTTCTTCTGCAGCCCACCAAAATTTTTCCACGGCCCACTGGTTGGTGACCACTGGTTTATAACATAGTTTTTAAGAAAAAATGCAGATAAAAAGTATTGAATATTTTCCTCAGCTTGAATTTTTTTGGTTTGTTCCATTTTTCTTAATCAGTTGTCATTCCCTTTGGATTCATATGTATATTTTGCCAAGTTCCATAAAAGTGCTTTTAAAAAAACTGTTATAGTTTTCTAAAAGAGAAGAGGAAGAAAGGATTTAAAGTTGCACCTAATATCAGGCAAATTTATAGCTCCATTTCTTTTGCTGACATACAGTTACAGCCCTAGCCCAGGGGATAGTGTTTTAAAAGAAGAGGTTCTGCCTCATTAACAGTCCTGAAGATAGAAATTCAGTTCAGTTCTACAAAAAAACAAAAAAACAAGTGGCAAGATTTAAACTCTTGAAGTGTTTTTCAAATTTCTCTTTAATCTGTTATTCTGAATGTTATTGTCTGAGATTACTTTGACTCTAAATACAGTAAATCAATATAAAACAGATTTTTCATGTTTCCACCATGCACCAACTATTACAAAAGGTCTTAGAGGAGAGAACTTACAGTTAACATTTTGACATCCTCCAAGTTAAAGTTAGAAGACAGGAAGAATTAATAGAACATGATAAACTCATAAAACAGCAACAAAAATAGATCAGATGAAATTCATTCATCTTTAATTTACTAGGTCTGGTTTTTTTTTTAGTCCTATTCAAAATGTCGTCATGCTAGAAAGGCACACCATTTAGTCAAATTTAGTTAGACGCTAAGTAAGCATTTATTCAAGGCTCTAAAAATTACAAAATCCAATAGCTTTGGGATACAGTCACACTAGGCAGGTGAGAGGAAAGCTACAGGTTCTTTCCTGGAAATCTCTAACAAAAATAAATTGTTTTTACTGAACCAAACAGAGGCAGGCATGACTTTTTTCTGTATCTTTACCTCCCGATGTGAGAAATTGAAAAGTTACAAGCATTCGAACATTGAGGATTAATGGTGATGGGGAAAGTTAATGGTTGTCAAACTCAATTTCATTGAGGGACGCATCAGGTTTGTGTTTGACTTTGGGGGCCAAGTGGGTGTGCCCAGGGTGGGCATGGCCAGCTCGATGTCACTGATGTTGGGGGCGCCTGAGCATTCTGCCAGTGAAAACAGAGCTCAGGAGGGCCACGTGCGGCCCTCCCATGCTCTGTTTCTCTGGCAGAGGCATTGCGGGCTGATTCTTCACTGTTTCTAGGGCAGCCCTGTGGACCAAATCTAAGCATCCTGCCAGCCAGATTCAGTCCCTGGGCATTGAGTTTGACACCACTGATTTAGAAGAACATTAAAATATTTATGTTATATTTGCTGTGGTATTTTTGATGTTTCAACTACTGACTAAAATGTGGATTTGTACATATTATTTTGGATGTTTTCATTTTTTATTGTTTTAAAATGGTTTTAGCTTTAGTGTATTATATTTTTTGAATTGTAAGTCACCCACAGTCATTGTCTGACATGAGCAGCTATAGAAATTGAATAAATAAATATTTATTTTACATAATATCTTATTTCTGTAGTTCAGCTGCAAAAATTCATGCTTTCCTCCCACTAAATATTCTGAGATTAACTTTAAAGATAAAAGAATACAGTAATGAATACCTAATTTTTAAAATTACATATTAGACACATAAATCGGCATAGCCAAATACTTTAAAACTATTTGTTTTTTTCTCAATACCTCCAATTGATGACATTAGACTTTAAAATTAAATTGAAGTTTGCATGTTCTCTGGACTTCGATTAAGAGTACAGTAAAGTAGAGTAGAGTGGAGTAGAACAAAACAGAACAGAACAGAATAGAATTCTATATTGGCCAAGTGAGGTTGGGAAAAAAAAAAAGGAATTTGTCTTTGCTGTTTAAGCTCTCAGTGTACATCTGTTCTCTTAAAAAAATCTGTTTACATTTTTCAATAGAGTAGAGTAGAACAAAACAGAACAGAACAAAACAGAACAAAACAGAATAGAACAGAATTCTATATTGGCCAAGTGCGGTTGGGGGAAAAAAGGGAATTTGTCTCTGGTGCTTAAGCTCTCAGTGTACATCTGTTCTCTTAAAAAAAAATATGTTTACATTTGTCAATTTATTTTTCTTCCACAAAAGTATTTCCCTTTCCTAAGACACATAGAAAGTAAAATGAAGTATGAGCTACAAAGTTTTATTACTTGTATTACTATTAATAAAATATACAAATGCAAGCCTCATATGATTAACATTTCTGTGTGAGTTGGGGATTTCAAAGTCTATTTTATAGTGTATTATTTTAAACTTCTAAACTACTAACCTTGTATCCAACAGGAAGATCTTGACAGTCTTGAGAACAGCCACTAACTTTCTTACTCAAACATTCATTTATATGGCAATTTCTTTCATCAGATCCATCACCACAATCTTGTTTGGCATCACAAACATCTTCTTGGGGGATGCACTTGCCATTTTTACACATAAAAAATGAATTGTTGCATGACTGTTCTAAAAACAAGAAATAAATGGGTAAAAGGAAACAGAATGCAAAAAGTATGTAACTATTCATCAGGTTTTAAACTATGATCTATAGTTTAATTTACAAATAAATTATACATTTGCATATACTGATACAGATTTAAAATATTTATACAATATGTATAAATTTTATATTTGTAACTTATTACAGCTTTTATAAATGTATAAAACAGTACAATCTATATGTATTAAACTTTATGGAACATAGGACACTAATTTCAATAAAACAGGAGTTTGACAACTGTCTATATGGCACATTTGCTAAATACAATGCTTATTTTAAATACAAAATTTTGTTTATGGTGGATTTCTCTTCCTGTTGACTTAGGGCTAGCCTTAAGTTTAGAAATATTTGCACCAATTTCAGATCTGATTTTTCAACCAAATTTTGATGTTTCTCCCTAGATGGTATTGTCAGCCCTTTAGATAGACCAGATCAGAAAATCAATTCCACAAATGGGCAGAAACTGTTTTTATTCAAATTGTCTATAATAAACCTTTCAATCTGTTTGAATCTGTTTATCTCTTCCTTCCTTACTGTGAATTCCTTACTCTTATAGATATAATAGTACATGAAAATGACCCTGAGAGACAGGAGAAAAGCCACAGAGTAGACCACTGTCATGTAAAATATACTTCAATTAACAGGAGAAAGTAAAAGAGAAGGAGTAGAAAAATACTTCCAATCTTGCAAGAGTCTGCTAATGTAACCTTATAATAAAGATAAAGTTAGTATTCCTTGTGTTTCTTTTCTGGATTATATTAAAGGATTAGTAACAAGCATCAATGCCTTGTCTTTATATATTCTAAGTGCAGATGACATTGCTGAACCTGAGGTAAAGTCAAATGTATCATCAGTCTATACAGTCTTTATACTCCCTAAAGAAACCTAAATTTAGTTCTGTTGAGCCTGAATACTTTTCTATCTTTCAGCCTCTCTTCACTTGCACGTGCTTTGGATCAAAACATAACAGTTTTCAAGTGATGAACTGAGGGAAAGAGAGAAGTCTCAAAGACCATCTGGATTAAGAGATCTCCAGTACGGTGCTACAGAAAGGACATGCCAAATAATAAGAGGAAATTGATGAATTACCCAATCAGCATGCTTTGTCAGTAGTCTGCAAGTAGAAATACTTATTTTAGTAACACTGCATCATTCCAGAAAATTATTTTGGACATAAAAACAAAATTGAACAAATATTTAAAAAGCTGAACCTGCACTTCTGCATTTTATATTAATAGGATCCTCATCTGAATGATCTGGACAATCAAAATCTCCATCACATTGCCACTGAGAATTTAAGAGACATCTTCCATCAGCACAGCTGAATTCTCCAGGATTACAATGGCGATAGCCTAAAACCAGAGTGATTAAAAAATTATAATAATAACTCAAATGTTTAGAATTATATATATTCTCAGCTTTTAAATATTTATACCATTTATAGCCTTACAATTTATCTTTGCATGCAGGGTCTCATCCACAAGGTAAAACAAGAAGATTCTTCTTTGCCATTTTACTGATACAAATCCTAGCAAAAATGAAAATCCAAATTCTTTATTATCTCACCCATTTATTTGCTTGTTTGGGTAGTGCCTGTGCATAATCAACAAATTCCAGTAATGGATTACAGCCCCATATGACTTTTTTCCATGACAGGAAGATGTTGCAATTAACATTGTATGGCAAAAAAGATTTCAGCCAAGAAATATGGCACAGACAGTTTCTAACTCCTTAAAATCTAATTTCAGTTAGTGTGAAATTACAAAAAGAATAGCAGCAAGCTTACAATTTTCTGGATTTCAAGGAATACTGTATATGCAACTGAGACCTAGCTGCATAACATAGTAAGTGTTGTAAATTGGAACTTAAGTTCTTAGATTTCTATACTTCAGTAGACAGAAGAAGTTCCACAGAGTACATCAAAACAGACTTCTGATTTGCAACTGTTGTGTATTCTACTTTTGAATAAATAAAATCTAAAGTGTGCAGAAAGCATCATGGCTCATTATATATCTGATCCTGAGCACTCTAATAATACAGAAAGGACGTTGGTACTTACCTGATACGCCCATTCTCTGTGAGCTGTGAACAGCATCCAGTGATGGGAAGGTGCCTCAGTCCCTTCTAGGAAGGCTGGGCTTAAATTTGAGGATACTTCTCCTCCTCCACAAGACTCCTCCTTAGCATCCCCAGTTTTGCGAAGCTGAGGCATTGATACCCTATATGCTTAAGCCTATGTAATAACCCTGGCTGGAACAGACCCCCTACCAGACAGAATAAAAGGGTCGGGCTGGATGCTTTTCACAGCTCACAGAGAATGGGCTTATCAGGTAAGTACCAACACCCTTTCTCCCATGAGCTGTTCAGAGCATCCAGTGATGGGACACACCAAAGGGTGATGAGATATGGAGGTAAGATCATCCCAAGATATGACCGAAGCCAGGGCTGCCACCTGTCTCCGCAGAGTATTGGGTGAAAACCCTTTGTTTAGGCCCTCCTTTAAAAATTCTAATAACTGCGCTACTGATGGGGAAGTGGGGTCGATCTGAACCCTCTGACACCAACGGCAGAAGCTAGACCAGGTGGCCTCATAGATTTGGTTCGTTGAAGGACGTCGAGCTGACTGAATAGTGTAAATAACTTGAGAAGAAAGGTGTTCATCTCTCAGATGTCACTGTTCAACTTCCATACGGCTAAGTTTAGCCATTGGGGGTCCGGGTGTAGCATTGGACCTTGAGAGAGCGATATGACCGATGATGGGATCCTCCATGGTGGTACCTTCGAGAGGTCCTTCAGGTCCACAAACCATGCTCGCCTTGGCCAATAAGGAGCCACTAATAGCAGGTCCACTTTTTCTTCCAGCAACTTCTGAATCAATTTGGGGATCATGCGGAGGGGAAGAAAGGCATATAGAAGTCCGGTGGGCCAGTGACATCTGAGGGCATTCACGTCCTCCGCTCCCTGAGATGGGTAATGAGAAATGAATCGGGGAAGCTGTGTATTGAGTGGGGAGGCAAACAGGTCGACTACCAGTTGGCCCAACCTCCGAGTAGCCTCCAGAAATATCTTGGGATCCAGATGCCACTCTGATTGGTCTAACGTGGCTCTGCTGAGCCAATCCGCTTGTACATTTGCTACTCCAGATATGTGCTCCGCCTTTAGAGAGAGAAGATGGATTTCGGCCCACAGGAATAGTCTTTCTGCTTCCCTCATTAGTAGATTGGAATGAGTGCCCTCTTGTTTGTTGATATGGGCCTTTGTAGTTATGTTGTCTGTTCAGACGAGCACATGTTTACAATGAAGATGCGGGAGGAATTGTCAGAGTGCCAAGTACACCGCTCTCAGTTCTAGCCAGTTGATATTGTGTGCCTTCTCTGAATCCGTCCAAAGGCCTTGAGCTGTATGTGATTGGAAGTGGGGGCCCCATCCCACTAGACTGGCATCTGTTGTAACAATCGACCTGTGTGGATCCTTGAAAGGGCATCCCTTGTTGATTTTGGGTTGTGTCCACCATTGTAGAGACCTGAGAATTGTTGCTGGAACTTTTACGCGAGTCCTGGTGTCATCTCTCCGGGTGTATTGGTATGGCAACAGGAACCATTGCAGGGTTTTTGCATGGAAATGGGCCCAAGGGATAATAGAAATACAAGAAATCATTTTTCTGAGCAATTTAGAAAGGAGACATAGTTGTACTTTCCTAAGTTGTACTTTCTGATCTGTTGAGCCAAATCTCTAATGCTTTCTTGTCTGTCAGGAGAGAGGAAAACTTTGCGTTCCAGGGTGTCAATGATGGCGCCAAGGTGAATGAGTCTAGTAGAGAGTGTTAAATGACTTTTTGACCAATTGATTGAGAACCCATGTTGTTGTAGGGTTACAAGTGTAGTTTGAGTGTTCGAATTTACTTGATTGATGGAAGATGCCAGGATAAGATTGTCATCCAAGTAGCATTGAAGTCGGATGGACCTATCTCTGAGTGATGCTGCCAAGGGAGCCAAGACCTTTGTAAAAGTTCAGGGAGTTGAAGCTAGGCCAAATGGGAGAAAAATATATTCATAATGGACATTGTTGTAACAGAAACGAAGGAATTTGAAATGTGAGTGGCTAATTGGGATATGTAAGTAAGCTTCCATGAGGTCTATGGAGGTAAGGACATCATTTTTTCTGATGCTGAGTAAGATGGAGTGGAGAGTGGTTATTTTAAATTTTCGGTAAACTAAATATTAGTTTAGACGTTTTAAGTCGAGGATTGCCCTCCTCCCCCCGAACTTTTAGGGACCACGAAGAGGAGCGAATAAAAACCAAGACTTTTTTTTATTAGAAGGGACGGGTTGTATGGCCCGGATCTCTAGTAGATGTGCTATGGCTGTGTCCATGAGAAACCTTTTTTCTGCATCCCTGGAAATTGGGGACTTCATAAAAAAATCTGAGGGGTGGAACTGAACTCCAGTGCCAGACCAAATCGTACTGTGTTCCTGACCCATGCATCAGTGGAAGAGGAGTCCCATTGGTTGGCAAACATTTTTAAGCGACCACCAGTGGGAATCTCATTGTGGTCGTTACTTGGACCTGCGGAAGGGCCTAGATCCTGTTCCTCGAAATTGTCTCCTAGGATGGAGTCCCCTTCTATATCTGTCCCCAGGTTCAATTCTATCTGTCTGTTGTCTGAATCCAGGCTGTCTTTGAAATCTTGGATAGTAGGTTGGTAGAAGGGGTGAAAGGAACACCTACAAAAGGGCTGGACTCTGATCGACAAAAAAGAGAGGGAATAATTTTCTTTTTGGTTCTGGTTTCAATTAGGAAGGGTTCAAGCCAAATAGTTTGTTCTCCGAGATGGGAGCTGAGGCAAGCTGCCAGTTGTGCTTGATGTCTGCCTGCCAATGCCTGAGCCAAAGTAACCTTCTAGCCACAATTTGGGAAGCAATGGCCCTAGAAGAAAATTTAACTACATTGAAGGTAGCGTCTGCTGAAAACTCTGCAGCAGCGTTTAATTTAGCCACATCTTGATGTGCCCTAATGTTTGAGGTTGGAATGGTATCTCTCAGGTGGCAGAGCCATCTGAGAAATGATCTGGTGAAAAAGGAGGTGGCTGTGGCCGCTCTGATGGCCCATGCATCCGAGACGTGTGCCCTGCGGAGGGCTAGTTCTGCCCTCTTTTCCTCAGACTTGAGAGCCTCTTCAGCTTCACTTGGGATGGCTGAGGAAGATGTAAGCGCAATGATAGGCTCGTCCACTTCTGGAGAGTTTAGAAATTTAGAGAACTCGGGTGCCAAATTATAGTATTTTTTATCATGTCCTGGGGGACCGGGATATGAGGCTGCTGCAGCCCATTGTTTTTTCACTAAATTGGAAAACATGTGTGGCACAGGGATAACCTCTGCCTCAGTGACTGGTTGAGAGAATATGAGATCCTCTGCTTCCCCTGGAGTATTTGATGGGGGGGGGGTACCCGTATTATCCAGCCATGCGGTGTTCTTGGCCTTAAATAGCAGGGATTTAAATAATTGTGGGAGGAATAATCCTGTAAATACGGGGAGGTCAGGTGAGAAGCCTTCATTGTCAGACATCCCCCTTTCTAGCGGATCCACCTCTGACAATACTTGGTCAACGGTGTGTACCGAACCCTCCTCCATTTGATCCATTGGATCCCCTTGATCTCTCATATCCTGTGTGTACTGAGGTTCTCTGACAGTGGGCAACGATAGTTCTGCGGGGGGGGTACCTGATGAAGATGTGGATCCATGATGCCCAGAGATCATTCAGAAAGAGATCTGCAAACTGAAGCTGAGGGTGTTCGTCCTGCCTGAATAGCCTGTTGGACACCTGCTGATATGCCCTTCTGGATAGCTAGCTCCATCCATGCCCTCATGTTGGCAGGGATTTCCTCCAGAAGTTCCTCGTCTTATCTGAGGCCAGCTGCAGTTGGAGTGAATGTTGCCTCTGGGGCCCTCCTTGAGGAGAGAATGTTAGAAAGAGCCTCCTGGGGAGGTTGTATCGATATGCTGCTCCTTCTGGATAAATCCAGAGGGGCGGTTGGAGGGTTCTGGGCCTGTGAGGTAGAGGGTATGATGAGTGGTCAAGAGGTGGGCTGTGCAGCTGCTCGTGTATGTTTTTCCATCTGCCTTTCTAATGCCTGATGGTGTCTGCGTGCATCTTTCTCTGCTGCCTTAGAGGACTTTTTCAGCTCCGTGGGCTTATCTCTATTTTTAGCAGTTAGTCTAGAACTGGAGCTGTAGTTGCTGGCCATGGTAATGCCTTTGATTGATTAGCAATGTAAAGAGGCTATGGAATTAGGTGGCTGGAACACCTAGGGGCCTGCTCCCTTAAGTGTCATGCCCCTGATGGAGACTGACTCTGAGGAAGAGGAGGAACAGCCAACAGGGAGTGGGAGTGTGGCTCCAGAGGTGGTGGAGGAGGCTGGGGAAGGGCAGAGTCCGGCTGAGCAATCAGAGGAGGATCCAGGCCCATCCCCTATCCATCCTAGGTCACACAGGGAGGAGAGGATCAGGGAAAAGCGAAGTCTACTCAGGAGGAGATAACCATGATCCTCCTCGTGGCTTGCAGCTGGGAGCTATGTATATAAGTTTGTAACTGTGTAGTCAGAATTGCTGGAGTCAAAGTTTAATGTTTTCTTTGAAAGAGGTTTATCTTTGCTGGCGTTCTTCCCATGGACTCTCCTCGGTTGTCTTCCTGGAATGTATGATTAATTATCTTGGCTTGCTTCGGAACTCTCGTCAATGCGGTTTGTTTTGGTTTTCTTTTTGCCTCATTATTTACTTTTGTGACTTTAAACTGTGCCTAATAAAACAGTCAAGTTAAGTTGAAGGCATTACTGGACTTTAATGTATGTTTTGGGTTTTGGGTTATTTTGAGAGACTACGGGTCATCACATTAAGGGGCAGGGGATCCTGGAATAAATAGTTCTCTGATGCCTTTAGCAAATGTTGTCTCCTTGTTCTGTTTTGTTTTGTTTTGTTTTACACACACACATACACACATCTATTTTAATAACTTAAAGATTTCTAGAATTTAAGTCAATCAAGTTCTACATGGGATGTAGAAGGAAGACACAAAAGATCTTGAGAGACCCTTCACATCCAGGCCACTCGTTGTTTGAGATCCTACCATCAGGAAGACGATATAGAGTGCTGAAAGCCAGGACAAGTAGATTTAAACATAGCTTTTACCCAAGTGCTGTGATCAGGTTAAATGCAGAGTTATGAATCTGGTGGTCTTAACATATATATATCCTGGTTGTATAGTTTTTAACTGTTAATTGTTTCAATTTGTTTTACATTGTTATTTGTATATGTCTTTTGGTGTTGTTCAGTTGTATGTTGTGAAAGAGCACCTTATTTCGTTGTTCTCAGGTTCTGAGTACAATGACAATAAGTTTATCTTATCTTATCTTATCTTATCTTATCTTATCTTATCTTATCTTATCTTATCTTATCATCTTATCTTAAAGTTAATTTTTGAATAAAGTACTTGTAATATCAAATATGGAGACCAGAACACCCCCCTCCAGATCCGGCACCTATATGAGGGCACAGATGTCTGTAACTGATAATTAGATCAGTTTAGCTGCACTTATTGCCTGTGGAATCTAGCAGTTCAAGTCCTCTGTCATCCAGTGGACTGGTGGTAGGGACCCCCCTTCCCAGGTCCCCAAGAAGGGAAACCTTGTTGGGTAACTTGCCTCACAGATAGTAACAATTACTCAGCAAATTTAACCACACAGCCTTTAAAATGGCGGCTGCCTCGTGGCAGAATGAAAATGAAAGGAGCTATCACCACCCGGCCTACTGAAAGCAAAACCGCTCAGCAGGAAGGTGCAGGGGCTAATTCCCTGCCCTGAGGTGTTCTGCAGGGAAAGCCTCGTAATAAAAGGAAAAAAGGCTGTACTGTTTAAATTGGGGCTTCGAGCCTCGATAAAAGGAAAAAAGGCTGCACTTTAAAATTGAAGCTTCAAACCTTGAAGGGACAGAGCGTTTACTCAGCCAGCTGAGAGATCGGAGAGATAAGCCTCCTTGTTTAGAAGTTTAAGACAGCATCTCTGAAATGAGAGGCTTTTAGCCTCAGGGCAAATTGGAAAGATAAGCCTCCACATTTATTAGGCTTTAGCCTCGGGAGGCAGGAATGTAAAAAAAAAAAAAAAAAACCTGAGCAAAATGACTTTTGGAGGTTCCCAGGGGTGGTGAGGGTAGTTGGTGACAGACATTATGGTTTTATCTGACCTGAGAAATAAATCAGCTAAATCAGCTAAATCAATAACGCAACCTGTCTGAAGAAAGGCTGAGCTAAAACTGGGGACGTTAAGGAGGAGTCTCGTGGAGGAGGCGGAGTGTCCTCAAGTTTAAGCCCAGCCTTCCTAGAAGGGACTGAAGCACCTTCCCATCGCTGGATGCTCTGAACAGCTCATGGGAGATTTGCCCATATACTACATAAGCCTTCCTCTATACATCTGTGATGCCTTGGCTATATCTTTCAAATTGTATGGGTAAGAAAATATACATTTTCCACAATAAACTGCTAAAATAAATAATATAGATTACTTCATTGTTAACCATTAAAATTTTGTGGCCTATATTCTGCTACAATGAACATGCTAAATTATTAAATTTTAATTTCAGTTAGTGGGAAATTACAAAAGACATCAAAGAAATCAATCTGTGGTATTGACAAATATACAAGTAATTACATTTACTTTGAAAAAGTAGAAATTTTATTACTATAAAAATATTAGGAGTTCAATTTAGGCTTAGGAAAAATGTAACTTATTTTCTTTTACTGTAATTTTATTGTCTTCTATCATTTTTAAATGACTGTAAGTTTATTCTTTTTTGCCAGAGTATGAGGCAGAGAATCTTAATTTCAATGCAAAGACAGATGTTTATATCTAAAAAAAGTTCTCACACTTGTTTGAAATAAATTGATATATTATTAAAGCTTGAAAACAAATATATATATTATGGAAAACTGTAATTATAACAAAATCCCAGAAATAAACAAAATTAGAAAATTATGTAATGTAATTTTCTATAATCAGATTTTTTGGAAAAGAGAAGCCCAGTACAGAATTCAAACAGCGCAAAATAATAAATTTCTCTTTGTATAATTCTTGCATAATCTGGCATTTTTGTATAATCGATGTATATGGAAGAGCTTCAGGATAATTAGATCCTGCTGAAGTCACTGTTGGATGTGCTGTTGCATTTGAACAACATATAAGATCTATCAACTAAATAAATTGAAATAATAGTAATGCAACAGTATACAAAATAGAACAGGAATTCATAAGGTTCATTATTTAATAATAAATTTCTGTCTCCTATCAAATTTACTCATTCATGCACTTACCCATATAGATGTCTACACATGTCTACTTTGCTTTAAAACTTAAAAATACCAGTAAGAAAAATATAAAAATAGGGTAACAAAGCATTGTTTTATTCTTTTAAAATTTACTTTCTTTTTACAAAATCTAGATAATTTTTAAGAACTCTTTTATAGTGAATAATTGTTAAAGATACTTGCCACATTCTAGAGATTCATCTGATCCATCCCCACAGTCATCATCATGGTCGCATACAAACAGTTTAGAAATGCAGACTTTATTGTGGCATGTGAAAGTATTTTCATCACAAGTATTACTGGGCGCTAAGAAAAATAATAAACGAGGAAGAATGAAGTTCTCTTAGCAAAAGGATAAATAAAGATACTTTCCATACTGGACAATATAAAATCTTATAAAGAAATAACTCAGACATTGTAATCCTTTAACTCCTCCCACCAGGCTTCCTTCAGAGGAACAGAAGAAAAACTAGTTTGAAGTTAACATAACAAATATTTTAAGTACACTCGTTAAAAGTTATCTGTATAGAATATTTCATATACTTCCTAATGTCCTATGTGGATTTTCATTGTATGACACAGGATTTTTGAAGTCTGATAATATGGTAGATGAGGAGGAAAAGAAAAAGCAAATTAGGTCATCTTGGTATACATTCTGCAATGGGACAGTTTGAACAAATTATTTAAGAAAGAGTTGGACTATTAACTCCAGTTGCAATGGAACAGGGAAAAAAAGAGAACAGTCAACAAAAATATTGTAGAGATTTGAGTCATCTTTATTATTATATGAGCAGTGGTGTATTAACCATTAAGCAGACTAAGCATGCGCTTAAGGCACCAGGACAAAAGGGGGCACCACAAAGTTGAGAATATGGCTTCATTTGTACAGTATGTACAAAGGAGGGGGGCACTAAGATTTGTCAGTGCTTAGGGCACCAGTGAGCCTTAATCTGCCACTGATATGTAGCAAAGTGGTCAAATGTTTTTTTTCCTTATTTCACACTTTAAAAAAGGTCTCACCAGCCAATTATCACAACCAGTAACATTTCTTTTACACTTAAAAGGCATAAGCCACACATCTGCCAGATAATAAAATTAAAAGGATTTATAACATTTTTGTCATGCTTATATAAATTTTCCTTTTAATGGATCATCTTAAATTTGGAATCATCTTTCATTGAATACAGGATTGGAAGCAATATTTTATTTCAGACATATGCCTTTAACTTCTATTGATCACTACTGTAGACTCTATTCATTGGGTGCACAGGTGGATTCATAGCAGATATGCTTCTTATTGAGAATCAGATCAATTTCTTTAAGTCTATTCAAACACAGTATTTTTGCCTTGCTAAACAAAAACAGTAAATATTAACATATCTCATTAGTCAAAATTGAATTGGAAAATATGTTTTGTATATCTTGCAAAATGGATTTTACCACATCCTGCTGTAGCAAGTTCATCACTTCCATTAGGACAATCTCTTTCACCATCACAAAGCCAGTGTTGAGGAACACAGGCATATGAATCCAAACAGCTGAACATGTCTGGAGCACAAGTTACTGAGCCTATGAAACACATACAAAAGAATAGAAAACAAACAAGATCCTGATGTTATGCTTCCACACAGAACATATTTTCAAATATTCTTTTAAAATAATCCAACTGATGAACATGGCATACTATCAGAAACAAATCACTTTCACCTGGGCACAACACCTAAGATGAAGCTTAGCTGTTTAGTCTAGAGGTTAAGACATCAGTCTAGAGAGCAGGAGACCATGAGTTCAAGTCCTGCCTTAGTCATGAAAGCCACCTGAGTGACTTTGGAACAGTTATTCTCTTTCAGCTCAAATCACCTCACAAGGTGGTTGTTGTGGAGAAAACAGGAGGAGGAAGGTGTGTTGGATTTGTTCACCACTTTGAGTTATTTATAAAAATAAGAAAGGTGGGATTTAAATAAATAAATAAAACAAATCTTCATATACTGTTGGTTTATTATTTTCATCATCAAGATTGGCATTAAAAAAGACTAGACTGTATAATATTCTCATATTCTTTCAAACAGTGCATCACTAATATCTGAAGACACTTTGAATTGCACTAAGGTTTAGAACAGGCTATGCCAGATTTATTTACTAATTTAACTGTTCAATTTGTATAGCTGCCCATTTCACATACGTGACTTTGGACAGCTCACACAATTAAAAAACCATACAAATATAAATAAACTATCTCAATACCCATGCTTCACTACTAAACTATGTGGTCGGGTTTAGTTTGTGGGGAGGAAAAGAGGGGGGGGGGAATTCTGCCTCTGCCTACCAGCATCCATTGGTATTCATCTGGCTAGTGTCCTGCCAGTGTGTGAGAGAGTTGAGGGCTCTTTGGGAATTGAAAAAGTATTTGCTGTGTGAGCAAGAAGGAGACAGCAAGGAGCCTGGGCATGGCTTAGCTCAACTGTTCTGTACTAAAGCTGCTTGGTGCTGTGAAACTAAAACTGAAACTGAAACTCCTCTCCTCTGCTTGTGTTTTGCATTTGGAACAGATTTCTTTACAGGTGGGGAGGGGGATTAGAACTCCTTAGCATCAGAGCATGTTAATAATAACATACAAAATACCAATGCTTTGATGGTCATTTCGAAAAATCTTTTCTTAGTGAGCACCTAGAAGCCAAGAGGAACATACGTGCCAAATTTCAAGTTTGTAGGCTTTACGGTTATGGAGATTTTGTGATGATGTGTGAGTGGTATTTCAGTTTTATATATATAGATAATCAATAATAACAAAAATATTTAAAACATTAAAACCATAAACTTCCATCTTCTGAAAGGTGTCACTATTTCACAGGCTCCATGCCATTGCCAAATCCAACAATTTTCCACTAATACACTAATACATCTCTAGACAGCTTTGGACATTTTAAAATTAGCATCATTATAAAACTCACCACAAATAGCTTTACTTTCATCCAAACCATTTCCACAATCATCTTCCCCATCACAAGTCCATTGTTTGGAGATGCATTTTTGTTCAGAACAAGCAAACTGATTCCATGAACAGGAGGAATCTAAAAGGAGATGTAAATTATAAAGCATCCAATGGCAACATTGTGAAAATATATTTTATGCTCTTTATAACTGGAGGGCTAAATATGAACTGAAAATATTTTCTGAACAAATTTATCTCAGCTATTGTTCAGATACAGGGAGTTTGGCTCATTTTTTAAAAAGTTTATGAACGTTTAAGTAGTTTTATAATTGTGCTATAACGAAACCACATCTGTAAACAGAAAACTGAAAGTATGCATGTAATATGTGGGATTATTTTAACATTAAGTTTTATCAGGTCCAGTTTCAATTTAAAAAAGTTGTTCTGAAGACAGAGCGGTTGTATCAATCAGAATGATGAAAGACACATCCTTTGGGGTGGACACCATCATAAGACATATAATAAAAAGGCAGAGATTCCACTCTGATGCCACAGTGATTCTTGTTCCTTCACTCCCAACTCATGATCACCGTTGAACTGTTCTCCTTACCTATGCCAGAAGAATTCAGATATACTCTTAGTTCCAACATTATCTTTGCTTTATTAACCCATACAAATTTGTCAGAATGTCATGATGTTAATTTAAATTTTGATTTTAAAAATTAATTGTCCCGTAATGTGCTCTGAAAACTCATTATCAACAGCTCTTTTGCAAGAAATGTTCATGGATTAATGATAAAATACTCACCACAGAGTAATTCATCACTTCCATCTTCACAATCTTTCTGACCGTCGCATACCCAGGAAATCAGAATACATTTACCACTAGGACAGCCAAAATAATTTTCTTCACATGTATGCTTATTTCGAACTTCAGTAAAATAAAAGAAGCAATGTATTTCTAGTTATCATGGAATCTTAATATAAATTGTACAAAAACAAAAATGGCAGTAATCAATAGGGTTCGTTATTATGAAGAAAAATATTTTCCCCAATTACCTGGGCATTTTAATTCATCTGAATAATCTCCACAATCATTAGATCCATCACACAGCCATTCTGGTAGTATACAAAGTGAAGTAAAGTTACAGCTAATAAATCCTGAAGATTTCACTCCAAGTTTATAGAAATTATTGCAATCTGTGTTATCTGAGAACATAAAATGTAATTATCATATATTATAATATATTTTTAAAAGTTCCATCTCATCACTGGAATTTATCATATGTTGTTCAATTTATTTCCCATAAACATTCTATTGCCTGCCATTGATCAAACACAGGATGTATTCTTATCATGTTCAATGTACTCAAGTTTAATTGAGCTTATTGTTTGTATAAAGTCTGCTGCATTATACACTGCTCAAAAAAATAAAGGGAACACAAAAATAAGACATCCTAGATCTGAATGAATGAAATATTCTTAGTAAATACTTTGTTCATTACATAGTTGAATGCGGTGACAACAAAATCACACAAAAATTATCAATGGAAATCAAATTTAGCAACCCATGGAGGTCTGGATTTGGAGTTACACTCAAAATTAAAGTGGAAAAAAAAACTACAGGCTGATCCAACTTTGATGTAATGTCTTTAAAACAAGTCAAAATGAGGCTCAGTAGTGTGTGTGGCCTCCATGTGCCTGTATGACCTCCCTACAACGCCTGGGCATGCTCCTGATGAGGTGGCAGATGGTCTCCTGAGGGATCTCCTCCCACACCTGGACTAAAGCATCCCCCAACTCCTGGACAGTCTGTGGTGCAATGTGGCGTTGGTGGATGGAGTGAGACATGATGTCCCAGATGTGCTCAATTGGATTCAGGTCTGGGGAACGGGCGGGCCAGTCCATAGCATCAATGCCTTCGTCTTGCAGGAACTGCTGACACACTCCAGCCACATGAGGTCTAGCATTGTCTTGCATAAGAGGAACCCAGGGCCAACCTCACCAGTATATGGTCTCACAAGGGGTCTGAGGATCTCATCTCGGTACCTAATGACAGTCAGGCTACCTCTGGCGGGCACATGGAGGGCTGTGCGGCCCCCTAAAGAAATGCCACTCCACACCATTACTGACCCACTGCCAAACCGGTCATGCTGGAGGATGTCGGAGGCAGCAGAACGTTCTCCACGGCGTCTCCAGACCCTGTCACGTCTGTCACATGTGCTCAGTGTGAACCTGCTTTCATCTATGAAGAGCACAGGGTGCCAGTGGTGAATTTGCCAATCTTGGTGTTCTCTGGCAAATGCCAAATGTCCTGCACAGTGTTGGGCTGTAAGCACAACCCCCACCTGTGGACGTCGGGCCCTCATACCACCCTCATGGAGTCTGTTTCTGACCGTTTGAGCAGCCACATGCACATTTGTGGGCTGCTGGAGGTCATTTTGCAGGACTCTGGCAGTGCTCCTCCTGTCCCTCCTAGCACAAAGGTGGAGGTAGCGGTCTTGAAGCTGGGTTGTTGCCCTCCTATGGCCTCCTCCACGTCTCCCTGATGTACTGGCCTCTCCTGGTAGTGCCTCCATGCTCTGGACACTACACTGACAGACACAGCAAACCTTCTTGCCACAGCTCGCATTGATGTGCCATCCTGGATGAGCTGCACTACCTGAGCCACTTGCGTGGGTTGCAGACTCCGTCTCATGCTACCACTAGAGTGAAAGTACCGCCAGCATTCAAAAGTGACTAAACCATCGGCCAGAAAGCATAGGAACTGAGAAGTGGTCTGGGGTCACCACCTGCAGAACCATTCCTTTATTGGGGATGTCTTGCTAACTGCCTATGCTTTCCCCCTCCTGTCTATTCCATTTGCACAACAGCATGTGAAATTGATTGTCAATCAGTGTTGCTACCTAAGTGGACAGTTTGATTTCACAGAAGTGTGATTGACTTGGAGTTACATTGTGTTGTTTAAGTGTTCCCTTTATTTTTTTGAGCAGTGTATAAAATACAAATTAATTATACATGAAGTACACATTGGTCTGAAGTGAGAAAAAACAATAAAGTATTATACACATGGAATAAATAAATAAATTAAAAAACAGAGTCCCTTACTGCAGTTTTTCTCATCCAAAGCATCTAAACAATCCACAATCTGATTGCATTGAGCTGATTTTGGAATGCAAGATCCATCTAAACAGCGGAATTCCATTGAAGAACATCCAGAAACTATAATAAAAAGAGGGTATTTTTAGGGGTGGGAGAAAAGTTAAAGAAAAAAAAAACACATGTTGCACTAATGAGGAGATAAATATATTTCTATATATGTTTCTATATATACATATGGTTTTAGACATCAAATTACTGCTGATCCCAATATTTTGTATTTAGATAACCTTCTCAGATTATTAACTGGCCCTAAAGTAATAGTTACTGATTCCATGTTATTTCATCCCATAAATGTGACATTATGTTTTTTTGAAAAAAAAAATTACCATATTTTTAATGTACAGTTACTACATTGAGCAAATAGTGAATTACAGTCCTTTCACCAAACACCCATTCCAATTAACATATTAATTATAGTTATTTTTAAATTTGTATCAATATTTAAAGTATTATTTTTTTAAAAGTACCTTCACAACCTGTTTCATCAGAATTGTCACCGCAATCATTTTTGCCATCACAAATTTGATTACTAGATATACAGCGCCGATTTGAGCAAGGCTTAAATCCTTTCTGACAGCTTCTATTTTCTTATAAATTAAAACAGAGAAATAGCTTTTGTCATTTACACAGCATTATTACAGTTGAAATGTTTAGGCATGCAGACATGAATCAGTAGCTAAAAGCATTACGTAAAAAAGAAGATATGGCAAGAGAATCAAATGGAAGAAATGGACATGTAGTGGACTGACTTACCACAATACAATAATTTCTCATCAGACTTGTCCTTACAATGAGCTATGCCATCACAGGAAAGTTGGTAATCAATGCACTCACCATTTCCACATTCAAATTCAAAGTAGAAATTGCATGACGTGTTTTTAGCTGAAAAGAAGAAAATGTATTCACTTCAAAATTAATGGCATGAAAGCCAATTGCAGTCTCAAAAATAGGAGATATGGCTGAACAGGAAGAGGTATTCTTGAGGCAGGAAAACTAGATGGTATCACTTTTCATTTTTCACAAAGAAAATGTTAAATTTTGTATGAACTTTCCCTCTATCAACATGGGACCCAAAAATGAAGAAGGAGAACTTGTGCTGATATGACAACTTAAATACATTGTAGTTATGTATTTGAATCATTTCACATTCTATTTATTTAAGACAGTCATTTGGGAACATGTGGAGATGTATGTATATAAAATTGTGTGGAAAAGGTACAACATGTAGAATATGGGAAGGGTTTTGTTTTAAAAAATTAAATGGTTTCATGATTATTTTGAGACGAAAAAATGCATTACTTTTGCATCCAAAAATGAATATGCAAAAATACTGTATTTGTTTATTTGTCCTGAAATGTTTACGTTCATGCATTTTAGTTTATTATCTACATATGTTTTTAGTTCCTTAGCTGAGCTAAATGATAGGTAATTTTGCTATAGGTCATGCCCCAGATTAAACACCTATTGTATTGATCTCTGCCCATACTGGTTTTACTCTATCCATATTGATACTGAAAATCACAATACTGAAATCACTTTTTTTTCAATAAGTGATCCATGAACAGACTCCCACCAAAGTTTCATCTAAACAATCTGACCATTTGTATGAACTGTGGGCTTTTCATACACATACCATTTATATTTTTACTGGAATCCCCTAACAAAGGATTTGTTCAAGAAACTCCAGTAGAATCAAAAGCTTTTCAGAACCCAGAAAAGAACCCAAGCTGGTTATAGAAGAAGCAGAATCTAATGGTGTTATATTCTGTATTGAAAAAATGCAGGGAATTGTTCCCAAAGAATTGCGGAAATGTTCAAATGCATACCTGTTTTCAAGTCATTACCTAACTAGCTAATTAATTTTCCAAATATCTTTGCGGCAAAATGTCCCAATTCTTAAATGTTGTCAACATAAGATAGATCAGCTAACTATAGTATCTTGTGCATGACAGAACGCACACTATTTCAACAGTATTCAGACAGATTTAATTCAGTCTAGTAGTTTGCTTCCTCTGTGAAATGGCTTTCATTTCTGAGAAACAATCCACTGATTCCTTTGTTAACAACCAATTGAATTGTTTTTATTTCAATTTAGATTGATTTTATTCCAAAACCTATTATTATATTTGAGCATTGACAATGTATCTTTGCTTAGGCACCAAGAAATCTTATGGATGTCAGCTTAACTTGAAGGTCAATCTAAGATGTGCTTGACTTCCAAGGCTTCATAATGCTTTCTAGCATAACCTCCCAATCTTTTCTGTTGCCAGGGTCACATTTACAGGATCAAAATCCTATTCTCCCTGTCTCTTAAATTCTTTACTTGCCTTATTTTTGTATCCAACCTTGAAACACCAGGAAGTATCTGATACTTGTACATTTTTTGTTCAAAACTTGCTTTCTTTCTTAAAGTGATTTGTGCCCAATGAATTTCTGGTACTAGTTCTCAGTTGAACGGTGTTGTTGAGCAAAGAACTGAGAGGATTGTGGGTCCAATTATGAATCAGTTCAAACTACTCTATATTTAAATTATATTTTCTCCAATCTTGGCTACATCTCATTCTATTTTTTTAAACTTGCTATTACACTGTATCTGAGTGCAAAAGAATATATCATTCAACTTGCAATTTTTATAGCAAAATATTTAAGGAGCCTTAAGAAGTTTTAGCTTCTTTTTGTCTCATTTTTAAATTCATAACTATAAGCCATGAACCCACAGAAAATTTCTGACACATGTTTTTCTACAATTAACTGTAATCTATCAAAAGGTGAACACCTTTGTGTTTCCGTTGCTCTGGAACAAGAAAAGGGCCTTGATGCTCCATTATTAGTTTCCTTTCCTTCTCCAAATTATTAACACCTTGTTAATGCCACTAGAACCTGAATTTCCCAGTATAGGTATTTCCACAACTTCTTCTCACATGTTTATTTTGCAAGTGTTATATTTCTGCCTCAATTATCTTCATGTAGTATGCTGCACAAGTGTACATTCCATTTGTGGGTGAAACGCTTTGGTATGATTCTATTAGAAGTGTTTCTATTAGCAAAAGCTGTTATATTTTATACAATGGGAAACTGTCTCACTCTTCACAGGCTCGCAGTCTATTTCAGATACTCTCTAAAGATTCAGAGCAGATTCAAAGAACATGCAGGGATTGTAGACCAAAACTGCCATTCAATTAATGCCTTTGATTTATGCAAAGTTGGATTTTACTTAATAATTCTGGATTTCAATTATTGTTCAAGCTATTTCTCCCCATTTTTGAAGTATCTGTTTTCCATCTCACTGCAGTTCAGAACATAAGTCTCTGTAAACCACACCTGTATAAAGATGCATTCTTTCTGTGGAAATGAGAATGCAGGGAAATCATGCTCCCTATACAAAACACATCATGGGTTCTAATGTCATATCAATACACATACATATGGAATTGGAATAATTCATGAATTATTTCATGAATTGTCAGTTAGTGTTCAAGAGCCAAACTGAAACTGGTACTGGAATCAGAACTGGAAACTAAATGGATGGCAACCTGGTGAATCAACAGAGCAACATTTGTTTTCTAATTCCTTTGTTCACATGGACAATCTTATGCATGATTTGAAAAGTTATATAATACAGGAATGTATATTTGTTTCCTAACAACCAGCATGTAATAAATTTATGTCAATTAAGCATTTGAGTACTCTTGGGAAGTATTAATGCCTGGTTATGTTGCCAAGTTAATTACAGTTTTGAACTTACAGCAAATCAACTCTACACAGGATTATGTGCAGTGTGTTATGGGTCTAAGTGTGACAGTTTTAAGGCTATATTTAAATAAAATGTTATTGTTAAATACTGATATTTTAATTAGATTCACTTGGAACTTGGAAATCAGGTATCTGTCCATACAAGATCAATTGAGCCCTAAGGGTATAATTTTCACAGCTGTTTTAAGTACACTGCACTACAACAATGTCTACAGTCTTAATTAACGTGTTTCTTATCAGTATAAATCATCTGAATGTCCCATTCACTTTTAATTAATGTTGCCAGAGAGGGGCAGCTTTGTCATAAAAAAATGGCAAATTATAGTATAGTGACTGTAAATTAATTTATTGATGAAAATTTGCTTTAGATCAATTCAATACTCAATTAGCAAAGTTTATAGCATTTAATTCCCAATGCATTGATATGCTCCTTAAAATATCTTATTGCCGTAAAATACATAAAGGAGCTATGCACAACTGCATACAATAATTTACCAGAAGATGGGATCAAGAAATTGAAGGAACATAATTGGGAGGGAGACTAGAAGAGAAATGTTTTCTTCTTCCTCAAGGAAAAAAAGTTGTTTTTATGGATTTTTTTTTTGTATATGCGTGTTTGTGATTTTGTACACTTCCCTGAATCCATTGGAGTTGGGTGAATAATAAATTCAAATAAAAACAAAAACAATATGAGAACAGTCACCCTATTGGGGAGGAACGCAGCATATACATTTAATAAATGAATGAATGAATAAATAAATGAATGAAAATGGAATGCTGGATATGATAAGCCTTTAGTCCTCTACCAGTACCAGGCTTCTCATGTTTTTCACAATCTTCACTATTTATATTACTTCTTCCTTAACTGAATAAAAATTCAGTTTCATTCACAACCCAATACTTATGACAACAATCATTCTGGATGTCCATACTTTTTATTGGGTTAGTACAGGAGTGTCAAATTCAATTTCATTGAGGACCACATCAGAATTGGGTTTGACCTTGGAGAGCTGGGATGTGTGTGGCCATGGTGGGCGTGGCCATGGTGGGTGTGACATGGGACTGCATCTCCGCAGACATAGTTTATAAACTTATAAAAATAAGGAGACATACATTTCTGTGATTTTGTTTTTTTAATACTTACCTGATCTACTTGATCACCTTATTATGAGAGACACCAGATCAAGAAACTGATTTCATAGGAAGACTAGAACTATAAAATTGTTGACATAGGCTACAGTAGCAGAATCCTGCAAGCCTAAAAGCTAAAACATTTTATAACCTTCTGAGCCAAGGACGGCCTCCTGGACCACTCTGGAGGCCCCATTTTGGGCCTGTAAGGCCTCCTGGGAGACTCCGGAGGCCCTGTTTTGGGCCTGGAAGACCTAGTGGGTGACTCTGGAGGCCCTGTTTTGGGCCTGGATGGCCTCTTGGGCAACTCCAGAGGCTCCATTTTGGGCCTGGACAACTCCAGAAGCCAAAAATGGTTGCACCCCATCCGCGTCCCATTTTTGTTAGCAGAGGATCGTGGGCCGATCGTTTGCTATTTGCAGACCGGCCCCACGGGCCAGATCTAAGCACCCTGCTGGCCGGATCTGGCCCACAGGCCTTGGATTTCATACCCCTGGGTTAGTAGATAAACAGGTAGTATCATGCAAACTGGAATACAATCATTATTTTTTTTTTGCTGAAAATGTGTAAGTTGTGTATCAAAATTCATATGTTAAAAGAAATATATGCAAAAATGAGTACAAATTTATATAGATCTTTCCTTCCCCAAGTAAGCTTATAAGAAATGAAATATAACAAAACTTTTGTCTTTCAGTTCTGTTTATGAATACATTTGAATTTTGAAAACTTAAGAACACTTTAAAAAATCTGTTGCTGACAGAGGAGAAGATGAAAGCTAAAATATACAATTTCCTTCTGAATTTTAAAATGGAAGAAGAAACTGTTAAAGAAACTATGATAGCCTGGGCAAAGAATTTTGGGTATCATATCGAATTAGAATATTGGGAAAAAATGTGGGGGGGGGATTATAAATTAACATTGTCAGCAGCATACAAATAAAATATATATAAAACGTTTACCATTGGCATCTACCCCCTGCTAGACTGGCAAAGATGTTCCCAACCAGAAGCCCAGAATGCTGGAAATGTAAAAATAGTCAAGGTACCTTTTTTCACATGTGATGGATATGCCCGGAAGGCAGGAGATATTGGACTAGAATTTAAAAATGGCTAGAGGAAATAACGAGCCAACAAATTGAGTTTAGACCTGAACTTTTCTTGCTAGGGATAATAAGAGGAGATTAAAGCAAAAGAAATAAATATATTGTTTTGCATATAACTACTGTGGCCAGAATTGTATATGCACACGACAGTATACCCTCCAAAGGGATAGCGATAAAAAAGATTTTAGACTGCACCAAGATGAACAAGCTTACACTAGAATTAAAAGATAGAGGTGAATCGGAATACTATTTGGACTGGGACGCATGGTAGAGTTGGTTAGAAATAAAAGTAAAGATTAGTAATGTAATTATTATGTATATATGAGTATCTGCGATGCTGAGGCATTGTAAAGAGTGTATATATGTTATAAACTGTTGAAAAATGTTCAATAAAAATATATTTTAAAAAAATCTATTGCTACATAGGTGAATCTATCAGAGTTGTTTTCCCAATATATTTTTTAAAACTTCCTTTAATTCTTTCCATTCTGTTTATGAAGAAACTTGTGACATTTTGGTTAGCTTGAATTTTTTTAGTCATGGTTAATGCTAAAAGAAAGAGGGAGGAAGGATGAATTACAATTGTACTTACACACACATCTCTTATCATCTGTAAGTATGCGGTCACCCCTACATGAACAATTAACATGCCCATCAGGTGTCAGGAGACACAAGTCATGACAGCCTCCATTCATTTGGGCACAAGGGGATAATTCACCTGGTGGGGAAAATAGATTGTATAACTAAAACAAATAATACATTTGCATTGGAACAGTTTGTTTCAATATTTATGCTCTTTTAACATAGCAAGGCCAATACATTACATAGTATGACTACATTTTGGACAAATTACAGTTTCCAGAAAATTCTTCATGGATTATATTTAGTATGTACAACACATTGCACTAATCCACTCAGAAGTAAGTCTTCATCAGCTCCTGATCCAGGGATGGTGCAATTGTTACACAAAATGAAGTTTTGCAAAAGCTCTCTTGGTCACAGCTACAATCTACAGGTAGTCCTCAGCTTACAACCAGTCACTTAGCAACCATTCAAAGTTACAATGAAACCTGTAAAAGGGCACTTATGATGGAGATCTGAAATTCTGATAATTTCCTCCTCTCTGTAGTCACATGATTGCAATTTGGATGCTCGGCAACATTGCTGCATTTCACTTAAGACTGTGGTGTTTATTTCACAAAAACTGTTGTTTGCTTAACCACCATAAAAAGGTCACAAAATCAGGTCAATCATATGACTGACCCATTTTATGACTTATGACTTATGACTGCAATGGGCGGGCTCCATTATGGTTATATTAAGGACTTAAGGACTACCTCTACTCTTTAAATAGGAGCCATGAATCCAGAAGAATACCCAGATTGTACACTGGTATTGTTTGTTACCATATTCAGAACCAATGATGGACTCCTAAACTGCATAGCCACTTAGTCTTGTCAAGTTTAAACTGAAGCTTATTCTTCCTTATCCATGGAGACTAGTCCCACTGAGACAAAACTTCCACAGTAGCCCTTGGTCAGCTTTGTGAGGAGATATAGAGCTGCTTATTCTCATCATATTCATGATACTTCACCCCACACTGATAGATGGCCTCACCTAGTAGCTTCATTAGGATTTTAAATAAGAGATCATTGAACCCAAGCCTCCCCTCCCCCCACAAAATAGGACTGTATGCTAGATCTCTGTTTTTCTATAATTACAAACTAAAAATTGTGGAAAGCAGAAGAACCAGTGCAAAATTGGGACCTCTTCCCAATCTTTGGAGTGGTCCAGAAGGATAGGGTGACTGAAGTATTAAAAACCACAAAGAATAAAGGAAACCCAAGATGGACACAACATCCCCATCCCACTTCCATCAGAGGCAATCCATATAGACGATCAATGCCATTTTGGTTCTGTGCCCAATCTGAAACCTGACTGAAAAGGGTGCAGATAATCAATTTACTCCAGGATTCTTTGAAGCTGCAGTTCAACCACCTTCTCAACAACCTACCCTATGAAAGAAAGAATGCAGTTGTTTTTCAAATGACTACTTCATAAAGACAGGGTAAATCACAGCCTCTTTAAACAGTAGTGGGAGCCCCCCCCCACCACCACCACTTTCAAAGATTCAGCAGTGCAAAGATCATCCATGTCATCTCTTGGAAAATGTTTACTAACCAGAAGGTACATGAGCCCAACACAAAAATGGATGAGTTAACTATGCCAATAACCCTATTCACGTCATTAAAATCAACAAGATCAAGCTCAACTCAGATAACCAAATCAGACTGAACCAGTCACTTCCATGGAATCAGCCTCAAAGCCAGAGTCAAGCCGGAAGCAGACCCAAGTGACTTTATTTGACAAATGTCTCACATATCTCTCATAGAAGCCCTGAAGGAAAATCTCCAATTCAACATTTCTCACTTTAACTGGATCACTAGGCAGCTATGTGTGGATACAATAAGGAAGAGAAATACTGATGTTTTACTGCCAGTACAGCTGGAAGGTAGGTCCTAACAACAACTCTAATTTGTGTTTGGTCAGGTTTACTCATTATTGACATCCAAAAATGCTTCAAACATTGTTCCAGAGTTTCCTGCATTTATTTCCCTTAGTTCCTTGTTAAAGCAAGGAGCTAAGAACCTGGGATCCATTAGAAGATGCCACATTGTGATGATTTGCTCCAAAGCCCTAACCCTAGCAGCCTCTTCATTCCAAACAATGGCTCAGAATGTGAAGAACAATCAAAAACTCACTCTAAAAACCAATGGGATCCATTAGTCATTTGGGACAGACCAGGTGAATAGGTTTAACTTCTCTCTAATTGGAGCACCACCAAGGGATCCTAGAGCAAAGAGAATGTATTCTAACTATGACACAGGCAAATGTTAACCATTATATGTCAGTTCCACTGCTATCATGGTGGGGATAAACTCCTGAACTATCTCAGATTTCATACCCCCAAACAAGGCAACTTGAAATTTTCCAATATCATAAACTTAGAGAACTTGACTGCCAGCCAAGCCAAAGAATCAGGGCGCTTAAGCAGGGAGATAACAATGAAGCAGGAGGTTAGTATGGAGCAACAATAATCTATCAGAAGAATAACTCTTTGAAAATAAAACACAAGAGAAAGAGTTTGTTAAGATGAGGATAGATAGATGATAGATAGATGATAGATAGATAGATAGATAGATAGATAGATAGATAGATAGATAGATAGATGACAGACAGACATGTATGCATACCTATTTTTGTATGCACATTTTTATGTATGTTGATCCCTCAAAATAATGTGTTGATCAACATAAAATACCAATGTGTTTCTGGATTAGGATATACAAAATGAAAAAAAAGTCCACAAATGATGTCTGAAGCAAAACTAGATTGCATGCTAAACAACAACTTACTATTCTGGTAGGAAAGAAATAGCTGACAGGCAACTGAAGACTGTTCAGAGACTGAAGAGATAAAATATTATCTGTACCAAAGAGTAAATATCAGGAAATACTCTTCCTTTTTTCTTCATCAGTGTAACCATGGTAATCTAAAGCTCCCTATGAAATTTGCTAACTTCCTTCCACTACGGTAAAAATAAGGAGGCTTCCAATGTAAGAGTATAGATTTTAATTATTTTAGCAGAATTATCATCAATAAATAAATAAATATGAAATAGATATAAATTATATTGCAAATAAAAAGACATGGTTAAGTTCCAAATTTGAAACAGGGATGAAATAGTTTGATGAATTTATGTGATTTGCATGGTAACAGGCTTTTTATTTAACATCAAAATTTGCTAATTTGAAGGAGGATTTGAATATGAGATGAAATGTCAGTTCATTAAGTGAAATGATTGATTAATTTGGACCATAGTTGGAAATAATGAAAGCATACCTAGTGAAAAATGTTAAAAACATCTTAGATGATCTGATAAGTGCTAATTATAGAATCAGTAAGTAAATCAGGTAGGTTGAACCAGGTGGCAATTTTTAATTAAATATTTGCCCTTGTTACTATGGCATTATAATATGTTGAATATAAGGATACAAATTATTTTGTTAGCCTGCTACCTTGAGCGAGAGATAGGTAGATGGGCTTTTCTGTTGGAGTGTAGCCCCACCAGCCAATGGGTATTGCAAATAGTTTTCATCAAAATTCCCACAGATTTCACATTTCAAGCAAGGGACAAATTTGAATACTTTTTCAAGAGAACTTGCTTTCTCATCCGGAAAAATAACTATTTGAAAACTGTTTCAAATTAAGATTGTTACTTCTGCGATAATTATGTTTTCTCTATAATAAAATATATATATCTAAAAGAGTAGTATAATGAACTGCAAAAATAATCCTTTTACTGATTTTTTAAAAAAATATCTACCAGTAAAGAAATACTGATGTTGTACTTGGTAACTTACAGCTGTTAGTGTCATTAGCAACAGCTATGATGCCCATAGGTTGATGTGGGATATCAGATCTAAGAATTTTTGTATCTCCACCTGTATATTTATTGGATCGCAGTATAGCTCTTCTCACCCAGTCTGTCCAGAAGATCCAAGCATCGTATACAGCTAGACTGAGAAAAGTGCCAGGTCCAGATTTGACTATCACCTGATTCAAAAAATAAAGGGATTAATTAAATGTAAAATTATCTATTTTTCAATATTTCTATTTTATTTCTAATTAATGTGGAAATCTTCATAGTGAAAGAGTTTTTTGATGCTAAATTAAATTAATTGAACATCACTAGAATGTATAGAATAACAAGGTCAGATAAAAAGAAATGATAGATAATGGTTCAGAATACAGCTATTTTTTCATCAGTATCTCATCATGTATTTTATCTAGATTGAATATGGAAGCACTTCATCTGTGAAGTAGAAAATTTATCTGTTTTAAGTTAAAAAATACATAATGAAATATCAGCTAATTAGGGAAGACTCAGAAGTGGGAATGAATTAAATAGAATTCCTATATTTGAAATCTTTCCCATTTGCTCGTTACTACTGGTAAAATGAACCCTCCATCTTGAGGGTATGTAAGTCACACTTGAATGGGAAACTACCTCATGTCATTTACTTACTCTGCCTATTAAAATGTTGTGTACCATATTTAATACATGTAGTCTTCGACCTATACCCATGACGGAGCCTGACCATTACAGTCGTATGTTGTGATTAAGTAAAGCATCTCACCCAACTTTATCTTTTTGTTTTTTGCAGAGGAGGCTGGCTGATAAGATGTGAATCTCAGTTTTCCTACAGAGACTGTAAGGCTCAGGGCAGCCTTGTGCTATTTTCCTAGAAAGTAGCACTTCTCATGATACTCTATGGGGCATTTGTTTGTGGAAAAGAACAGAACAGAATAACAGAGTTGGAGGGGATCTTGGAGGTCTTCAAGTTCAACCCTCTGCTTAGGCAGGAAACCCTACACCACTTCAGACAAATGGTTATCCAATATCTTCAGTGTTGGAGCATTTATAACTCCAAGTGTTGGAGTTTGGGAAGCCTCCTTAAAAAAACAGAGCCCCGTATAGTCTCACAAGAAGTACTACTTGCTAGGAGAATAACATGCAGTTGTCAAAAGGCCGGCAGCCTCCGTAAAAAATATGAAAGGTAATTTTGGGTGCTGCTGGGCCCTGGATCTGGCTGAGGAAACAGGTTGAATCCTGCAAGTAGGCCAAGGCCTGTAGGCTGTAACTACCCTCCGCATTTAGGGTCCCTTGTGTGGCTGAGTGAAATCCTGAAGGGCATAGGATAGCCTTGGGAGGCCCTGATAGGACCAGACAGAATGGGAGGGAGAAAGGTGGGGGGTTGTGCTGCTGTATCCCTGCAGTTGGTTATAAGGGTGAAACATGGTAGGGAATTGCAATGGCCATAACTTTGAACTTGGGTCGTGTCTTTTTTTTGGGGGGGGGTATGTCATAACTTTGAATGGTTGCTGACTGGTTGTAGGTTGAAGACTTCCTGTATCTGTTTTCTAGGATCTCTTAGGAAGCATTGTATTCTGTTAATACAATAGGGCATATACATAACTTTTGGGATATATAAGGATGAAACTACATTGTGCTTTGTATTTAAAATTCACAATAAAATTAATTTCACATGTGAACACCTCAATAAAATAGAAATAAAAATATTATTATTTGGTCATTATTATACAGAAATTAGACAAATATGTCAATAAAAAATCAAATTGTGCTAGTGACATTAAAGGATAAAAATTCATAGCATTAGCATTAAATAGATTTATTATAACAATGAGAACCTCAAATGCCTCCCCACAAACTTAAAATAGAGAATTATAGTGTGTTCACATTTGAAATGTTCCTATATACTTTGTATCATTTCTCTAACTGGCCTTATTGGAAAAAAGTTAAGTACCTTTTCAGTCATCCAATATTTTTCCATTCTATTATCCATCTAGATATTATTATTATCTCTTTTATTAATTACACTCAGTCAATAACAACAACAACACTAATAATAATAATAATAATAATAATAATAATAATAATAATAATAATAATAATGCTGTCTTAACAGTTCCTAGGTCCTTGGTTAGTAGTTGAGCTACTAACCAGCCCCAAAAGCTGTGAATCTCACCAAAGATTAACCATAATAATAATAACAATAATTTTATAATATGCAAAAAAAATATTACAGTTATTTATTTATAGAAATATCAATACATTACTAAAAGTTAGTTTTATGATCTTACATTTCTGTGTGATCCATCATATTCACACCTTTCTATTTTTCCCAAACTACCATCAGAAAAATACAGTTTCTCAGCCCTGTGATCAATTGCAAGTCCATTTGGTGTTAAGATGTCATTGCTGATTACAACTTGTGCATTTTTGCCATTCAATGTAGCTCTCATGATGCTTGGGTGCTGCTCATTCCAATTAGTCCAAAACATTAAACTAAAAGCAAAGCATAATTTCAACATTAAAAATACATTTCACCTATAAATAATTTACATAATGTATGTATATATCACAGCTAACAATACATCAATAAGATGCAAACTAGTGTTTCTTGAAGTAATACTAGTAAAAAATAAAGGCACCTCGGAAGGACATATTATGTATATTCAAATATTCTATAGACCATCAATTGGCAAATGTAAGGGAAAATTTGAGAGCATGGAAATTTGGTAAATTTAAAGAAAAATTATTATCTTACATTAAAATGCTAGTAATGTCTTAACAGCTACTTTTGTGTGTTTGTGTAGAAAAAAAATACTGCCCAATATTCAAGCACGATAGTAAAATTTAAGGTCTGCAGTTGCCATCACTCTTTGGAAAACTTTTGGGAATAAAAAACTCTAGTGGATTGATCACAAAGTACGTAACATTTCAGTAAGAATTTAATTTCTACCTAGTATGGTTATAGAATGAGATGAATGAATAAATAAAAATCAGACAAAAAATGAAGTCAGATTATGCTTAAGCATCATACATTAACGGACAACTCATTCCCTGACCAAGATGATTGAATATGAAACAAATACTAATGAAACCAATAGAAAAACCCTATTCTAATGATCAACAGGATGAAAGAAAACATTTTGACTATAATCCCAAGAAAAAAAATATACCTTTTTGTCTCACACTCTTCAAACAGTGTCTCAAGAAAGAAGAAAGGAACACATTTGTTCACAACGTAATAATTGTGAACAAAATTCTGTTAGGAAGGTATATAATCAGTAAAAAATGTAGGAACATGGTACCTACTTTTGGCATTCATCAAGGGCTAATACATGTGGGTGATCATCCTCAGACATCGTTATTACTGCTTCTCTGTTGAAAGCACCTCTTCGTTTCTGATCAACTGTGTGCCTTGTAATAGAAGATGTAGTAGAGCTGGTCCAGTACAAAGTATCCCAAGCCCTATGATATGCTAGACCCTCCACAGATCCAACATCTGTCATAGCAGATCATTAAATACATATTTTAATTAAGAAAAATGTATGAATGACACAATAAAACTATAACTTTTTAATATTTAGATGCAGTTTTATACAATATAAAAATATTTTATCCTATAAATTGTAGGATAGCATCATCTGATTACAGTGGTACCTTGGCACTCAACTGCTTTGAAACTCATCAAATTTGGTACTCAATAAATTTTGACACGGAAATTTTATCCTGGTACTCATCGTTTGTTTGGTACTCAATGCACAAACTAGAACTCATCGATGTCAGCTGCCTTGTGACTCACTATATTATTCTTTGTGGGGAAAATTTGTTGGTACTCATCGTATTTGGTACTCTTTGCACCTCCTGGAACCAATTAACAAGAAGTACCAAGATACCACTGTATATCACTTTCACTCCATACAATTAGAATAAATGTGCTATATCTTAAAAGATCTATGATTTATACCAATTAATATATGGAAGATTAATTATAAATTTAGGTCTCAGAATGGCAATATTTTATTCCTTGGTGCATAAGACAAAAAGAAGCAAATGAGATATGCCATCAGGTTTTACAGTCTCTAAGAAATCAATGTTGTAGGTTAACCGTTTTTCCACCTAAATTTAATCAGCAATATAACATGTAACTAATTAACTGTCTGCCCAACAGAAAGCAACAGCTTCTGATTTTCAGAAATGGTTGTAGAGTGATCACATCATACATTGCCAAATGTCATGTATTACCTATATTGAACTTAACAAAGATGGATTGCATTGCACTAATAAGACACACCCTATAAATACTATGGACTTGACTTCCCTGGAGAACAAAACAGTCAGACAAAAACCAATAGCTGGAGAAATCACATAGATTTTTTTTTCATATGCTGAATACAGTAATATAAAATAACTGAAAAACTCAAGTTAAAGCAACAGACTCTGACAGTTTATTTTTAGTATTTTTTCTTTTTAAATTTTTCATCAAGAATTCTGGACTCTAAAATCTTAATTTTTTTCTCACCCTTTAAGTTCCCATTTGAGATATCATCTTTGTTTTATTTTTTCATTAAATGATTAAGTAAAATTCATTACTATTGGAACATTCACAGATTTTTCAACTGAGTCATGATGGCTTAAATGTATTCCTTGTTTACTGACCTTATTTAGAGACCGGCTAAAGCTTAAGATCAGAAAATCTATATATGTGAGTCATTGCTTCAGTTCCAGTCATCAATTTTTGCAGATAGTAGGGGAAATGACTTTACAATAGTACAAGCTTCACTTTTGCACTTCGATCATGACATCTTATAGAATTACTAAAAATTGGACCTGATTTCACGATATTACAATGCACAATTCATAATATAAATTTTTTGCCAAGTGTTCCTGGCTGCAGTATAAATCTTTTTACTGGGTAATTTTGTTTTATCTTCCCAATTGTGTTGGGAAAGATATGGCATTATCAAACAAACATTGAATAATAATATGTAGAATATTTGCTAATACTGAATGTGTAAATATATTGGATTTAATGGACTAAAAGAATATGTAATAGAATATGAAGCATACAGTGTACTGAATAGCATATCATCTATTTTTGAAGATGTTGCATCTTCGTTGAACACATACTTGATGTTCTGTTTACTGGGCTCATTGTATTTATCAAATTTATAATTTTAGAAACAATCTGTCAAATATTTTATTTGGCAGGACTCTGGAAATGAGGTTGTTTTCTAACTATTTATAAAATATATGTGTAGTGCAGTGGTGGGATTCAATTTTTTTTACTACTGGTTCTGTGGGCGTGACTTGGTGGGCGTGGCAGGGGAAGGATACTGTAAAATCTCCAGTATTTGCCAGTTCTCCGAACTATTCAAAATTTCCGCTACCAATTCTCCAGAACTGGTCAGAACCTGCTGAATACCACCTCTGGTGTAGCGGCTAACAGATGGCAATTATTGGTAACTGGTATGTAAATGTTTTGAAAACTATAATTGATATTAAGATAACTTTTAATAGCTCACTTCTATGAGCCTCGGTAGTGCAGTGATTAGAGTGCAGTACTGCAAGCTACTTCTGCTGCAGCCAATTTGACAGATCAAATCTCACCAGGCTCAAGGTGGACTCAGCCTTCCATCCTTCTGAGGTGGGTAAAATGAGGACCCAGACTGTTGGGGGTAATATGCGGACTCTGTAAACCACTTAGAGAGGGATGTTAAGCACTATAAAGCGGTATTATAAGTCTAAGTGCTTTTGCTATTGCTATATTATAAATGGCACAACGAGGCCCCAATTTTTTTTTCTTTTTCACAGAGTTCCTAAGGAAGCAACATACCAAAAATAAAAATGTATAAAAATAAGCTTTGAACAATTTGCTGATTGGCAGGCAGCTTATCTGATTAGATCCTTATTGAAAACATTAAAACATTTTTGTAAGTGAATATTTGTATGTAGTTTTTAAAATTACAGTGATCTCAAAGATATTACAATATTGAATGTATAAAATCAAATATTTTTCCAAATATTTATTTTACCACATATTATCCTAGAAAGCTAAAGTTTGACTAATTTCTTAGACTTCTGACCATGCATTCTTAGAAAAAATTGAAAATAGGTGTTTTGACTGAATAAAACTGAATTATATTAGCTACCAAGTAGCTAATCTTTCATAAATTGAATGCAGGTAGTCCTCGAGTTATGACCACAATGGAGCCCAGAATTTCAGTCATAGTCACTATTCAATGGGTGTTTTTATCACTTTCTGTTAGAAAATAGAAACAAATGTTTCAAATTGTGATTACATGACTGCAGGATGCTGCAACTAGTCATGAATGTGAGCTAGTTGCCAAATTCTGAAATGTGATTAAATGATCACAAGGTGTAGAATAATTCATAAGTAGCTTTTTTGAAGTCCATTATAACTTCAGACAGTTGTTAAGTAATTGGTTGTAAGTTGAATAGTTCCAGTAATTGCTTTTGCCTATATCTCTAGATATAAGGTCTTAATTAATCATCTTAATTTTTGTCTTCTATTTCATGAAGCTCTTAACCAAGATGTTATTCAGCTTATATTATAGAATCAATTCGCCTTCTTTTCTTTTTAAAACTATTAATCCATCATCTGTCATATTCCAACTCCTTTTCTCCTTAGTCCACCCCCAATTAAATTTATTAGGTTTATCGCTGACTCACCTCACTCTGTCTTTTTTCCCTTCACTTTTTTCCTCTCCCTTTTGAAAAACCTTCTTGATTAACCTGTTAGTTGTTGTTTCATTTAAGACCCTATATTATTTAAAGAAAAAAAAGCTTGAATGAAATATCTTCCTTTTACTTGGCCAATTCAGCTTCACTAACATGCTGCCAAAAATCAAGGCCAAGGGTAGAAAGATGTTTCTTATTTTACTGGTACATGTTCAAAACAGCTCAAAGTTCCCTATGGTACAGATTTTATAACCTCATAATGTTAATTATGAAATCTAGAATATGCTCTGGAATTTTGCATTTTATGTTTACTTTTTGTGGATTTTTGCAGAGTTTTTTTAATGCTATTAATTGGCCTAATTGCTTAATAGGAACCCCCCAAAAAGCACATAAATTCAATAAATATTACAACAAATAGCTAAATAACTCTTCCTTGGTTTTCACTGTTCTCATCTCACATTCATTTTGCGGAAGTGAAAAGATTTTTGAACAGGAGTTTGATAACCTATTAAAATATCCATAATTAAAAATCCATAACAGGGTAACTAAAAAACTAAAAAACATGATTATAAACAGTCTTCAATAAATGGAGAGTTATGTTGAATCCCACTCTGTATTAATTATATAGTCCTGGTGGCACAGTGATTAGAATACAGTAATGTAGGCAAACTCTGCCTACAGCCAGGAATTCGATGCTGACAGGCTTAGGGTTAACTAAGCCTTCCATCCTTCCAAGGTCAGTAAATGAGGACTCACATTGTTGAGGGCAATATGTTGATATTGTAAACTGCCCAGAGAATGCTATAAAGAACTACGGAGAAGCATAGAAGTGCTATTATTGCTATATATTGATTTTTCCATGTAGCTTTTTTTTACATACAAGTAGCGTACTTGAACCACCAAAAAAGGTTAACAAATAAAGGTAATATGGAATAATTTTCTGTATGTAGAAAAATGAAAAAATAAAATAAAATACCAGTTATTCTCCGCTTTTCCTCCTTGAAAATATTGTTTTTTTCCCCTTTGGATCAAATTTCTTTAAAATTCTAGATTTACTTCATGAATAATCATGAAGATGGCTTGGAAAACAGAGTTAGCACACAAATGCTGCAGCCAGAGAATTAAGTGGAATTGCTAAAAAATAACAGTGATCCTTGAAAGCTTCATTAACTGCTTATGTTGGCATTAATGTGTAAAGCCTTCAATAGCCACAGGAGCTAAGGGCTTCCAGTGAGGTGATTAGCGAAAAGAAATTCAGATGATAGCTTTATTATAACATTCTCTATCAAGAGAAATACATCTGATCCTCAAAGTTCCGAATAACAAGAATTCTAAGACTGTCTTTCAAATTAATTTTGCCTCAATTCTATGGATGTCCTGTCTGAGTTAGGATGGGAGTTACTCTGCTTTGGTACAATGAAATGGCTCCTCAAGACATCCATATGGGGCAAACTGACTTGACCAGCTGTTTATTTTGCAAAGAGGAACTTCTGGCCATATTGCTGATTCAAAATGGGTCCTTCATTTGGGTGAAATACTCTTTTAAAGATCTACAGGGATCTGTAGATAACATTATGTTTCTATATTTTTTCATGCTTGCTAAATTGCTTAATTACAAACTTTTTCTTGTTATTATTTTAGTACACCATTCAGTAGTAGATGTGTCCATATCACCTAGATCTAACTCACATCAAATAATTAATCTGATCTGATTCAGTGACTCAAAAATTGTTTCAGTGCTTTAACTCAAAATAGCCAAAACTGATTAATTCAATCTCATTTTTATTTGGAAAAATAAAC